ATGTTAATTCGATGGCTCTTACAAATCGATTTGCAATCTCAATGCAATTGATTGGCACTACTCGATAATGTGCTCACTATTCTGTTTTAGGATACAAGGATGCGTTAGTTATAGCCCTGGCCCTGGTCATGGCCCAACTTTAGCCTATATCGAAATGTTTGTGTGTGTCTGAGTGTGTTTTCGCATTGTTGGCGCTTCTACATTTGTGCACAATGAAACATGTGACTCACTTGAGTTATGTGCCACATTAACTTGCACAAGTCTTAAGTGGCTTTTAACCTTATTTCGCTTCCGCTTTCTTAGCTGCAGCTTGGCTGTGCAACACACATACGTTATTTGGGGGTCGCTGCAGCGGCAACTGCCACTTAGAAAACCAGCTACGAAAAGCTGCATTCGAGTCTAGACGACTACTTGTATGGTTGGGCAACTAGCTAAGTAATATATTTTTTTTGATTTACCAAGAAAAACTTGGTAAAAAAAACTAAAATTTATAATTATTTGGAAACGACTTGCGTACAGAATACATCCAGAGAACACAATTCAATGTATAGAAATAAGTTGTAGTTTTGATAAGTCAATGTGAATTTATTGGTCGCAATTTATTTTGCTAGCCAAACTGACTTCAAATAGCCTTTATTTAACATAAATTGTTAAAGTTTTGCTTTCTCTGAAAACAGTTTAGGGGGAGATATGAAACTGAAAGCCATGAAAAATTATTTAAAATACCAACATTGTAGGAGCAAAATCGAGACCATTCTTCCTTTTTGGTCCACATAAATTATTTATTATTATTAAAATCACTTCCTAGATGACCTGCAGCTGACTTTGATAATGAATAATTTATGTGAACTTAAAAATATAAAAATAGTCAGAGTTTTCACAGTTTTTCAGTAACGTATTATACAGTTATATATACATTTTCACACGAAACAACCAGTGAGCTTAACAGACTTTTGGAAAAGTGAGAAGACAATTTATTATGCACTAATAAGCATTACTGGAAATTTTAAAGGATTAAACCTTAAGCTGCACATATTTTTTTCATCTGTAGAGTTCAAACTAAATACAATTTTCCAAGCTTACTGGCTATTCATACGGCTGTAAATATCAAAACTCATGTTGCAGGGAAAACCACAAAACCAAAGGAACCTACAAAGCCGCAGATAAACGGAATCTGCTTTATATATATATACTATATATATATACTTATATCTAGTTGAACAGAGGCAGGCGCGCTCTTTATTCCAAGTGCCCAAGCAACGCGTTAGTTTCAGTCCATGTGTGTGTGTGTGTGTGCGGGTGTTTCTGTGAGTGAGTGGGTGAGTGTGTGTGTGTGTGTGTGAGTGTGTGTGAGTATGTGTGCATGTGAAATGTGGACGACACACAGGCGAGTCATAAGTTTTGAGCCGCCTACAAAAGCGAAACAACTTTGTGGCAACTGTCATGCACGTGAGCCAGAGCTCATAAGCCAAAGCCAAGGCTGAATTAGATGTGGAAGCAGCAGCTGCCAGAAAGCCATCATTTTATGGTTGTATCTGTAGTGATTCGCAATTTAATGCTATTAGTACATTAAATCCACAAAGCACCGCTAGCTCATTAAAAATTCGCAACTAAGTTGAGGGATGCTGCCTACCGCAAATGGCAAATCAAATTAGCTAATTGATTTGTTATCAATTGCGGTTGACTTGGCTAAAAACTTTGTAAGCCAACTTGAAGTTAAAAGCTCAGTTCAACAAGTAGTTCATAATAAAGCGATTAAGTGGGGTGCTATTAAATTGAAGGAACCCACCAATATACACACATGCCACAGCAACAGTTGCGTGTTTGAGGCGCATAAAATACCCCAACTAAAATATGTGTTCGTTTCTCTCTCTCTCTCTCTTTCTGTATGTGTGAGTGTGTGTGTCTGTGCCTTGTGGCAAATTAAACAATAATATTTGCGCGTCAAACACAAATATCATGCCTCTGGCTGATTTCGGACTACAAATATGTAATTGCCAAATGGCCAAAAATTCTTGGCAACATTTTTGGCAAACAATTCACGTTCAGACAGCTAGGTAAAAGCTAACACAACCAAAAACAAACTCCAGTGAACAGCTATGTTTGCATATTATTTGCCGCCGAAACGCCATTTAGCAGATTAGGCTACTTAGATGTTGGCCTGGCATCAACACCCCACCCACTTTCAACCCAAACCACCCGACAATATTCAAATGAGCACTGGAGAAAACAGAGAGAAAAGAGCGGAAATTGAATTTGTAACAAGCTGAAAGACAGAAGCAGCCGCACAGCCAGCTACTAAATGTCTACTTGCATTTGTTACGCTCCGCCAACACGCGTATACTTAATGTCATGAGTAGCTGCAAATAACAAGGTGATAAATTGCCAGGCGTGTAATTAATTTGTACAGCATAAATTAGCTTAAATGTCCGAAATTAATGTTTACTTACGGCCAAAAGGGCATATAAAAAACTTTCTCTCTCGCGTTTTTTTTGTTTGGCAAACACTTATCGCTAAATTTGATTAGATAATAAACGCGTGCCAAAAAATAAATAAAAAGGTGCATACTAAAAAAATGTGTACAACAAATTGGGCAATTTTGATTGTCGCTTTGTTACGCTCACGCACACATTAACTTTTTCAATTAAGTTGTCTATCAAAAAGGTGCCACAACCACACACACATGCACACCGGCTGGCAGCATTTAAATCAATAAAAATCAATCATACGCTGCGTGAACAGGTGAGGTGTGCGATTCCCTTTTTGAGCCTGGCACTGAAAATGTGCGCACCTAATTTAATTTGTGTCCTTAACATTTTCTTGTTGTTTTTGCTCACCATCCAAATGAAAGCTACTAAGTTAAATTCTGTGTGCATACTGCAAAATGAGGCTAGCGACAATATCAGAGGCAGACATTAAGACTACCCTGTAGCAATTCAGCATCTATATTATTTTCCAGGGCAATTTATCAACGCTGTGACATTTTACAAATTATTCTAATTTTCATATTTTTAAATAAATATGATAAAAATAAATAAATAAAAACCATTTTTCAATTATACTTTAATTATAGTGGATATTTTCTCTGTTTGGTCGATTGCTAATTTAGAATTACATTAATTTAGTATACGAATCTTACCAGTTGAACTCACACTTGCTTTACGTATGGATTAAAACAATTATTCCAAAATTATTGGATTTAAAATAAGTCCTTATTTCAAAGCGGTTTAACTCTTTGATCATACATAAATAAACGATAAAATTGGTTAAACGCTGCACAACGGCGCCAGCATAAATCTTATTTTCATTTTTAATCTCTTGCAACACACACATACACACATGCACGTCAGCTGCAAAGATGCAACCACATGCAATTTATCATAGAATAATAAATCGCAGCTGAAAAATCAATTTCCACATTTCGATGCGCAAAATGCGGATGCTCTTTGGAATAATGCTTGTGAGAGTCCTGTAGCTGTTTCTGTCTGTGATGTCCACAGGAAATTAAAAATCAACTTACCATTTACATATACATTTTATGCTCAAGTTGGCCCACACAAACGTAATCAGGCAAGGAAAGACTCTTTTTCGCAGTGCTTCAGATATTTACAGCAACAGCTGTTGATATCATTTGCAATTTGCAATTTGCAATTTGCCAGCTGCAATATGACAGCTGGTTTTATTGCATTTGAAATTAGCAAGCAGTGAACTGTTGTTGCTGCCCTCGTTGACATCAGCCCCCTCTCTGTGGTACATCCTGCCGCTATTTTGTGGTGAGCGTGAGCTCGGGAATATCAGAAGTTAGGCCAGGTAGACATGAGTTGGGAGAAAATGGAAAAACTTTCGCACGTACAACATCTACTTTTCTATTACTTTTCCATATGATTTCTATTCGGTTACTTTTTCTGCGACGTTCGCTCTTTTTTCTTTTCTTTTCTTTTTCTTTTTCTTTTTTTTTTTTTGCTTGCCACTCCCCTTCACAGCAGCTGTGTGGCACGTTGTATTCAATTTGTTTTGGCAACAGCTTGGCACAAGTTCTATTAAATAATAAAGTCGATTTGCACAATGTTTACTACAATAACAACCAAGAAGCATTTTTTTCTTTGGTTATTTATTTTTTTGGTCTTCCGCATTATTATTCAATGGAAATGCGAGTCAAGTTTTTGCACGGGAATTAACATTTAACAAAGCTCTTTAAATACACTCGAAATTGTATAAAAAGTTTTTGGGAGACATTTCTAAATCGCAGTGTATTTGTTGAAATGGTAAGAGGCGAATGACAATGTTTAATCTGAGAGCTTTAAATTCAATGGGCCTTCAATCAAAAGTGTTTACAAGAATTAGGGATTGTGTACAAATACCAAAGACATAATTAATCAACCTGACTACCAAATATTGACAAAATATATATTTTCAAGAATAATAGGCAGACTTTACTATTTCGATTAAATTTTAAAATATAATTTTCGAACCAAACTCATTTTGATTGTTCCATTACTAAGTTAATAAAATGCAAAGCGTAAAGGAAATATTAATTATCAACATTTTACATGGAGCATAAATCTTAGCTTGGCCAAACAAAATAAGTTCAAATGTGCGGAATACTCTTTTAGACTTTAGATCCCTCTCCAGTAGCGGTTATAAAATCCAGAGCCATATGCGCGTCCGTCAGCTTTATGGCTGCTCCAGGCCAAAATACGCATAAACAAAATGCACACACACACACACACACACACATTAACATCTATACACATATACATATACAAGAAGCAATTTAATTAAAATTAATGTGTGTATTTTCTGCTTGTGCTGTTTCTTTGCATCTTCTTCTCGCTGCTCCTGTTGCTCGCGCTCTTCATATTTCGGCTTTGGCGTTGATATTACTGCATCCGCCTCTGTTGGTCCCTCTGACGTTTTGATGGCACAACAACAACACCAACGACAACAACAATAATAACAATAACAATAACAATGCCAACAACAACACCAACAATGAACAGAAAAAAGGCCATGGTCAGCATGGAGGGACAGTTTCTGGTGCGTCAAATTTACGATGACGAAATCACATACAATCTAATTGGAGCAGCTGTTGAGATACTCAGTAAGTAGCAGCCAGCGAACACTTAACTGGTTATTACTGTAGTTGTGTGCCACATAAAACATGCCAACATATTCTTACACAGAAATACCGGCTGACGATATTTTGGAGCTTTTTGGCAAGACATTCTTTGAGTTCTGCCAGGATTCGGGCTATGATAAAATCCTGCAAGTGTTGGGTGCAACGCCGCGTGATTTTCTACAGGTAAAATGTGATCATTAAACTGGAGGTACAGTCGAACTTCTTTATAATGTACCGAAGAGGAAACATCAAATGTCAATTTTGAGAAAATTAATTAATCACTTATTTACAGCAAACTAACGTTCTTTAATTATAGACTAATTAAATTATTGAACAATGACTTATAAAGGCTTCAGCTCAGTTTACCTTTCTTAATAATGTTATTAAAGTTGTTAGTTGTTGAGCTTCAGGAATAATAAGAAATGCCTAAAAATTCAAAAATGTAAGATTCATAAACCAGCAGAAATAATTCCTATAACATTTTTCAAAGTACGAAACTAAATCTTAATTAGGTTAACGCTGAACTCCTGCTGCTTTTATAATTATTATTAAGTTCAGCAAAATTTCAGTTATATACTGAATAATGAAAGAGAAGGTGCTGCACGGATTCCTCCTCATTATGGCAACTTCCGCGGAAATCGCCGTGAGGGACGCACAATCTGCTTGCAGAAACTAAAGCTTAGACCCTTATAATTTTCATCTTCTGTAACTTCAAAGGACTCGTCACAATAGCGTTCTGTTTGCACTGTAAATTAATGCTTTTAAAATTTAAAAAAAAATGTTTATACTTCGTATACAAAATATAGTAAATATTTATAGAAACGAATATAGCAACAAATGAACACAAACAATATATTGTCCATCTACCCATGAGCAACATAATGAAGTGAGCAGCTTGTCCAGCATTGTTAGTTTTACAATTCCATTACAAAGAAGTTCGACTGTGAGAGCGTTTACCAATCTTTAATTAAGCACATTTCGCATTTTACGCTCATTTCACATGCATCACACAGCTTCTCATACAACCAGTGGCAGCAACACCAGCAACATCCGCATCGCTTCATTTCATCGCATTTTCCCAGTGGCAATTTAGCTGCGAGTCATTTTTCATGTTGCCATCGAGTCGCTGCTCGGTGGCTCATTCCCAGTCGCATTGATAAGAATTATTTTGCTTCAGTGCGCACACACCAAGACACACACACACGCACACAAGTCAGGCTGCCATGGCCTTTTGTTGCACTCACATTTCGATTTATTTTCAATTTTCCACACTTTTCACCGCACCATCAACGTTGAACAGAAGCCAGCCACATCATCATCATCATCCATCCATCCATCCATCCATCCATCCATCCATCCAATGAGACCCATACCTTAGTCATAATGAAAAATGAAATCGAATTTTTATTGCACTTCAACGAAAATTAATAAACATGTATATAGAATTTGGATGCGTTGCACGACCATTTGGGCACCCTGTATCCGGGCATGAGAGCTCCATCGTTTCGTTGCACGGAAAAGGACGGTGAACTACTGTTACATTACTACTCGGAACGGCCGGGTCTCGAGCACATTGTCATCGGCATAGTCAAGGTATCAAAACTGCTGTGTGGTCGACACACCTCAACAACCGCCATCCCTTACCACCTATTATGTGTTATCTGTGTTACAGGCCGTTGCATCGAAGCTGCACGGCGTCGAGGTGGAAATTGAGATTGTGAAACGCAAAGGTGAGCCCATCGATGAGGCTGAGAAGGAGCGAGCCTTGGCACGCGAACAGCAACAATTGGACATTGAGACAACAGCAGCAACCGCATCGGATGGCAGTGCTGCTGCAACATCTACAACTGCAACAGTTCAAGTTGCTGCTGGCACTGCTGCAAATAGCGAGCACAACAATAATCACAATACCAGCAACAATAATGGTTCCATCGCCGGCAACAACAACGCCAACGTCAACATCAACAACAACAACGATGGTCAGCAAATCGCCAGTGAGCTGGGTAAGCTGCCAGTTCAGGCTAACAAATTGCTTTAGTCTCTCATTATGTGCCCCATTAACCAACGGGGTATAATGATGTGGCCAGCCAATATGCTACTACTGGCAATTAAGCATTTAGCTTATTGCATGATGTTCCTCTATAAATGGTAGTCAGCAAAAACTAACTAATTTTTAACTGATCTCAATCGGGCATTAGGGATTTATGCAGTCAGATCGACATTGGAGTTGGCTGCGTGTCAAACTTATTTTCAAAGGGGATTAAACTTCAACTACTCTTGGGACGATAAAAAAATATTTAGTACGACCATCACAATATTCATTGTAATTTGTAAATCAATTAAATCGATTATGTGTTTTTTTTACTAGACGAGTAAAAGTATATTTTTTTATATATGTGGGCGATATAATGGATGAACACAATTTAAGTTGGTGCCATTAAGGGAATAAAAATACGCAGCTCAGTTCCAGGAGTAGTTAGGCGACGGAATAAAGGCTTTTAACTCAGCCATATTCATGCAGATTCAAAATATTCAAAAAATCCGTTAAAAAGTATCGTTTTTTTCTGACTTATCCTGTTGAATTCAATTGTATTCAAATATCACACTAAAGAAATGAAACATTTTCTCCCACTCATTTTTTTATACAGTACACTGAAAATAGTAAAATTCAATTCTATACGAATATGTAACAATGGTCTTTTCGGAAGGGAAAATAAAAGTCTTATTACTCGAACACTGTATACAGTATCTGGCCAACTTAAACAAGCCCAAGGCCCAACACAAAACCCATGTCACAATAAAATGAATACGAATAACGCCCAACGCAAGTTGAGCTTGTAAATGCTTAGCTGTGTGGCTATTGCTATTGCATTTGCTATTGTTATTGTTATTGCTATTGCCATTAATCTTCAATTGTAATCGCCTCGCTCTTCCAACCCACCCACACAGCTGGCAGCGAACAATTGGCGGCCACATCGAAGGGAGCTGGCCTGATGCCCAGTGGGCCTCTTGTGCAGGATAGTTTCGATTGCGATGGCGGCAAGGAGCAGCAGTGCCTGCGCCTTCTGAAAAACAAGAGCGATGACATCGAGCGCTACGACCATGTTCAGTTTCTGATACGTGAAATCAGTGTGGCAGCCAAATCCCAGGCAGATGCCAAGAAGGATGAGGCAGCTGCGGCCACCGATGACATGGAGTTTCTCTGCGAAGGTTGGCTTCTATTTTCTATTAATTTGGCTAATTGCCAGGCTAATCGGTTAAAACCTCGTTGTAACCATTTTGTGGATCACCTTACAGCGCCCCTCATCTCGCCAGCGACATTCTGCAAGGTGTTCCCCTTTCACCTAATGTTCGATAGACAAATGAAAGTCGTGCAGGCCGGCAAGGCCGTTTCCCGCGTTATACCCAGGTGAATGAGAATGGGAGTGGGCGAAGGCCAGCCAGCCCTAATGGAAATGGCCCCAAACCCATTATTGGCCATCTTGTTTGCTATTTGCCATTATTACTGTTTTCATTTCCCCCTTTTTTTATGCCCGTTCACTTTTGTAATAGAGTGGCCGAGGAGGACTGCTCACTGATAGAGGTGGTAGAGGCCATCAGACCACACCTGCAGCTCACATTCGAGAACATTCTGTCACACATAAACACCATCTATGTGCTCCAGACGAGACAGGGCGCCATGAGCAGCCGGCACGAGCAGCGATTTCTGAGACTGAAGGTAAGTTTTCTTTTTCCTTTTGCTTGCCTCAACAGCTGTGTCTGCCCAATTGGCCGCATTGATTTTAGCATGCGGCCACACACACACACACACTTCTATAGGGACACTTCCACACAGCAAGACACAACCACATCAACATAATGAAATGAATATACAAAAAGACCGATTAAGCACAGCCGTCGCCATTGAAATTGAAACTGAAATCGCTCGGCATTAAATTTTATGCGGCTTGCCGCAAAATGTTGCATAAAAATCCGTTTTATGATAATTGTCTCATATCCAGCTCTTTACTCAGCTCTGTGTACCTACTTATTTTCCAGGGACAAATGATGTATATACCGGAGACAGATCGCATATTGTTTCAGTGCTATCCCAGCGTCATGAACTTGGATGACTTAACCAAGTGAGTAAAAAATAACCTATTACGGAATGTGCTTTAAAAGTCTTGAGAATAAATATTCAGATCATTGATTCAATTAATTAAGAATACATTATAATATATACACAATCATAGAACGTAAGAATTGTTAAAAACAATCCGCCTTATACTGATTTTTTACTCTTGTCTAATCTTAATTTATGAATTATATATTAATATAAGAAATGTAATATTAGCAATAATGCTTCTACCAGCCTCATAGTTTGTAATTTTAAGCAACATATTTCAATCAAATAAATCAATAATAATCAAAAATAATCAAACTGTCACCAAGGTTGATAGTTTCCAAACAAAGCAATTCGCCTCAGGTATTTGACATTTCTCATAAAACAAAAACCACAGCGTGACAATAATTCCAATTTAGGCAAAGAATTTTGCAGACTCTCATATTTTCACCCCTCATATATTATTTATGTATTTGGATATTGTCAACAAATGAAAATAAATATTTTACAGCCTGTTTGGATTCTATATAGCAGTCTGTACTTTGTGGAGACATCTTCTTTGCCATCACAGACCACAAAAGTCCTTTGGGGTAGTTCTTAAAGCTTTAAAATGTACTGGTTTTATTGTAACGTAGATTTATACAGCAGCAGCTGTTGTTTATTATTTGTGCATTTAAATTGAAAGTAATGGCAAATATCCCGCTACAATTTATTGCTGACAGTAAATAAGAATTGTCACACCTGGCTATAAGCCCCCGTAGCACTCTAATACACACACACACACACACACACAATCTTAAGCTCGTTTACTGTTGTGTACACATTTTATTTTATTTAACAGCGCAAAGTAACACTTAAGTTATATAAAATGCATGTAATTTTATTTTTGATTCCGCCTATATATAGAATTACTCTCCATCTCTATATTTATCTATCTATCTATAGAAAGGGACTCTACATTTCGGATGTGCCGCTGCATGATGCGGCCAGAGATTTGGTGCTGCTATCCGAGAAATTCGAGGCCGAATACAAATTGACCAAGAATCTGGAAATGCTGACGGATAAGCTGCAGCAAACGTTTCGCGATCTGGAGAGTGAGAAGCAGAAAACGGATAGGTAAGAAAAATGTTGCAAAGCATAGCAAAAATAGAAAAACACATTAAAGCGTTGTATTACAAAGAGCGTGGAGCAACGCAAAAATCGTTGCATGCTTTCGGGCGCGAAATTGAATTGAAATTACTCGAACAATTTCTTTCCATTTGTTTGTCATTTGCTCCGCTGCGACTGCTACTCAACCTTCACCCCGTTGACCACCTGACTGGACACCAGGCTACTCTACTCGGTGCTGCCCAAGTCTGTGGCGAATGAGTTACGACATCAGCGTCCAGTGCCGCCCAAGCGGTAAGCTTTAGCCCCTAAGCATGTTTCCAAATCCCAATCAGAGGTGAGCGCGTGTCGTAATTGGTGAACACTGTTTTGCAGAATATTAAAAATAATACAAAACAAGATAAGAAAAAAAATGAAATTTTAATATTTGATGGATGCTTGAAAAATTGTAGCCTAAATAAATTTCCAGAAACAAAATTATTTTTCATTTCCTTCATAATTTTCAGTATATGTTACAATATAATTTTAATATCTTATTGATCATCAAATAAATAAATAACAATAAGAAAGACAATGATGTTAAATATAATGTTAATAATAATTTTAGACAAAGTCCAACCAACAAATATTTCAGAAACTCAAAACAAAATTATTATATTAAAAAAAATATATTGTACTAAATAAATATTTTAAAACGCTGACACGCGCTCCGCTCTAATCGTAGAGTAAGAGTACTCTGCCAAATGGTTATTAACAATTTGCTATTTGCGCAATTTATTTCCTGTATATACTTATATGTATATATATATTTTGACAGCTACGACTCCGTAACGCTCATGTTCTCCGGCATTGTGGGCTTTGGCCAATATTGTGCAGCCAACACGGATCCCGAGGGTGCCATGAAAATTGTGAAAATGCTTAACGAGCTCTACACGGTTTTCGATGCCCTCACCGACTCCAAGCGCAATCTGAATGTCTACAAGGTGAGTGCTTTCTATATATACTTATGTATACACTCTAGGAAACATTATAAATATACATTGAATACTTGGCACGGCGCTCCTCTAATGGCTGTCAAAATGTTGCCATCAGTCAGACAAGTAATTACAATTTTGTACTCTGGCCACAAAACATTGCACACCTAAGAAGGCCACGCAATTTACTTGGCAACATTCAGGTCAGCTGTCAATTAACCAGGCAGCAAATAAGTATTGCGAATTCACAATTTTCAATATTCACGCACAAGTTTCTATATCCTTTCAGGTGGAAACTGTTGGCGATAAATATATGGCCGCATCCGGTTTGCCAGATCTTTGCGAGGATCACGCCAAGTGCATGGCACGCGTCGCATTGGATATGATGGATATGGCCAAGAATGTGAAAATGGGCTCAAATCCAGTAGTGAGTTGAAAAAATATATATTATTATATACATTATATAAATTTGAAGAATATACAAAAATGTAATTATCATTTTTGTGGCTTCCACTAAATACTCTTTGTTAATTTTATCGGTTTTTCTATACATATAAATTGCCCGAAATGGTAGTCGACCAAAATTTCAATTACCAAAAATCGTAACGTAACTCGATACTGACATTAAATGGTCAATCGACTTAGCTATTCATTAGTTAGCCTTTGAGAGGCTTTAGCAAACTAATTGACATTTTGGTAGATGTTTTATTAACACGATTAAATTGATCTTTATTTAACCCAAGCTAAGCCTAAAGCAAATTTGCAGAAACAATCTTAAAATGACTCGCTAATTTATGAGAAAACTTTTTAAAAATGTTTGTACGTAAAATTTGAGTATGTTTTGCAGCAAGTTGCAGCTGTCTGTTGCACACTTGGCGACTATGACAGTATTAAATGAATGCGCAACTAATGTTCAAAGTTTTCAAGTTTTCATCTGCCTTCTAATTGTGCGCACTGAAAGCATTTCAAAGTTGACATCCGCCGCTGATTTTGCTCTTTCTGTGTGTATCTGCAACTTGAACAAGTTGCGCGCAATTTGTTGCTGAAATGCATTTGAGAAGCGAAGCGGCAGCAACAAACTCAATAGTGCATAAATATTAATGGGGCGCAAACAAGACCAAAAATCTCATGAATGGCTTGCACGTAAAACATTAGCAAGTGTGCAAAAAGTAGAGAAATAAAAAACAAATTGATACGCTCGCAAAAAGTTGAGTCAAACTGTGTAAATTGCTAAAATTAATTCGAAATGGATGACACCATGTCAAAAGACAGAGCAGCAAATTGTGTGGCATGCTCAGGCTCTCCAGCTCCCCCTCTCTCACACTCTGTCTCACTCTTTTGAGTCCTTGGCTGTTTTTGGCACTTGACCGTCAACTGTCATCAACTGCGGCCTGCTGCAATTTCTATACCCTGTACCAATTTCGAATAGGCAAAACGGGTGTCAAGTGTATGTAGCAGCCAGAGATATATATCTTCAATCACTTAGTGTATATATGTACTCTTGATCGGCAGCAGATGTCGCTTGCCTCCTCTTTCTGAGCGCATCTTAATGGTTATAAAAAATAAAAAAAATTAATAAAATAAAACTAATTATTTCCTATTTTGAGTGCATAAAAGATTAATTAAAAAAAAAATACTTTATATATTTTGACTTGCCATTCTGAGACTTTTCTGAGTATATTTTAGTCGCATACTCTCGACTGGGGCATTCTTGCCAGTTATTTTTTTTTTTGGGCTTAAACACTTTGGCTGTGAGTGGCTTGAGCTTAAAATATACCAGAGATGGGTATATGTATGTATGTATATAGAGAACTGTACGCACAGAGGGGGAGACGAGAGGGATGTCCACTTGATGGCATCCTTCAGAATTACAGCAGCCAAGCGGCGTCGACGCCGACGTCAGCATTGTTATACGTGTAGACAATGCTTGTGGATTGTCACTCACTTTGAGTATATGTGTGTGTGAGCGAGTGTGTGTGTGTGTGTGAGTGTGTGCAACATGCCATAACCACATACATACATACTCACATATAGGAAGAGTGCGAGTGAGCAAGTCGTCCTCGAATGTTCAGCTCATGTCGCTTGACTTCTCTGTTGTTTTTCTTGTTATTGCTGTTGCTACAATTCTCATCTTGTTTTTTGGTCTATGTTGCTGCTTTTGCCTTTGGGTCGACTGTGTCTTAAGCCATCTTATCCATTTCATTCGCTGTGTTGCATGCCACGTCTGCAGTCAACTGCTGCGGTTGCCACTATTTCATATTTTGAGTGATTGCTTTTGGTAATATAGCCAGGACACACGTAACCGGTATATGCTTCAGCCCAACAGATGGTTGCACGCAATCTTTGATGCATGTGCAGCAGTCAGCTGATGCAAACGAGACTTGCCACTGGCACAGCAAACACAACATCAGCAAAAAACAAATCAATGGATAACGACAGGCAGACAGACAGATCTCGTTTGGCATTTGACAGGCGAACGAGGCAACTTTGATGGATGGCTCCAAATGCAATTAACAAGACCACAGCGGCTCTGGGCAATGTTGCCTCATCCATTTCTCGCTTCATTAGCTGCTGATAACAAAAAAACTAACCGCACTCGAATGGCTGCAAAAACAATGAAAATGTAACACAATTCGCCACGCATCCCTTACTCCCCCGACTAAGGGCGTTTTCCATTTGTCATTTTATGTAGCCAATTATGCAATGATATTTTCCAAGACAAAAGTTTTCCATTCTTCTGCTTCTTGCTAGTCATCTTTCCATGCTTTTTGTTGGCAGCAATGTAATCAATAAATATAGCTGCAATTGTTCAGACAAAGTTCAGCTGGTATATTTTGTGGATACTAACTTGAACAATTGAGTACATTAGCTGTATATGGGGTATTTAGGGGTATATAAAAAATAGATATACATAAACTAAAATAATATGTAAAATCAAACATCAATGATAAAATATAAATTACATTTATTAACGAAGTAAAATATTTTGTATATAAAATCAATTTACAAAATAAAGTATATAATATTTTTACAAATTATTGCACGCCATTTTAATTATTAAATATTTTTACTACACTATTTTTGCAAATCATATTATCCCCTTTCTTGCAAGTATTAGTTATTTAACTGAAATAAAATACTCACATTTCGAAGAAGAGCAATTCCAAGTCTCTGCGAATTTTCTCGTAATTGCTGGTCTTGTTTACTGAAAAAAAAAAATGGAAACAGAAACATAAATAGAAATAGAAAAGAGTAAAGAAACGAGAAACACTTTCGAACTAAACTCACTTATCAAAATTGCATTTACTGGCCGCATGGTTGGCCTGGTATTGATTTGATTCAGTTACTCACTGTATCAGTCAAGCTGCTGCTGCTGCTGGTGCTGCTGCTGCTGCTGCTCTGTGTTTCTAAAAATACACATCCATAAAAGCCTTGGCTTCGCTACTCAAAGCTGTCCAAACGAGTGGAGAAAAGATTTCACAAGTTCCACCCACTCTCGCACTAATGTATGAGCTCAATGTTTCTGTCCTACTATCGGCAAAACTAAAACACGTAATTGGTGCAGAGTAATAATATTGATACCCTGTGTCAGATCACAGCAGAAAGAGAGTATTGTGTAATTTCAAATTTTCTTAGAATGGTTACTGCTGTGCTTATAATTATTATATAAAAAATACCGAATGATTCTAGTTTTTCCAAGTGTTTTTAAAATATACAGTCCAAATCACTAATAATTCAAGTATCGAGCACTTTCTTGCTTATTTTAAAACCGAATATTCATGTTTTTGGCTATTTTTATTTAGATAGTCCAAATATTTCAGTTTTTGCTTCAATAATTTCAAAAGTGTTTCTGCTTCTGTGCCATTAGAAATACTATAAGTGAACAACCGCTCCAGCACTCTTAATTAATTTATTATTTTTGCAATAGCTTTTCAATGCCAGACTCTAAAATACTTTTCACATATGTTACACACGATAGCTACACACACACACACACACATATATATATACATATATAGATATATGTATCTTCCTGACCAATTTTGGCAACGTCACCTAGTTAGGATAGTCGCTTTTTGCTCTTTTGGGGGGAGCATTTGGTTGTTGGCACTTTGTCGCAGCCGCAGCTCATTTCGTTTTAAATTTAATTAAAGAAAACTTTTGCACACCACACCAGCAGAGGGGACAGAGGCAGACAGACAGAGGGAGACAGAGTCAGTGGCAATGGCAGTGGCAACTGCAACTTTTTCCAAGTAATTGTGGTAACTTTTCGTCGGTTCGGCTAGAAACTTGCAACTTGCTACATTTTCCTGCAGAACTTGAGCCATTACTGTTAGCTTTTCTTTGGCTCTGAAACTTTATTAGGTAAATCAAGTGTTTGACTCGGTAATCGGCGAGTGGCACATATATTTCATTACTAACACACATATTATAAATTGTTAAACACTAGAAATTTCACAGTTTACAGATTATAATGTTGTACTCTTCTCTAAATATACTCCATACAGCAAATCACGATTGGCATCCACTCGGGCGAGGTGGTCACCGGTGTCATTGGAAATCGTGTGCCCCGTTATTGCCTCTTTGGCAACACAGTCAACCTGACGAGTCGCACGGAAACCACCGGTGTGCCCGGTCGCATCAACATCAGCGAGGAGACCTATCGGTGAGTGTGCGAGTACAAAACACTACTTAATAGCTTGCTAGCTAAGCGTTGAGGGTTGAGGGCTCTTCTTCTCATTGGCCTCAGTGGCCGCCACATAGGCGGCAATAGCCGCCTGTTTGGCCTCCTCGGTGATGACGCCATCGCTGGTGGCCACAAAGGCAGCGACAGCCGCCTTCTCCGCATCGGTGACCGGCTCGAGCAGCTGCAATTGATTCTCGCTCTCATCATCCGAATCGCTCTCCTCCCCGCTGCTGTTGATGGTCTCTAATCTCTGCATGGCATTTGTCAGCTTATCCATTCGATTCGCTTGCGAAGGTGGCGTTTGCTGCTGCTGCTGTGGCTGCTGCATCTCTGGTCCGTCCAGCTCCTCGGTTAGGTCAATATAGCGTTGCAGTCGCAGCGGCAACCGCAACGTATCGATGCCATTTGGTAGCTGATTACATTCCCTCAATATATCACGAATACGACAGCTGAATCGTGGGCGAGAGTAATAAGAAAGAAGAAAATTCTCAGTATTCGATATACAATTAAAAATTGTCGCTTAAGTGAACCGGAAATTGGAAACATTGTTTTTGTTTTTAGTAGTCAATATTTTAGAACCATTATTTTTATTATACTTAATAAAATGAAACAGATTTTGAGTAAACTTTTCACCACAAGTTCTTGATCTAAATCCTGTTGAAAAACTTAGACTTGATGTAAATGATTCAATTTTGATAAAGTATTTTATCACTCGTATTTATATTCAAGAAATTTATTTTAATTGTTAATTATTAATTTAATTATTATTACAATTTTTTAATTGACATTTATTAGTTTTTTTACGATAATTAAATTGTATATTTTTTAAACAATAAAATAGACTTATTTACAAGTCATAATCGCATATTCGTATTTTTACTAGTACAAGTATTTTCCACAGTTTCACAATTTGAGCTAAGCTTCTGCAAGAAACTATCTGACAGGTTGTCTTTTTTAGATTTCGTAACTAAGGACGAAAAAGTCTCACCGTTTTGCAACTTTCACTTTGACATTTTTTCGCGCTTGCTTCCTGTCAATCTGAACAAGTTGCATATTTAATAAATTAATTTAAGTTTCACATAATAAGCTGATATAGAAAGCAGCAGAGTATATATATATATATATATATACAAAAAATGAGCAGACAAAACTGAGCAAAGTTCATGTGCTTAAAACTTTTGTTGTAGCAGAATTTCTATAAACTTTACTTTTGCTTACAAAGTTGCGCTCTTTTCTGTGCAGCACTCAAAACAGAAACAAAAACTAAGACAAACTCACAAAAATAAAAAACAGAATAGGAGGAGTTCAAGTACCGGAAATTGTGAGCGTATTTTTCTTGATTTTTTTTTTTACTTTTTTCTTATTTTATTCGTGTACTTTCTCACTTGGTTCGGAGGCAATCAAGCGTCTTTCAGGCATAGTGAAAGCTGTTTTTTTTTCAAGACAACCCACAGCAAAACTTTCTATGTGAGTGCACATGAGTATGCGAATTTTTGTGTAAAATTCTTAAAAGTTGAAAGAAAAAAAGCGAAAGGGGAAAGGGGAGAATTCGACATCATAAAACGCGACATTAGCTTTAAAATATGCTAATCTGTCGCTTAAGCTGTTCGATGCCATCAACAGTTGCCTGCTCGGGGGCTCAACTTTTTATGGTGCCGTTAATTTGTGTTGTCAACATTATTGAGGTCTGCAAATGATGTGCGCCTTTTGTTTTTGGTCACTTTACGAGGCGCCACCAATCAAAGCAGCCAGTCCCCAAGCATCAGCTACTAAGCGACCATAAACAAATAAAAACCACTCCCAGCTTGCGCAATATTAGCTTAGACTCTTGAATTTGCCTAATCGGAGACTTGTGACATTAATGAGCAGAAATTGAAATCTAGCACAGTGCTTGAATAGCTAAATAAATTCCACTTGCACGAGTGAAATAAAAACAATAATGCAGAAAGCGCAGCAGCAGCAATAAAACCGGATTCGCAATCGACAACTAAAAATGGGCGTCAATCTAATTGCATATATGCAAATGTATATTTGTTGAGTTCAGAGAGACATATATATACAAGCATATACATTACACATTCACGTTCAGCTTAGTCTAGTCCGATTTAGTACTATGCAAGTGAACCTTTTCACAGGAGAAAAAACTGGCAAATAGTACGCCGGAAAAAAATAAAACACAAATAGCGAAAGAATGATTGACTAAAGTTGCCCTATAAACTGGCTTAAATTGCACACACTCTAATCTGCTACTGTTGTGATATTTATATAATGTCTCGACTAAACTGAACAACTAACTTCTACGTGTGGGTGCATCTTAAGAAGTGTTGCCTCGCCGTCTACTTCTCCATGCCCAAAATGAAATATTTAGCAGCATAGCCTTTTCGAACCCATTTCGGCTTACAGAGCATATAAAACACACACACATAGTCCAAGTGAATTATGGGCGGTTGGGGTAGGGTGCCAAAGTCGTTTGCGATTTTTATGTGACACGTGAGTTGGCAAATGGCAAACATGCGAACCATGTACAACAATAATGGAACAAGTTGGGGGTCAGAACGTTTGTCAGCTGCACTGAAATCCAATCCGATCCGATCCGAACCGAAAATGGGCAACGGACCAAACTTTTGTGCTAACTTATCAAATTAGTAAATAGGTTGACAGCTTATCGATTAAAGACCGAGTACTAATCAAATTTGTAACGTAATTCAATTAAATTTGGCCAACAGCTGTTGGGCTAGTTGGAGTCTATACAGTCTCATATCTTTGGTATGGATTTCACGCAACTTTGCGCATTTGCTTAAGTTGCGACAAAGTAGAATGGTCGCAAGGGCCATGCCAAGGCCACAAAATTGACTTAATAGACAAAAGACAAAGCGAATTTGCAGTAAGCCTCATCACAAAAGCGACCAAAACAAAAAACCAGTAAATGTTCATGATAAAAGTTGCACAATTTCACGTCGACAGTTGCCGCTGTGACAAACTGTCTGTCAATCAGACGCCGAAGTGGAGGCGACTCTCGGCTGCTTTTTGTGCTTATTAAATTTTCCAGGCTTATCGCAGGGAAAACTGTAAAAGCCGTCACGGCAGGCGTTGAGCAACAGCCAGCAAAAGCATCACCAAAATAATTGAATAAAAAACAATGTTTAACTTCGTTGCCAACCGTCAGCAGTCCACACTGCTTCCAGGGCTGTCAGCCCCTCCCATCGCATTTCTCTCTGTGTATATTTCAAAGACAAACGGACAGTAGGCATTGGTATAGGAAAATTCGGTTTCTAAGTTGATAATTACCGGCAGAAATGACGTAAAGTCGGCACGCCGTAGACCTGTTCCTTGGCAATGATTTTATCCCTTAAGAGTTGTATATAGCGCTCGAAGAAGACTTGCCGTCTCTCCCCATAATTTGTAGGCTGTAAAGAGAAAAGAAGTGGGAGTGTATGAGGTTGACAAGTAAAGAGTTAAGTTTTTGGCAATAAAGACAGACAGCTGATGTTCCGCATGTGAAGCTTGTGTCATTTGTCAGGCAGGCAAATTGATGAAGACATTGTTACCAAAAACACAATCGCAATGAAAATGAAAAAAATAAAATAAAAAATAAAGTAAAAATGCACTTACTTATTAAACAATTTTCAATAGAATAGAAATTATAAATTTATAAGACTTGAAAAGTTTAAAGTTACTTTGATCAAAAAAAATTAAGAATTTTCTTTCACTGTTTTCGGAAACACATATCTCAAAAAGAACTTCACATGAATTGAGAGATGAGTAAAAATTGAATGTTGCCACTCACCAGCATAAAGGGTATTTCAATCATGGCCACATTGCGCATAAGTATGTTGAGGCAGAGAACTAGCTCGTAATTGTAATTGCGTCCATCCTCGATAAGTTTGTCGAGCAGCGCCATTATCACGGAGGTGCCACCATCTGGTGGCAATGGGGAAGCACCGTATCTGCAATGATAAGCGGTCACGAAACTGCGGCTAACTGCCAGCTACGTGCAACGAGCTGCTTGCCAGCTGCCAGCTGAAGCACGTAGTTGGTTGGGTTGCGGTCGGGGTCGAATGCTCTGCGGCTGTTAACTGTAATTTGTAGACGACATTTCTCAACCTGCACTCAAGTGGGTGGTGTTGTGGTTTTGGGTGGTGGCTCAAATTTGTTATCCCATTCCAGTTTGTGGACAAAGACAGGTAACTGGTAATAAATGTTTCTTGCGCTGATAAGCAGAATGTGCAAATGAAATAATGAACTGTGCACAGTTCGCGGTCATGTAGTTGATATCCTGTCATATACACACACACACAGAGGGAGAGAGAGAGACAGAGAGAGAGGGAGAGAGTGGGAAACGGAACCAAGGTTGCGTATGATGTACTGTGGTAAATTGCAAATGAAGTGCAAATGTGGCAAATACGGCAAATGTCGCTCCACGGCAAATAGTTAATGTTGAATCACATCAGCATTGTCACATTTTAAATTGAAAATGTTTGTCACGATGTTTGATTAGGCTTCATTTTCTTTTCATTTGCATTTGGCTCCGATAAGCTGCTTGATGTATTATAATGAATTTATATATGCACCTAGAGAAACATTTTGTATAATGAGGCTATTTCCACTCATGTCAAAGCTAATGTACATGTATATTTAAATCAAAGGTGTTCTTTAACTTAGCGGAACTCTTGTTGAATACCAAAGTCGAAAATTATAAGAAAAACGATCTATTCAAGCTAGAGATAGAAAATGCTTCTTATACTTGCTAAACATTTTTAATTCAGCTTTTCCAATTTAAAAAATTGACTGCAAACAATTATTATCATTATTAAAAAAATAGATTCAATTAAATTAAATAATCAAATATAATCACTTATTAAAAACTAAGATATAAAATAATCTCTATTCAATATCCAATAAATTAAAGCATTTTGTTGAGTATATAAAGGAAATTATATATTTTATATACCTCAGACAGATAGAAAAATATATGAAAATATGCATGTTCCTTATACAGCATTATATATACAACTGTATAATTTTCGTGAATTTCAAATGAGAATGCAACTAACCAAAAAATTGCACGCAAATGAAAAGCACACTTTATCGGAAATCAGGCAGAAGGCTGCAACAACAGAAATAAACAACAATAGACAATATACAATAGACTGATAAGCAACCCCACAAACTAACACCCTTCCCTCTTCCAATCCCTCTTCCATCTGTATATCAATCGTTGGCATTGCATTTTCACCATGCAATTCACGTATCCCGACAACTCGCTGCAGATTATTTGAAAACTGACTATATAAATGGCAAGTAAATAGCGAGGACTGGAATGAATAATTGAATAAATGACAAATATGCATAATACAATATAATATCCACATATTGAGATTAATATATTATATATACATATATATATAACAACGTTTACTACATAGTTGTTACTGAAGATTTTGAGTTGCGTTTAAAGTTATATTTACCACAATGCTTGAAGATGGTTTAAGCTTTGCAGAAAAAAGGAACCGAAAATACTTATCAAGCGATTAAATTAATATCTTAGAGTTTCCTCAGAAGCATACACTTAATTTACAATTTACCCTTATTTTGAAACTCAAGATTTACTTGAAAACATTAAGATTTACGTAAAAGAACATAATGATATATGATTTTTAACGAATTATATACAATAATATTCAATACATTTTCGACCGCTAAAGGCTATTCCTTACAATTTCATTAAACTCAAAATCTTTAAGCTTCGAATTAGTTTTTGGTAGCAGCTGGTGATTTATTTTAGAGCAGATCAAGTGTACTTTGAGTTGGCAGACTTGTGAGTTTGCTGTTTTGATTGCAGACGCCATTTCTGATTTCTTTTTATTCTCTTTGACTGGAATCAATATTACAATTTAATGCAAAGCATACTTTTTGGCGCAGCATCAAAAATTGAAAACGCTGCTTCCGTTGCCAAAAAACAGCTGAACATGCAACAAACAACGAGAACCAACAAGAAAACCAAAAACAAGAACAACAACCACACTGATAGGAAATGCACATCGAGCACTATCCAGTTATGCGACAATAAATTGCCAACCGCAGAGGCAGCGACGAGCTGAACGCATTTTCAAGGCTGAGAACCATTTTAAGCTATAATTTTCCCAGCTGCACTCAGACAAAAGACTTTGTTCCAAATTAAGCATGGATGGAATTCCTAAGATTTTATTTGTCTACTTAAAATCAAACTATCCTGTTATAGAGCGAATTTCAAGAACTATAATATTTATTTCAGCTTTAGATGAGTTCAAATGTAAAGGACTTCAGGAAAAAGGGAACCCAAAATAACAAATATTTTCTGTTGTCAACAATATTCTGACTTTTGCCTGCTTTTGATCACAATAAGCTCTAAATTTTTTGTATGTGTACCAATGTGGTTGTTGTTGTTGCTGTCACTGCTGTTGACTGCACACGCGTAAGTTTGTGGCAGGCTGGCTGCCTGCGTCGGCCCTGAGACAGAGTAGAGACACACTCGCGTCGCCTTGTCATGCAAATTCGCTTTGGCAGGGACTTTCATATTTAATGTTAATATTTGCATCCGAGCGGCGGGTGGCAATGACGTTGTCAAGGGGGCATGTCATTGTCAGTCCAACCACTTGATTATGCTAAGCGTTGCATAGAGTTTTATGTTGCATACATTAAGACAACTTGCCCATCACTCTCTCTCTCTCTCTCTCTCTCTCAGTCTTTCGCTCAACTCACCAAGTGCCATTGAGCTTTGCATATTTTTTGCGCTAATTGAAGTGGCTGACAAGACACAAATCCCCACTACTTGCTCCCTTCATATCCTCACCTGAGCAGCAGCAGCAACAATTCGGGCGCATTTGCTTGCAACGCAATGCGGAGTGGCGATGAACGTCCGCAGGACTCGATGGGTACATCAATGAATCTGCAAAAAGGCCAGATAAATACATAGTTGGTTAGATATGACCGGATAAGTGGCTTTAACAAGAAACATCGACTGCTCTGCTGGCTCTGTGACCCAGAACAATCCTTGACAGGCAGCCCAAAATGAATTCGAGTTTGGGGAGCAGGGAAGCTGGGAAGCAGGGGCCAACTGCTTAGTGCCAAAAGAAAATAAAGATGCTCGCTTGTTGCTTTTTGCCTGTCGCCTGTTGTCACATTTTCGGTTTTGTTCTGTTTTTTTTTTTTTTCTGGGGTTTTACTACCCTTGCAGAGGGTGCTCTTATTTTGTCGTGAAGTGCGTTGTTACATTCTCGGCCTGCAGTAAATTTTGCAACAATTTACATTTTAATAATACCAGAAATTTTATATTTAACATTTTACATTTTATTTTATCTGTTACAAACATTCTACATTTTAACTTAACGATTCCATTTATCTTCACATTAATTATTTTTCATTTATTTAATTTAATGTTGTTAATATATTTTTTTTGTTTAATTTTAGTCTTGTCTACATTAAATAAATAAATAATTTTAAAGAATAATCCAGCAGCAAAGGCATAGGCGATATATTTGTCGAAATCTGACTGATCATACTACTATAATATATAAATTAACAAGTTGCAAGACAAGTTCCTGTTTTAAAACTTATCTTGTTGAGACAAGTTATCTTAATCCTCCAGGTCACAAGACGGCCTGAGTTTATTGTCGCAATTATTGGCTTATCTCGAAAGCCCACAAAAAAGTCGTTGATACATTTATCTTTATCTTGAACTTTCTCCTTTTCTTAAAATAAATGTATTTTGCCACATTCATCAACTGTCAACTTCACACAACTCTGACAGCTAATCTACTCATCAGCATGTATGGCAAACGCGACAAGAAATAAATTGATTGGATTCTCCAAATTAGTTTTCCAAAAAAAAAAAACTGGCAAAACGAGTATTTTATAGCGAATAAGCAGGTTTAGGTACGAAAGGGTTAATTTATTAATTTAAAAATAGATTACTATGTCAGTGTATGTAAACTTCTACTTGACGTGTATAGCTCTTCATACTCGACTTTTTTTGTGAGTTCTGGTCTCTGGTCTGTAAAATTGTCCTTAGGGTGCAGAGCTTCAATATTGCGTACACTCAGAGCTGTTAGAGGGCGTTTAGCTCCATTGAGCCATTAGCATGTACACCGTATGCACTTCAAGCGCTTTGCGCCACATGCCAGACAAAGAAAATCATATAACTGAGTGAGTGTGTGAGTGTGTGTCGTGCGTTTGTATGTTATTTGCTGTGCTGCTGTGCTGGCTTTAATGTCTACGCATAAAAGTGGGCAAATAAAAGCCCAAAAGTCCCAATAAAGCGACAGCAACGCATATGCAGGTGATTTACCTACACACACACACACAACACACACTTTCAGGGACACAGCACTGTTGAGCAGACGATAAGCGAATTTAACGTTCTACACACTTTCAGTTACCAAGTTCTGAGCAAATTAATTTACAGCTTAGCAGCACTTTGGTCTGTCCAGTTAGCATATTAAAATTTACTTGGTGGCCCAACAACAATAGTGACTAAAATTAGAAATGATGTTACAAGTACACAGTAGGCTAACACCAGCAGCTTAAGCAGCATGTAGTAATTTAACACATTTCTCTTCACTTATGCTACTCATAACAAGAAAGTGTGTTTCCAGTTAGATCCTATAATATGCATTTAATTATTTATGCAGAGTTAAAACTTTCAGGCACTAAACATTTAAAGGTCTTAAAGAAATCAGCCCTGCTTAAAATTTGCTAATTATTAAGAACCGTTTATGGTTATTATAGATAATGTTTGCATCGTTTCCATAGGGGATCATTTTACATTAAACAAAACAGTTTTAATAAAAACTAATATTACTATTATGATAACTACTTTGTATATTGTTGCACTCGGGCGTAAGCGACTGCAGAATACTCTGATTTACATTACAATTTTATCGATGCCAGTTTAAAAATTGTTCGAGTATATATTCCAAGAATCAAGCTACTCGCCTAAAAGCTGCCTAATACCTATGACTAAGACTTAGATTAGGATAGCTACGGATTACATTGAATCTTCCTCTGCTGTCTTTTCCTATTCAAAAATAAATTTTCCGATTTCAGCTAAAAAAACTAAAAATACAAATTTTAGATTTCATAAAATGTTTACATCCTTGCTATTAAATTGGGCAACGTAGCGTATGCTTAACAAATATTTGCAGCTTGTCTAATGAAGTATACAAAATACCTTAAATAATTATTATATTAATTGCTTTGAATATGCTCGAAATAATAATAATTTTCGATTTCATCATCTGCTTGCGTCTTTGCCATTCAATTCAATTGGGCAACGTTGCGTATGCGTAACAAATATTTGCTGATTGTCTAATAAAGTATAATTAAAAATGAAATAAAAAGAAAATTACGCATTTTATTTTTATTTTTGCGTATAAAATCCAATCTTTTATATTTATCTATAAGACAAGTTGTAAATATTATATGGGTAAATTCATTTAGGTATGAATCTATTTATACTCTTTATATACGAAGACATGTTACACATTTGTGACGTTGATTTGTGCAACTTTTAGCGGCACTCAACGCCAATGTTTATAGTGACATTACTCGCCTCCACACACACAGCCAAACACACACATACACATACACTTGCAGATATTAATGCTTATTCATTTGTGTTGGTGTTTTGATGGAGACACTGCTTAAACTCGAGCGTCAAGTGAGAGGGCATCATAAATGTGCTCCTAATGTTTGCCAGACAGCTTGTCTCATGCTTGTGTGTGTGCGGTCGTGTGTTTGTGTGTGTGTGGGGGGGTGTGGTGTGGCGAGTGTATGTGGCGTGATGAGTGGCGGCCAGGTGCGCTTATTACAAGCATTTTTGACTTTAATCCTTCGAAGTGTTGGCAAACAAAGCCAAAATAACAAAAGGTTTAAATAGCTGCCTGTTGGTTTGCAACTTATCTCTGCACACACACACACACACACACTACAACAAAAACAACACACACACACATGTTCATAAATCTCTGGCAGAAAAGAAAAAAAAAAAAGGAAAATGAAAATGAAAATGAAAATGAGACAGCCAGCGAACGGAGCTCATGTTAGAAGTGAAAATCTTAATTATACATGACACCAACAGCAGCCCCTGACTACAGGCAGCGTCTGAGATTGAAAGCCGCAGCGGCCATTGTGCAAATTAATGTCCATATGTGTGTGTGTGTGTGTGTTTGTGTGTGTGTGTGTGTGTGTGTGTGTGTGCTTGTAAAGTGTCACCAACTTTTACTCAATTATGGCTGACAAACACGCACAGCGAGTAAACAATGCCAGGATGTATTAATTTAATTAAAATCCTTTTATTTGCAATTTTCTCTTGTTTCTTTTTTTTTCTTATTTTCTTTTTTTGCCTGTTTTTATACTGAAATTTCCCAGGGGATCACAGCAACAGGCGTTGCTTGGCCTTTGTTCTGTCATTTAAGCCAGCCATTCATTAAATTTGCTTCAATTTCCCAGGCTTTATCTGCACGGCTCTAAATATTTGAAACGCGTTCTGGTTTTAGCCATATTTGTAATTTATTCGCTGCCCTGATTTAAAAAATTGTACTCAAATTGCGATTTAATTTCAATTGCTTAAATTTCGTTGTTATTCTTTAACAAATAGATTCTCTGGCTTAGCAGAATTGCTTTAATTGGAAAATATTTTGCCAAATTCAATTAAAATTATTGTTATTCTCAATAAGTTTGACTAACGCAACAAACTTTGTGCTAAGCTTGCCACAATTGGGGGAGACGAATATCTTGTTTTGCACCAAGGCTTATGAGGATCTTGTCGCTATGAGCTTTACTTAAGCTAGCTAAATGAATTTAATTGTAAAATATTTCGTTTAATTCAATTAAAATTATTAATATTCTCAAGTAGCTAGACTAGACAACTTTTGGCTGAAACAAGCATTGACACTGTTGCCAAGCAACAAAAACAACACAGCAAAAGCAATAGACAACAACTTGTTGTTTGCCAGTGTCAGCTTGAAAGTTATTCTATGAGCACTTGAGGCATTTAGAGCATAGCCACAAAAATGTATGTGGCTCTTTTCACTTTTTTTGCTTTGAACCATAAATTTGGTCTGATGTCAACTTACCTAAGCTGGCGCTCCTGCTCGAAGCGAGGTATCCACACGGGCAATGTCAGTTTTTCGCGTGTTGCATGCTTCAGAAAGTAAACCATGGCGCGCACATTCTCATGCTATCAAGCGGAAAAACAAAAGAAACTGTCTCATATATATATAGTATAACTATGAGTGCTTGCAGCAAATAGCTTACCTGGTCCTGAAAATCGCTGCGCCAGCCGGCTATAAAGTGCGGTGCATGTGGCCCAAATAGTGCACCCAAAAAGATGCGCTCGAACGTCTTCTCGCACTCATAAATAGCCACTAAGCAGAAGGAGAGAATGTGAGAAAGACAGAGAGAGAGAGAGAGAGATATATAGTGAGATAAAAAGATAATAAGGCAATTATGACATAACACTCCACAAGGAGTCGCTGCAAACAAATAAAGCAAATTACGCAGTTGTACTTGTTGACAGTATTTTTATTTGTTTTTTTTTTTTTGTTTTTGGGAACACGCTTGCCGGATGTGGCGTCTGCCACAAAATAAAGTCAGAGCACCGGCAACACAGCAAACGCGCAACGGAAACTTGCAAAATGTGGGCAGTCAAATACAAAAAAAAAAAAAAACCTTGCACTATTATATAAATGTTGAGTTGTCCAGCTAACTGCTGCTGGCAGCCGTAACTGGTCTCCAAATGTATGCCACGTAAAACGCACTCTGCACAAGAGGCACTTGCAACATTTTGACTGCGGTTGTAGGCGCGGAAATTTTCGCTAAAAAAAAAGGAAGTAGATATTTTGCAATGGAGTTTTCACTAAGTATACAATACTCTGCTTCCGCTCATGGTATTCAAAACTCTAATATTTTACTAGAAATATAATTTTAAATAAATCTAAAACCTTAAGTCAAATTTAAAAAAAAATGTGTGAAATATTAGACAAATTTTAAATATTTAATTTTATTCATATACTACAAAGTTGAATCCTCTGTATAAGCTTGGTGAGGCAACCAGCTAACATGATATTTACAACACGTATTTTGTATTGTGTGCTACATCAAAATATAAAGATTAAAAATGAAGAAAAGCGAAAAGAAAAGTAATATAAGAAAATTGTATAATCCTTGAGCTAAGTCAAGGTCTTATCGATTTTCCAACACCCTGTTGACTTGTCACAATAATCTTAAAACTTTCCTGATAAAAAATAAAATAAGCCAACAAACAAAGATGGCACAAAACAAAAACACTCAAAACTCCTTCTCCACCCTGGGATCAGTGTACAAAAATCGCAAGTTTTACCGCTTGCCATGTCAAACGTAAAGCGGGTGTAAGCACACACACGTACCTACACACACCCACACACACCCAGACACACACACAGGCAATATATAGTTAGCTTGGAGGCATGGCACACCATTAATTCCGCAAGTCTTCGGGCTGTCAAGTTTCACGCAGCATTTTAATTAGAGGCAACACACGCATCGTCTGAAGGCATGGCCCAAATAACGTGCAACACTTTGGAGGCACTTTACAAGTTTTATGATGCAACAAGAAGCAGCACAGTAGCAGCAGCAGCCATAGCATTAGCAACACTTTCGCCTCTTTTGCCTTAACGCAATTTCCAGCTGGCAATTAGCAGAAACACGTGATTAAATGAGATTCGTGTGAATCGCGTCTGCTTACTTAAGAGCGTTATAATCTGATGCAAAGCCATAAAATTCATTAAAATATGCAAAACAAAAGGACACGCCCCAAATCACACCACAAACACACACACACACACACATCTGTGTATATATATGTTGTGGCATTAAATTATTAAGTTAGTGCCTTTGACTTACCCAACAGCTGAACGACAACCTCGGAGTCGCGTACTCCCCAATCCCAACAGCAGCGCAGCGCAATATATAAAATGTTGTGATACTTCCCCATGAGGCACACCTGGAAAAGAGATTTCCCCTTTACTCATTTACTCTACTCCTGTTTATGCCATAAATTTGAGCACAAAGCGCATTTGAATTTAAATTAAATGCTGGCATAGGATTTTGACCAGACACATGTGTTACACAAATTACATTGGAATTAAGCAGAACTTAAGGGCTTCAATGCTTCTGGCTAACAATACTAGGAAACAGAAGAACACAAATACATAAATAAAAAATATTTGCATAAATATTCACATTAAATATACACAAGTAAAAATGGCTCTTAGGCACATGATTGATTATTGTAAGAATTGCAAGCAGAAATTCAATGAATTTTAATTTGTTAGAAATTGCGTACGAACCAATTAAATAATTATAATATACAGTTGGGTTTTTCTCGATTAAAACACAAAATACAAAGTTATTCTTAAATCAATTATCAAATTCAATTATCAAAAATGTCAACATGTCAGTTCAATTAGATTACAAATTTAAGTACGTTTCAGTAAAAGATTGAATCAATTATAAAATTCTGAAAGTGTCTAAATAATTCTCGATTTAAGTATTCAAGTCCAAAGATGTAAGAAGGTGAAGTTAAACTCAATTAAAAACGAATCAAAAGCTGAAACACTTAATAACAAGTCAAAATGATCCAGTTGAGTAAGTTTGATAAAGAGATATTCAATTATAAAATATATTTATGCTGATTGTTTTGTGTATGTTGGCCTCGTTTTAAAATTTAATATGTATTTAGCTTGATTGGTATACGATTTCTAGCAAATCGAAAAATCAATTTACCAAGCCAATTTATCAACTCTCACCTGTCCGTTGGCTTCCTTGGCCAGTCGATGGTAACGCAGAGCGGCAACAACAGCCAGGCTGGCAACCTCAGCCGTCTGGACATTTTGACCCTCGCTGCAGCCCTTGATGATGGCACTCAAATGATCGAGCACGTTGCGCCGAGACTGACGATCGTGGAGACCGTTGCGTGTGATGTGCTCGAAGGTGTCGTCGAAGAAGCACTCGAAGATGTAGTCCATGACCAGTTGGCGTCGTGGTCGTCTGCCACAGCGCTGGTAACTGGCTCGGCTGGTTGCACGTGGCGCCACCAACGGCCGGAAGCCGTACAAATAGCGCGGCACTGAATGCAGCCAAACCGAAGCCAAATGACGTTTTAATTGACTTACCAACTGCTGCAATGTCAACAGCAACTGCTGTAAAAACATGACACAATCGAACAAGAATAATAAATGAATGTATTACGGAATTTTAATAAACAAACTAGTTTAGTTAAAGGCAGCATAAGACTAAATTCAAACACAAAAAAACACGTTAAGCCAAGTTCCGCAGACGCAAGTGAATAAATTTCGAGGCTACGAAGCGTCGAAGGAACTTGCTTCAGGGTGAGCTCTCTCGCCGCTTTCCTCTCTCTCTCTCTCTCTCTCTCTCTCTCTCTCTCTCTCTCTCTCTCTCTCTCAGTCTCCCTGCCTCTCACTTTGATTGCTTTCTCTCTTTATTGATTTTTTCATGCTGGCAACATAGTGCGCAAAAAAAAACCAAAACATTGACAATGTGTACGTACAAAAAACGTAAACAAACAAAGTATAGTCGTTATATTTTCATTTAATTAATTCATGGTAAACGCAATGCAATCAACTAAAATCGTTTTTCAAATTTCATTTACTACTTGTAATCATTTCATAGTGTTTACATTTTCTATGTTGTTTTTATTTTATATATATAAATATATAAATTGGGCCGGCTAACAGGTGTTCGTTTGCCAGATGAGCGATTGTTATTTCATAGCTTGTTTTGAGTAGGTCACTTGATAATATACTATGACAATAATTTGCTTGTAAATTCAATTTGTAACCGACTCAATTCACATTACATAAAATAGATCAATTCACACTGTTCAACAGACGCCAAGCAACTGAAAACAACATCAAATTTGTTAAAAACACAATCGCTCAGCTGTTTTTAGCTGCTCACTCTCCCACAATCTCTCGCTCAGCCTTTCCACACCTCTCTCTCTCAGTATACACCCTCACCTACGCCCACGCACTTTTCTTCTCTCACTCTCTCTCTCCGTCTCTCTGGATATTTTTCTTTGCGATTTTCAGTCAAAACAGAAGCAGAAGTTCAGTTTGTTATTGCTCAAAGTGCGTAATTGATAAGCGCTTGTAAGTGTTTACATTACGCACACTCACACACACACACTCGTACACACACACACATACTCCCAAAAATACACACACTGTTATAGGTGCAAAGTAAAAAAAAAAAACTGAATTGAATTAAAACCACACATTTTCAATTTATTTATCACGATATAAAATGCTTCTTTTTTTATAAATTCGCCATGGGATATTTTCATTTTTACAATAATGGGCAGCATATTGCATAAATTATTTTTGTATACTTATGGAATGTTTTTACATACTAAGTGCATGCTTATATAAGATTATTCTAATTTTTCACTTTTGACATATTTGTGAATTGAATTAGGAATGTAATCCAGATTGTTATCATCTTCGTCAAATTCGACACACATATGAGTCTAATAATCGAAAATTTCATTGTAAATCTATTCCATTAATCTGTAAATAATAATCGTAGGACTCTTATAAGAATAATTGAAACATACATATATTAAATTTAATCAGCTCAATAACATTCAACTTCATGTTTAAGCATATTTAAACTTCGGTGCAGGAAATATGCACATTTTTCTGACGCTACAAATCAAATGTAATTTTTTGTTTTACTTTTAAAAGAATCATTTACTTTCACCGCGCATATATATTTCACATATATTTTTTTTTTTATTGGGTGGCTCACAACATTGGTTATTTGCATATGTCAATTGAATTGTGGATTTGTAATTTATTTACGGATTTTTCTGCTTAACAAGAAGCTATTTTTTCCAGTAAATTTCAATATAACAAATATTTATTGGTTAGTTCAGTAAGTTTAATGCTTACCCATCAATTATCAAAATTAAATATTTATATTGCACACGTCTTATTTACACTTATACCTTAAATATTTACTCGAATAATTACGCAGCGGGTAATGAAGACATTAATTAAAACCCATTCAGCTGGGGGGAGAGCGATGCTGATTGTCTGCGTACATGTGAATATTTCCCCTTAATCAGTTGAATAAACACGATTAAGTATTCATAAGCTGCTAAGAAGGTGCTCAACTATGAGATACTCTGTAGTTAGATCTGAAGTGTGATATGTGAGCACATATTTAATTTGAGAGAGAGTGAGAGAGAGAAGTATTTATAATAGAAAATATATATTTACAAACTTAACTGTTCTCCAGTTATAAAGATTAATATTAAGTTTAACGAACAGGAGTGGATCACCTCGTTGTTTGATTCTGAGTAATCATATTTGTATAACTGACGAGTTCTGCCTCTAGCTATAATACACTCCATTGCAAGCTCTGCAGGGTATATTAATGGCGGAAAATTGAAATGGAATTGGCACACTTATATGTATATTATTAAGTGCACCTTATAAAGTTCATAAATTGGATCTTACTTTTATTATTCTATTAAAAAGTGATCCATTTAATTTGTGGTCAAAAGGCGCACTTTGAAAAAGTGCTAAATAAATTGAATAATCAAGCATATCATCCATTCACACCCACACACACACACCGACACACACACATATTGACTGGGGTATTTATATGAAATGTTGTGGCTGCCCGGAACGGAAACGGAAACGTGACCACAACAAGACCAGCACTTGAAGCCAAACAAATTCAATAATGTGCATGAAGGATGCAAAATGGCAAATTGTGTAATAAATTTGATGGAAAATGCATACAATGCATACAATTTGCATACATTTAAGTCGGGAAATAAATACATCGTATGAATTTACAGGTAGAATAAATAAGTAAACATGTTTGATAAGAAGTTGAAGTCAACAGCAATTAATTTAAAAAACAACCATAAAAGCAACTTTACAACTTAACTCATAAAGTTAATTGTATGCCTGTTTTTTAAACATTCCAATGTTTTAAAGGCTTGACATTGTTTTCAAATAGATGAAAGTCCCTTTTGCAGACGTGTGAGATAATGAGTTTAATTGCTGAATTTAATGTTAAAATACAATGAAATCGCATTTAGGCATACACATTTTGTTCTTCATAACTTCTTATCTTTATATTTCACTCTTCCAATTACAATTTATGCAATTTGTCCTTTGGGCTCTTAACTTGGATGCCAACAATAGTTTGCCTATCGTATTAGACTTTTAATACATCTTTCTTCTCTTGCTGATCGTAGAATTATGCTTGGTTTAATCAGAAATAAACTACCAAGTGTTAAAATTGATTCTTCCCAATTAATCAGCCGAGTTAGTTTCGCAGTTCCGCTTTGATTGGTTAATTTGTAAAATATAAAATAATATTTATCGTAATTTTCATTTATCCTATGTATCTATTTATTTTTTTTTATTAAAATGAAAAACTATTATGGTTGTTATTTTATAAATTTTTAGAGTACTCCCAAAAGAACGCAGTGATTGTAAATAATTTGCCGCATAACTCTCAAGTTAGCACTTAAGTAACTGTATTTGTATGTGGCTCTAAGACGACATGCATTAGCCAAGTGCTTGTAATAAATTGGCTAAGCCACGCCCACATCCGTTGGGGGCGGTGCATGCATTATGCGAATATGAAGTAGTCGTAATTTAAATCTCTGTGTGCACTTTGTGCCACAAGCAGCACGCGATTGTCTTAAATCATATCGTGCAACACAACGCAACTAATGCATGGCAAACGTTTGCTGTCTCTCTTTTGCAGGTTACTCTGCCAGGAGATCAACCAGGACGAGTCCTTTCAGCTGGAGTATCGTGGCCCGGTCATTATGAAGGGCAAGCCGACGCCGATGGACTGCTGGTTCCTGACACGTGCCACCAGCAACACGACCAGTGGCAATGGCAGCCTCGACTCGCCGCTGCTGCAACCCACAACGCCAACGGCGACAACGCAACGTCTGGCCATGGGGCAACATGCAAGCGTCTCACGTACGTCCTCGACGGGTCCTGTGGCGCCAAAGGATGCATAGAAAATGCACAAGCAATGAAATATTATGCTCTAAGGCAAAATCTATGTGTGATTCCTTTACTGCGACTGTCTGTCTGTCTGTCTGTGTGTCTGTCTGTCTGTCTGTCTGTCTGTCTGTGTGTGTGACTGTCTGTGTCTGTGTATGCATGTGTCCTGGCCACTTAACCACTTCATTTCTATGACTCTGCACTTATCCTATCTTGGCCCGCATTTGTCCCGTGGAGCAGAAGCAGCAGCAGTTGGCATCAGCCTCGTTTGGCTTCGTTGGCTCGCAAAAGGTAATTTATGTTAATGCTCTTCCGTCTTCCATCTATTCCATCGTGCATCTTCCATCTTGCATCTGTACTCTTTCGATTGGCGACACGCCCACACAACTTAGTTTACACAATGATTTACATTTGTACAGCGATTACGCTGCGTATACGTAATTTATGGCATATTTACAACGCTTATTTGTACTGCATAAATCAAAATCGTGTATCTATCTACTCATGCCGAATTAGCATCATGTATCATTTCCAATGCCACTTGCCGATATCTCTGTAGGCATTTGCCATTAGTTAAAGTGTTGTTTGTCATTTGAGAACTCTAAACAAGGATTGCACATAAAAGAAAACACATCCTGTACAAGTTTGCTGTGTTGTGTCGTTTGTTTTTGTTTGCCCAAGTCTCTGTGCTTATGCAGTAAACTAGATAAGTCCAAAACAACTCAATATAAAAGCCATAATATGGCAAACAGTTAAATATATATATCCCCCACTTCACTGGCTCCCGACTCTGAGCCTCCAACATTTTGTAGCATACTTAGCCAAGACTGCCGAACCAAAGGATTGTCAACAGCGCCGAGCAAAATGTTTGCATTGACTTTGTTTGTGCTCATTTTTTGTTTTTGTTTACAAAAGTTCGGCTAGATCCATGCTGCTGTTGTTACTGCAAGCGTACCATATATTTACATATATAAATATATATATATATATATATATATCTTTCTATATACCTAAAAAAAAAAAACCCCAACAAACTGAGCTGCGCTGGTTTGCCAGTTTGAAAGAGTACAAACGCTCGGAATTTAACACATATTTTCATATCAAATATTTGGCATAAGCAAACAACCGCAAAAGCAGAAAGGCTGCTGCCATTGAATCTGCGACAGATATAGATGCAAAAGGGCAGTTTGAAATGTTTATCAAATGGGTAGAAGGAACTTGGGAGAAGTAGAGCGAGAAGGGTTACATATATAGTTGAGGAAGATAACACAGCTAATTTAAAAATAATTATGGCACATATTATATAATAGCCTGTTATCTACCTTAACTAAATATCTTAATAATAAACTGATGCATCAAAGTCTTCAATATTTCTCTTCTCCCTCCCTCTAACACTTTTCTTGAGTTGGTCACTTTTTATATAATAATATATATAATAATATGAATAATATATACTGAAAGATTATAAAATTATTTTTTTTTATTTCTGTTATGTTTCATTAATTTTTTAATGACTGAACTTGTAAAGAGTTTTTCGGTCCCTTAAATTGAGAAGGTAGAGTTAGATATATATAGGAGTTACAGCTTACATTTAAGTATGTAGAAACCTCTGCACCAAACCCAAAATTATTTTGTAAGCAACAAGTTTAATTCATAAATATTTTATGATTTTTATAAAGCTCGATATTAAATCAAAGTGGTTAAGTGTGAGATTCTCTGCCTGCAAAATAAGTACTAGTTTATTCCGACTTTCAATTTTGTATATTTACTACGCTTTTTGGAAATATGATTTCAATTTTCGGCTTACGGAGTTGCCACGAACTCCATATACTACTACTCCAATCCATAACTATAGCTACAATCATAATCAAAGAAGTGTTGGTGTTATTATTATGCAATTAACAATTTAACAATCGCAAAGAATATTGACTATTATTCCCAAGTGTGCAGCGACGACCCTCGCTGGAGTGTAACTCAAGTTTATATCTTTTTCCGGAAACTTTGTTAATGTATGTGACATTGAGGCAAAGCGAATCGCATTAAACGCCCACAGACCGACCCATGCACAGATACAGATATAGATACATATATTCAAAAACTGGGAGTAAGCTGCTTATAGACTTGCATACAGATTTTGTTTTGAAAATGTGTGTTTGGGAACTGCTTGTGGGCTCGCCATTTTATATTAGCTCGCAATGTCTGTTTATGTCCTCGATATGCGCACATTATCGTTAAATGCCAACCATAACAATAACAATAACATCAAAAACAAAAACAACAATGCAATTTGATGACTTGCAAGTTGGAAGGCATTTTAATGATGATGCCATCCATATACAAGTGCCAGGAATATGTGCGATTGTGTGTGTGTCTCCCTAACGATGCCTCGTTAGAAATGGATTAACATTGATTATTTGTCGCATTCAGTTTTTTCTGCTTACATTTATATTTCTATTTTGCTTACAAATAATAATTAAAAAGGGTAAACGAAATGTTTGCCAAGCACATTTCTCAAATTTAATATAAATCTCAATCTTTCTCTTACGGTCAACAGCTCATTTGCATTCATAACGAATGCAGACAGCACAAGGACTACAAATTAAGGTCTTATGAGATTGAAGTTGGGATTTTGTTATGAGCCGTGTTAGAATGAGAAATACTTTGTTGCCAGTTTAATAAGTGGGCTTATTCAAAGCAAAACTCATCAAAATGATTTTTTGTAATATTTTACATTCAACAAGATATTTTGATATTCTTTTTTATGGAATTCAAAATTTATTTGCATTAAAATTATGTGGAACCAAACAAATGTGCAAAGCTTAAATTAGCCTAATTTACTTTAAAACCGTATCCTTAATATTTGTGACTGTCCTTCAGAAGACGGAAGATTAAACATGCTTCGTTGCTTCGCTCACATTTTTGGCAACTCTTTTGTCACACTGTTTGCTCTTGGCATCCGGTTGCTCAACACCCCCTTATCCTAACCGCACCCCTAACCTTTTCCAGACCTACAGCAGCTGCCTGATTTTTCTAATAATTTTTCTTCGCTTCTTCTATTTAGCATTTATTTATACTTCACATCCGGTTTATTTGTACAGGATGTTGCCTCAGGCTGTTATTGTTGTTGCCCATCTTCTGCCTTCATTTTTTTATCCTCTTTAATCTGTTTATTTACAAGATTATTTTTATGGCATTCGATTCGCCTTGAAATTGTTAAAGAGTTGCAGTTGCAATTCAAGTGAATGCACTCATTTATTCATCAGGCATTCACTGCGGTAAAATCAGAGCGCTTTGTCCTGCAAAAAAAAGGAACTTTAACGAGCTCTTAATTAAGTCTGCCTTTGTGCCACATCGAGATGCTTTCAACTCGTGGCATTGGACTTACCCTCATTTATCATCGACTGACTGTTTGAAAGATATATGTATGTTTTCTTTACATTTCCGCAAGCACATCCATCAATAAATTTATATATACATGAGAATATATATCCTTCTAGACGGTTTTTTCACATTTTTTTCTCTCGCACAATTTGGTTTTCTGTTCGCGTCGCTTACATTTCAAATACACAAATGCAAATCCCGAAACCAATCAAATAAATATTTGCCTAACTAAATACAACATCAATTCGATGCCTGCGCCTGACTCTGACTCTTCCTCTGGGCCTGGCCTGGTCTGGTCTGGGTCTGGTACTAGGTCTGGTTCTGAGCCTGTTTTTGGCCCTGGCATCCTGTCCTTTTTCAAGGCCGTTGCGTGCGAGGCTCATAAAAAATTTAGTTCAAATTGCAAGTGACAGACGCGATGCTCCCGCTAAGCGGCTTCTGCTTCTTCTGCTTCCCCTGCTCGTATCCAGTTCAAGTCGGCTTTTCTCATTAAAAATTCATAAAGATGGAAATTATGATTGCTATGAGCCGCCGACGACAAAATGTCAGAACCAAACGCGACTGCTAGTTGTAAGCTTAAATCAGTTTTTGGGCAAGAGCGACAGCCGAGTAAAATGTGTAACAGCAAAACAAACTTCTTTAACTTGAATGCCCCAAAGTAGCTGGCAGATTAAATATGTATTTGAGGTTCAAGAAAAAAATATTTATTTGATTTATGTAATTTTTATTGAATAACCAATTCTATTTTTTAGAAGAAAAGCTGGAGCAGAAAAACACTTATTAATTTATTACTTGATCAATTTTTTTAACATAAAAAATATATTTATTTAATTCTGAATTATAATTGTATTTAATTTATTTTAACGAATTCATACTTCTTATTTTTATAAGGCCAGTGAAAACATATTTAAATGTTAAATGAACGTATATATTTCATCCAATAGACTTAATCGCCAATTGAGCTTTCCAAGTCACCTCACATAGTTTATATAACCTTGCCGTAATAAATAACTATAAAGAATGCTCACAAGAACTAGAGAACGGAAAGAAAAATGGCCAGGCAAAAAGCTTAGCAAGATAATAATATGTCTAACGTTAATGCTGATGACAATGACTATGTCAATGAGTATAATGCGCTTTTAGCTTTGAGGCATGATGTGTTATATGTCAAGCCGGCAGCAGCAGAGACGAAAATATTACGCATTCGCCGCGTGTGTCTAATGCAAAATTAGTGTGAGTTATGATAGAAAAAAGGGTTGCTGCTGACAACTGGCAGCAGCAGCAAGTGGCGACAAACTTCTCAGACATGTGTTGCGCATTTTAATGGAAATTATTCGCACGTTGCCACATTTGAAATTCTCGGTAAGGACGAAAGGCCAAAGGCTCAAGAGAGCTATGGTATTTTTTTATTGAATTATTTTTATTTAATTTTTTTTATGTGCAGAGACAGATCGCTCAACTTTTACCCTTTTACTTACCTTGGGCAAACTAAAGCTAGCAAAAATGTAGGCGGCAGCCCCAAAAGGTTACCTGAGAGTCCTTGTCGTGGCTCATAAAGTTTTGCCCATGTGGTTAGTTGTTGAAACTTTTGCTATTTGACTATTGCCACAGTCCGTGTGCAGCAGCTTCAAAGTTTTTATGGTCTCATTTCAGTCATTAATAAATGATACCTAGTTTATGGACATGTTCCATATAAGAGTCATAGTAGTTGCTATAAAGTGCCAAGCTGTTGTCTCCCAGCATCATTAAACTGAATGCTACGATGTTAAAAAAAAAGTACATCAAAGTTAAATTCCCCATACCAATTGTCAACTTGATGTAAAATTGCAAATTGAGTCCCAAGACGAGAATCCCTAACAAATGAAACCTGCCCAAACCGGTAAGTCAGGACTTAATCGAAAACTCAGCACTAATTTCAATTAAAGTTGAAACGCCCGCAAACACAAACACAAACTAACTGACTGAAGCACACACACAATGCTCAATTTAACAACAACATTAACTAAACGCCCTACATGAACCCCGCCCTCCGCCTTCGGCTTTGTCAGGCAGGCAAACAGACAGATAGACACAGAGACAGACAGACAGTTTGACAGTTGGCTGGGTTGGCAAACAGACGCCTGCATTTGAATACGGTGTCGTTGTGGCATGCAATGTTTCCAAGTTCGCTTGCAGCGCAGCCACAGCTGCCACAGCCACACAGCCAGTTGCAAGCGAAGCCAAATCGAAATTGCGGCAACAAAATGCAAATGCAGTCAACAAATTTGATTCGATTCATGCTTAGCATATTTAATTGAACACAGATGTGCTCCAATTTTAGCCTAGCTTAGCGATTGTTATATCAGCTGTCAGTTTCGTGCTCTCAGCAATACACTAAGCACAATTGGAACGTTATCCCCAAATATTTTTCTTTGTCTAATAACATAATTGCATATTTCATTTCAATAAATACCCACTTTAGAATAATACTTGAATTTAATACACTTAATGGTTAAAATGAGCAATTCCCTTAGAGCGAACTCATATTTTTGGCTAATGTTTTCTTAATGAATCTGGGCATTATATGTATATCTGTCAAGCGGAGAACTAACTCTAAACAATATCTTTGAAGTAACTCAGAATCCCATAGTTGTCATAATTAATAAAATATATTTACGAGTTAAATATATTAAAATGTTATATGAATTACATCAAATTAATATTAATAACCTTTTTTTCAGAAGTCTTGCATGAGATTTAAGAATATACAACATTTTTCTTAGAAAATTTGAAAAATATGTATTAGTTAATTGTATATATAGTTTAAATACAAAATATTTCAAGTTTAAAATAGTTAAGCCATTCTTTATAAACGCGAGCTTACAATTTTTTATTATGATTAGCAAACATTCCCTCTTTTTTTTGCTATTCGCTACATGTTAATTATGAGAGTCGTTCAGCTTCTGAACAGAGGCAACAGCTACATTCAAATTCAAAATTCAGATGCAAAAATGTTATATTCTACAGCGATAGCAATCCCAAATAATCTCCGATTTTATATAACAAAGCAAAACTATATCAAATAGTATATCTTACTGCCTTTTGTTACATGGCCACACAAATCGAGCGTGTGCCAGTTTTGCCAACAAATGCGATGACGAGTAAAACCAGCAAAATGTAAAACAAAAAACTGTTAAATTGTATATAAAAGCAAAAAACAAAAAATAGAGCAATACGCCCACAACATCAACATCAGCAGCAACATTGGGGCCAGCTTTTGTTATCCTTTTAACGCCACGATGTTGTGCACACGACATGCACAGCGCCTACAGCTTTTTGCCCAGAACTGATGTGGCCAACGGAGCGTATGCTCAACATTTGGCAAGCAACTAAAGCCCAGTGCAGCCCAATAGCAATCGAAAAACGGGGCTTGGCTCATGCATTTGATTTGTGGGCCATAGAGTTCGCGCCAGAGTCTGTCCAGTGCGATATTTACAATTTTAATTCAATTTGTTGGTGGCCTTCCACTGGCATGTATGTCCACCCTTAGCCAAAAACCCTCCCCCTAAAATTGGCAGCAGCCACTTGCTGCTATTTTTGCGCATTAAACTAATCGATAGTTTATGGGTGCCTTCCTCGATGCAAGTACATTTTTGTCAAGTAGCAAACGGCCAGTCAATTTCAATAACAAGCTAAACCGAAGGACAAACACACACTAGTCACTAGTCACCGTCCACTGTCCAGCGTCCATGGCACACAAGGACCCCAAACCTAGACCCGGTCTGTTGTTGTTTAATTGTCTGTAAAATTGTTAAATTGCTTAGTGTGTCACTCTGTATTTGAGTCTGTGTGTGTGTGTGTGTGTATTATCCTGTCAACGGCTTACAGCTTACATGCATGTGCAATTACGATCAGCGACTGCCCCCACTGACTACTTTCTCTCCCTCTGTCTCTCTCTCTCTCTCTCTCTCTCTCTCTCTCTCTCTCAGCCCCCGCATTGCCTTAGCATTACAATTGAAGCTATTGTCATTCTGTTCCTGTTCCTGCTCTTAAGCTTTTAAATGTTTTATTTATTTCAAACACTCTGGTGTTTCCATCCGGCTACATTGTTTTTCACAGCAAATTGAATTTATATGCAGTCGATGATATTAGAGATGGGTTCGTGACAGACTTTTCACTTTTACCACACAACCCAATTTAAGAAAATAGTTTTATATTTTTTATTTAATTTTTAACTACTTGTTTAATGCTTTACTTTCTTTGTACGGACTCTAAAATCGGGTTATTGGGTTTTGGACTGCTTGCACAAATATTTTTTAATTTTTCTTTTTTGTCTACATTCTAAACTGGCGTAATTTCAATTACCTCACTTTATAGTGATAGCAAACATATTTCTTCTCCCTATGAACCCTAAAATGAGGTCATTTTGATCACCCAACTGTAGAGAGCTAATAATAATTTTTCTCTTGGTAAGCACCATAACTTAGAATGCTTACAAAAATAAAGAAAAAAATTCTTTTCATCTCTTTCTAAATAATAACAATATGTAAAAAAAAAATGTTGCTCCTAACAATCACTTAACTCCTATCTAAATATTCAGTCATCTTTAACATTTTGATATTGTATAGACACGAACACATCGAATCACATATCAAAGAACTTGCCGAAAACACATAGCTGATATTTAGTATTTTGGCCAGGCCAACCGCAGACGAGAGTGTAGAAACAAATAAGATAAATAAATAAAATAAAAATCATCAGCAAACGTTATAAATATTCGTCTCTTGGCAGGCGCTTGAGCCAGCCTCTAGTGGAACTTTACGTGATTGCAATTTTTAATTTTCTATACTGCTGACAGTGGACGAGGAGACAGACGTAAATACAGATAACGGTATACTGCCACGTTTGAACTCTTTTTTGGCAATCAAAAGTTGCTTACGCCTTTGTAGTTTGTTTTTTGACCTGGCCAACGCAGTTGGCATACAAAACGAAGAGGCAACAAAAAGTTGCCACTTTGCTGGCCAAGTTTCAACTTTGACATTGACACTGTTAGCCCGGCCCTGCTTGGCTCGGCTTGGCAACGTAATTGGCCGTAAAGGGTTAAAATTGAATTGTAAGCGCATAGAAGCCTAAAGAAGAAAGGGCAATAAGTAAAAAATGATAATGTTGTAGGTGCTTGACGGTGAAAATACCCTATACCCGGAAAACACTATCTCATTCACATCAAATATATATTTTGCAAAGAATAGCAAATTTCAAATATCTTTTTTGTCTTGGTGATCACTGATATCACAAATAAGCGAATGTACCTAAATCAAAACAGATTTTTCACTTCTGGGTATAACAAACAGTTGTCCAACACACCCTTTTACACTCATTTCATTGCTTAGGGAACAGCGTGTAAAAAGGAGAAAAAACAAAAGCCAAAACCAGAACAAACAAAGCTCAATGGAGCGCAAATATAAGGCGTCCCCGTCTTTGGGCTTTGATTTTTTATTCAACCGCATTTTATGGCCAAGCTAAAAACTTTATGAACTTTTCATTTACACAAGACCTCATTTGTATATATATATATATATGTATACCACAAGTAAATAAAACTCTCATTTCTAGAGCATTTTATTTATTATATTTGTTTCTTCTTTTTGCAGGTATCATAAGTGTAAAGCATCCCAAGCCATAACTACTCGTATGTTGTAATTAGTAAGTAGAGAGAAAGCTGTGTTTATTTGTGTGTGAAAGTTTTACCTGTATAAAAATTAAAATGAATTTTATATATGTATTCAACAAAGCTTTTTGAGTGTTTGGGAATATATATATAAATGAGAGGGGTTAATACATATATTTATTTTTCTACTTTGTGATGGTTTCTTAGGCTGAACTTTTTGTGCTTTGTACTATAGATGTAATTTATGTAGGCACTTCTCATATAATTCTAATTTAAATAAGTATATAAATTGTATGCTATAATGCTCCTTTCGAAATGCAGAAAACACTACAACAAAAAACTCATATGAACAAGAACTGTACAAATTATCTATGAGTATAAACCATGTAAGGCAAATATTCTAATCCACAAATGTTTTTGGACTCTAATTAAGCGAAACTCATAAATACTTAAGTATACCACGAAAGGCACCAAACAGCTGTAGAATAGTATCTGATATGGGGAATAGATTACTAAACTCTACATCTATTGCGAAATTCACAGCACTACTTCTATACAGGACTTAATGACCAGTAAACAAAATGTTAGCAAAACTCAACAGCACCAAAAATAAAAAGTCTTATACAAGTAAATAGCAAGTTAACCAAACAAAAATAATAAAATAAAATACCAATTAAATACCAAATATATACGCAACTTTAAATAAAATACCAGTACATTAAGTGAATACCTTAAAGTAAAACAAAATACCAAAGAATCAAGCTCATCCGGAACCACTACCAAAAAACTATTCAAAAATAAAAATGAACTAAGCATATTGTTTGTGAAATTTTCTGTACATTTATTGAGCTATCCGGCAATATGTAAGAATATGCATACCTATGTAAGTGTTAATAAGACAAACCTCTACGAGTACTATACATAACAACTGAAAATAGCTTTATAGTTCTTAAGCCAACCCATACTCGAAAAAGTATAAATAAAAAAAAGAAATCAAACAAAGTGTATTTTCCCCAGCATTATAATCACACAATATCAAATATGAGCAACAGTATAATCACAGCTATAGAAATTAACATATATTTAAAAATAAATACGAGATAAAAAAAAAATACAAAAAAATGGAAATGCATCTACTAGATACTTAACTGTTCTGCTGAAAGTTCTTTGTAAGTCATGTAAAGATAGTTTGGCTATAGATCGATATAGAGCTGTTTGTTTGTTGCAAATGTTTTATAAAGTTGAGAGCAGATTTGAGAGTTCATAAAATGTTAAGAAATATTCAAATTGTAAATTACAAAAGTTTAAGCTGAAATAAATCACTTTCTCTATCCATCTCACCTCCTCTTTCCCTCAATCTTAGTCTCTGAATCTGTATCTGTCTCTCTCTCTCTCTCCCTCTCTAGCTCTCTCTCTCTGTCTTGCTCTCTGTAATGTGTAAATGTTAAATATGTTATAATTATGATATATACATAAATAAATATATGTAACCTAAAAAACTACACATAAATAAAATATCTAATTAAACCCTGAAATTGTATATGTTTTTAAACTTAGCAGCAATTTCAGATAGTATTATTTTCATTTAAATTTTTTTTTAATAACATAATGTAAGAGGGATCAATTACAAAATAAATATAAATTGCTGGTGTGGCGTGATCTTTAAAGATGATGTTAAACTTTACAATTTCAAAATGGCATCTTCTTCTTCAAAAACAGGATTGAGTCTTCTTGCAAACATTCGACAAGGACGATTGCGACATTCAAAATAGTAAATTCAACTTTTATCGACATATATTTGTATATTATATTAAAAAGCTAAATCAAATGAATATTTTGTATATGCTTTATATTTTAATTATATATTTATCTTTCAACATTTCAGGTCACTTTAAAACTAAATTCTTAATACTGTAGATAGCTATAGAATTAAATTCTAAGAACAGTTGGCACACACACAGAGAGTGAAATCCCATCGCACGATTTGCATTTGATGCCTCATTAACGTGCTAATCAAATCTGCTCATTCCGCCCCCATTTCGTTCACAATCCCCTCGTTTCCCTCCCTCCGTCGGAGCTTGGGGCGCTTCGGGAGCAGGGCAGCAGCTGCTCCGGCCTCCTCTCTGGCAATTCGCTCGCGTATCCAATAATTTGCACCACAGACGACCAGCAGCAGGCTGGGAATCACAATGAGCAACACCAAGCCCAGCGAGACGCTTGCCACGCGTGCCGCATGCTCCTCGTGACCTGCGAATGAAAATGGTGCACACTCAACGAGAAGGTAACAAAGCGTAGTTGGACACGAGTTATTTTTTGCTCTTTTTTTATCCATTTCGAAAAAAGTGTATTTTTTAGATTAATCAAGAATTCAGGCAATCCATTTGTTGCCTACTTTTGAGCGCCACTGTCATTCTGCCTCAACGCCGTGACAGACAAGCCAGCCACAACACCAAATACACACACACACACACACTACCAATACAGGACCCACACACAGACTCTTCTCAGATAAGTAACGCCAACTTGTCCATCAATTTGCTCAAGATTGATTGACAATAGCGTAATGCACACAATACATTTGCTATATGGGCGTGGCGCAGTGTGTGCGGGTGTGTGTGGTTGTGTGTGGCTGTGCGGACAGTGGGTGAGAGGGGGCGTATCATGGCTTCGCCCAGGGCGTCGCCAAAGCACGTGACAGTTGCCTCAAGATTAATGTCTTTGGCTCTGACCCTATTGCTTCGTTATAAATTTCTTAGCGTTTTCTTTGCACTGCAAATGCACAATTACACTGTGCATCAGAAAATTGTCTATAGTTGGTTAAATGTATTTTAATTATGGCTAAAAGCCTTCAGTGTCAAATCTTATGGTTTCATATTGTACAAAACTCCTATATTAGTAATTAAAATAATTTCTCTATTTGTTAAACAATCTTGACCAATTTGCGGGCAATCAGAAAGGCCAAAAGTTAAAAAAAAAAGTTATTCATTTCTTTAGCAACTAATAAATATTTTCATGCAAAGTGGGAAACGTTTCTTTTAATGTTGAGTTGATTGTTTTCAATTTCACAATTATTTGGGAAGCTCAGAAAAAAAAATTCCAAATCACTAGAAAAATTTTCTATTTTCAAAATTTCTAAATATTTTGGGAAGAATAACTACATTTAAAGTGTAAGTTTAGTTTTCAAGATTTGACTGCTTACATATTTTAGTTTATAAAATGATATATGAAACAACTCTGCAAAAATCTACAACATATATTTTAGTAAGGAATATATATGGATAACTGAATTATTTTACATATGTTGCTCAGTGTAAATGGAGAATGCAATTTTGCAACGCTCGTCATGCAAATCATTACAGAAAATTGACAGCAATTCGCAGCTTAACTTGAAAGAATTTGATATCTGTTGAAAAATAGAACTTTTTTGGCAATTTGGGTGCGAGTTGTCAACATTCATGTAACAATTGGCATTATCAGAGCACGCTATAAATATATAGACAAAAAGATGTGTACTAGATGTATACTATTAACAAGGTTTTTTTTATTTTATAAAATGATGAAAGATTACAATTGACAAAATACATGAAAGTCGCTGGCAAACAACAAATTTGTTAAAACATGATTTTTTTTTTGATTATGGGTTTTTTGGCGAGTTCTTTAAATAATAGTAATAATAATAATAAAATGTGTGGCTGGGCTATATGTTTAATAGACGAGTGTGCAACCAGTATTTGCAACAAGGTCATGGAAACAACAACAAATACATGCTACAAAATGAAGACAGGTGCGGCAGTTGGCAAAGTTAAACAAAGTTATGCAATAATAATTATAAACGTAAATATAGATGTACGATATTTATATATATATGTATATATATATGTGAAATTAGTTATACAAATTTGAACTTGGTAGCCTGTGCACAGAAGGCGAAGTAAAGGTGGGGGAGGGCGTGTGTGTGTGTATGTGTGTGTGTAGATATTTGTGTCCTAAACTTCTGTGGACTTTTGCACTGATGGCGTTGGCGATGTGGCCAACGGTGGTGGGGGGGAGGGCAGGCCGCTATCCTGCGTCAGTTGTGTGCCAGCTGGCAACGTGGGCGCAATGCGTAGGGGCGTGGCCGTTGTTGTTGTATTTGGCGCTGTTTGTGGCACACCCGACGGTGGCCTACTGTAATATTGCGAATTGTTTGGCAAAACAGGTACGCCTCCAAAGCGATTCTGTTGCGCCGCCTGCGGTGTATAATTAATAGAGCTGGCGGCACTAGTGCGACTGTCGACACCGCTAAACGTTGGGCTATATTGCTGCTGATGCAAATGGTCGGCCTCCTCAGGCGACATGGGCTGATGATAGCCGGCGGGATGCATAACGCCCGTGTGCACATCACCCTCATCGAAATCATCATCGTCCTCGGCAATGGGCTGGCCATGTTCGTTCAGTTCGGTGCCGGAGGCAGAGCGTAGGGATCGACGGCCAGATTGCTTCGGTTTCTCACCTGTTCGGTTAGTTTGATTAATGTAGGAAATGTCCTTGGCTACTTTTGTGCTAGTTCTATTATCACTACCTTCCGATGATGTCACATCCTCATCGTTCATATCCAGATCCCATTTCTTAGCTGGAAAATCAATTTGCGGTTTGCCAGGTAATGGTTCGTTCGTGCGATATACTTTATCGTAGGACCTACTTTTTTTCAATGTGCTCGCATCGGTGTCGCTATCTTCCTCCGGATCATAGTTCAAAACGCGCAAATTACGAGCGGATCCGGCACGCGATCGCGGCAAGGTCATCTGCCAATGGGGATCCTCCTTCAGTTGCTTCTGGCGATAGCGATAGACACCGCACACGATGCACAGCATCAATGGGCATATAACGAGTATGATAATGCCAATTGCTATGAAAGCGACACGACGCGTGTAATACACCTCACCTGTACGCATTCAAATTAAACAGGTCAGCTCAGCTCAGGTCAAGGACAATCAAACAACAACAACAAAAACAACAAAGTTGTCAAAGGGCTCAGTTTTCACATGTTCTTGGCAAGCACTCTCAAAATTAGCTTTTTACTCTGTTTTTACTTTTCTCATGTTGGCAAAAGTTGGTTGAACAATTGAATAATTAGTGTAGGCCAAGAAGCTTAAGTTGAAATTGCAGTTAGAAGTTTCAAAATATTGAAATTTGAAGTTTTCTGTTGTGCACAAGAAGTTTATGGATATGTGTTGTAAAGCTATTGGTAAACACAAACCAACTCGTGGCAAATGTGTGCAAATAGTTCTATGACAAATTGTGGCTTTTAATCCAACACAATTCAAACTTATTTTAAATTTCTGCTGCTTCTGAAACTTGGTTTTCCAAGGTTTTCTTGTAAATCAACTTTCCATCTGACCTTCTAGTGAATGAATCACAATACATATACTTTAAATGAGCTTCAATTACATAGACCAAAAAGCAGCCTGACAATAAACTTAATATCAAATATATGTTGCATTAAAATTTCTTTATCAAGTCTGTTCCCCTTTTCAAGAAACTTCAATAAACCATTTAAGCGCCGGAAAATGCAAACTACAAATTGTATACACTTCTTAAATTGAATTTGCCATTAACATGAGAAAACGAAAAACATTTTTGGCATGAGAAAATGTGTTGCAGCTTATCTGCTTAGCAAATGTATTATTCTCTTGCCAAGAACTTTGCGAGAAACATATAAAAACTATCTAGAATTCAAGATAAAAATCGAACTTACGCAGACACTCCGTATAGCCGTACTCGGGCACATTCCAGAGTCCATTGGCGAGGCACTCACGACGCTGATCACCGATCAGAATGAAACCCTCATTGCACTCAAAGGACACCTTGGCGCCGGGCATAAAGTCAAAGCTGAGCTTGCGTCCAAAACGAGGTGTTTGCAGCACACCACAGGATACAACACGTCTGTGAAGCAGTTAAAGATTAGCAGATGTAAAACTATAAGTTATCGACTCTGTCACTCACTGGGCATTCTCCGCCTGCATGTTGACCAAACTGTCGTAGTAGTTCTTGGTGAAGTGCGCCAGATCTCGATTCAATGTCATCGCATAATCATATTGACACTGCAAACACTCGCCACACAACTCCTCGGCCCGTTCCAGAACGAAGCTACGATTCGAGGGCAGGAAATCGGCGGGATCCATGACAAAGTTCGGCAGGAATGTCGCATTCGAATAGTAGCTGGCCATCCGTCCAAATTCGCGTGTGAATAGAGCAGCACCCACATTGGGCACATCCCGATCCGTGAGCATCCACTTGAGCCCGAAGTTGTTGTATATGCTACGCTGATCGTTCAGATTGATCGAGGCCACTTGGCCATTGGGCAGCGTGAAGTCATCCATCGGATTGAAACTCCAATTGCCAAACAATCCAGCCGTTTTATTCTAGATGAGAGCAAAGACAGAATTAAATAAGATTCTTAAGAAGGAAGTTTCATGTTCTTTACAGAAGTATATATGAGAACATTTTTGCTAATAACTTTCTTAATATTTGCCAGGGTAAAAGACCATCCTGACCTTATTTGAGTATAGAAATATATATAAAAATTAATTTATGTATATTGCTTAGATTGAAATTGGCAACCAAAGAAGGATTATTTGAAGGGTATCTAAAGTTAAGCTCTCTCTACAGCAATTTACATAACAACCAAAGTTTCTCTTAAATGCCTTTCTCAATAGTAATTAACTAATATAAATGTGCACTTACAATAAATTTCCAAGGCAGGAAAACGCGACCCGTCATGAATCCTTCGTTTTCGACGACCTCAACGCCAACGCCCGCATCGAACTGCACCACCACCTGGGACTGATTGAGCAGATAGGTGGGCGTATAGACAGTGACACCATCGAAATGCTGGAATTTCAGACTCTCGCGATCGAAGTACACCTTACGTCCATCGGCCAAAACATCGAGACGATAACGCCAACGGGCGTGCAATGGGCGGAGACGCACCTCAATCGTTGTCGTTGTATTGCCCCTCATTGCGATCGCCGTCAGCTGTGTGGCCATCACCTCGCCATAGTAATTGGGTGGCAGTTGCTGGAAGCGACCCTGCACCTCGAAGCGTTCACTCTGATCTGTGCTGCGTGCGAGGACAAATTCGCCGAGGCCATTGAATGTATACGCGCTGCCATCGAAGGTAATCAAATGTGGATCACCAAAGACGCCAGCAATGCCGGGCGCCTGATAGGCGACACAATCCTGCGAGGGACGACGCTCGAAGCGATAAGTTTCACAGCCGACAGCCTGCTCCTCCTGCCAGAAGCAGCAGGAGTAGAAGGGACGCATATCGTGGAACCACATGGACAGAGATGGCACTTTGCTGGCCTCATTCCACGGCATCTTGCCCAGATTGTGGATGCGACGTGGCCGAGATCCCCACATTTGGTCATAGGTCAACATCAAGAAGCCATAGCGATCGTAGCAGCACTGTTGTTCAGCACCTTGGGCACTACAGGGATGGAAAACAGAAATTGGAAAATATATAATATGATATAATAATAGAAGGGAAGTAGAAAAATATTTTGAAAGGATAAACAAAATTAATTATAATAAATTATTGTAATCAATTTTAGATAACCATGAAAATGAAATAGAAAAGAAGCGAGGAAGAACAATTATATATTATAAATACATGAAATATATTTTAGATAAAGTATTACAGTTGATATATAAACAAGTTAATTCTTGGAAGTTAAGGACGTAAGTTAAAGAGAACCAAAAGGATAGGTAGATTAATAATTCTTACAAATTGAAGATGAATGAAAGAAAAAATATGAATAAATGATTTGAGCACAAATTATTATCTAAAAATAGATATTGCATAAATTTATTGACTTACACTGGGGTGCCGCTGACCACACAATGAATGGCACCGCGCTGCCGCAAACAGCTGGGATTCGAGTCCTTGTCGCACTCACGATCCGGTCGGAAGCGTCCCAAATCGAGCACAGCCTGCTCCAGGGTGCAGGGGCACAGTGGCAAATCGGCAGCAAAGTTTCTGTATTTCAAATTTCATATTATTTAGATTATTTTGGTCGAGTCAGGGCCAAAAGCTGTCTAATTAGACAGCCAGCAACAAGAGAATTCCCTTGACATTTGGCAGCTTTTAATTAGCACAAAATGTAAATGCAGGAGCTGCCTCGAAGCGCTCTGGCTGTGTGCGGGTGTAGTTGCGGGGTGTGGGGTGGGACAAGCATTAACTTACCTGAGAAATCGGTCGGCGCGTATCCAATTATCGCATAGAGCACGAGGCCAGCGTTTGCCATGCTTCTGCTCCCACTGCGGCGCCATATACCACGCCAAGGGAATGGGTCGCGACCACAGGGTGCTATAAAGTATAACAAAAAGAATGGCTTACTAAATAAAATAAAATAAAGTAGTAAAATATAAGCTTCCAAAAAAATCAAGCATGTTCCTTAATAATGGGAATCAGAATAAAAAGTAAGAAGACATTTTTTAATACGACTTTACAAGTTTTTGCAGTCATTTATAGAAAATCTTAAGCGAATATTTGATTTTTTAAGAAGCGATAAGATGTCTCCTTCTAATTTATAATCAATTTTACTCATTCTAGCATACACAGCCTCAATCTGAGAACACATTCATTTTTTTAATTAGCAATACATTTTTATATTTCTTTTCTAAGCTCAGAACCGCATCCAAAACCAAACTGTCTTCTGCAATAATCAATCATCCCCACCTAAATCCTATTTTTAAATACCATTATCTTTAATTGAAACATCTGCGGTTACTCCTTCTCCAGCTTATCAAATCCAATCAGTCAATACGCATCGCATGTCAGATTGTGTTAATTGTGTTTTCAGCTAACTACATTAAGCCCACAAATGGCTAAGTGCATGGCTGAAAGGCTAATTATAGACTCGAGTTGCATATGAGCATTGGATTGAACACGACAATATCATTAGCTGACATGACATTGACATGGCTACAAATGGTTGGGTTATATGCGGATATTCATTCGCGCGTGTTGCTCATCAAATGCAAATTAAATACGCAAATATAAATTTGAAATGATATATGTGGGGCATGCGCCAAAGTTACGATACCCAAAGGTATCATAAACCAAAGCGTCCCGGAAAACACAGCTGGGCACAAAACACATAGCTGCCAATTTGGCTAATTTTGCCATGTTGTGTGCCGGCTTTAATACCACGAATTTTAAGCCCTGTTCGGAACAAAAACCTTTTTTTGTAAAATATGTAAAATTAATTTGAAGCATTCTTGGGTAATCTCTAGAAATTCTATTTAATTCGATGCCATCAATAAGTCGTTTTCAGTTATTCTTAGAGAGTCTATGAATTGAAGTATGCTGAGTTATTTCCAATTATTCTACTCAGTATTTTCTACTGCAGCTGGATTAACTTGGCTATTTCCTAGAATTTCATAGCTGGTTGGATCTTATTTTTATTACGTCGGCATTTTATTAACCTTTTCTGCAAATACTTCAAGTTTAAGTGCAAAATAATTACAAGAGCGTGATGCAAAAGAAAAGCTCAAATCTAGCTGCAGGAGTGATTGACTAAAGAATACCCTGAGACTAATCTATCCATCAATTTGTAAAGGTTTTTAATGGTATATGGACGCTAAATAGCTCATTTGTATACAGATAAAATATTTGAGATTATTATTAAAGCAAACCGACTGCATATAATAAATAGCTTATAGCCATTTGGCACATTTTAAGTCTTCTCCTTTCAATACAACTCCTTTAACAAAGGGTGGAAAAATAAGTAAAGAGGTTTTACGCCAATTCGAGCTATGCAAATGAGTTCAAAACGCGGACCTGGCAACAAAGTTTGAGTTGCCAACTGGCAAGTGCTAAGCGGTAAGGGACTGTAGCCATTTAAAAAAGCATTTCACTTAGAGCTATTGATTAGCCATCGCTCGTAATTACAAAGTGTCATAATAAGCAATCTATGGCCAATTGAGCCCGAGGTTGGCACCCGAGGGGCATCTGGATGGCCAGCTCTGGTTGCATTTTGAAATTGCTATGGCAAATTGAATAAAAATATGAACGAATAAAAGGGACGAGAGGGCAGCTTTAGAGCAAGCACAGCTGACACAGCTGAAAGTCAATTAAAACATAATAAACATTGGCCCAAGAGGCGCACAGACAAGATGGCGCCTGAAAAATGAAATACTTACGGACTTAGGGCCAGGTTGGAATATTGAGCCGGTTGGGTGAGATTGATCTGCAGGAAACCGAACTGCATATCATTGTTGATGTTGTGGCGATTTAGGTAATTGGAGGGTGTGATCACATAACTGCCCGTATTCGTTAAGCTCGCCTCGATGATGTCGATGTACTCAAGTTGTGGTTCGATTTTAGTCTCCCGATAACCCCACAGTGAGATCATGACATTGGCATTCAGATTGGAGGTCAAATTGAAGGCATTCCAGGTGATGCGAATCTCGTTGGGATTACGCTTGTGCACATCCTCGGTGGCAAAGAAGATCTTCTCGGTGGCCGCGGCCGGTGTCTCCACAAAGTATTTGCCACGCCATTTGAATCGCTGTGTGCCCACCGAGATCTGGAAGCGTATATAGCCCTCGGCCTTGAGGAAGGGTTGCACACAAATCACACGATTCCGATCCACATATGTGCCCAGCACAGATTCCGTATCAAAGTGACAGGTGACACGTATATTTGGATCGAAACAGGGTCCGGTTATGTTCACCACCTGACCGCCCAACATATTGCCCGACTCCGGGGCAAAGGTCAGCGGCAGTAGGGCAGCATCTAAAGAGGAAAGGAAGGAAGGCAAAATCAAATGTAATTAGAGCCCAATAACAATTGGGGTAAACACAATTATACGCACCAATATCCTTGTTGCAGGACCCAATTAAAATTTGCTCATCGATACGGAAAATGTGGCGTCCAGGGAAACCATTGGCCCAGCCTCGATTCACCAAGTCTCGTATAACCATATTCTGACTGTAGGGTTTATACTCGTAGGCCTGTGTCCCGTTGCCGGCATTAAAACCCACCTGCGTGAATTGGATTTGTAATCGATATTAATAACTATCCTGTAATTACAATTATGCACTTTGTGTTTGTCTTTGTGTTTGTATTTGTGTGTGTTTGCCTGTTATCTCCGTAATATTTGCCAAATCCGGAAATTGCCAATTAGAAAGGAACATAAGTGAACTCCAAATTAATTTCTGTTCAACTTGCCAACTAACTAAGCACAATTCGGAAAACTCTTGACCATCACAGCATGTAAATCAATTTGCCAGCAAGTTTCTCTCTCATAATGCAGACAAAGTTCACAATTATGTTTAATTATAATTTGCAACAACAATCAACAACTTCGCAACAACAGCAGCTGTGCGTATAAAGTTAAACAGTTACGAGTGCCTAATGCGCTTTATGTCAAAATAATAGTTTATAGATAGAACATATTCAAATTATAAAAAGAGATTACCAAGCAATAAATGTTAATTTGTAAAAGATTTTTAATAAGATTTGAAATTCATTCTACTTAATAATACTAATTACAATTAAAGTGCATAGCTTAGGAGAATGCTTATTATTTGACTGAGGTATAACTTATGTTAAATCTTGAGAGAAAATCTTACCTCACATGTGATCACTTAACTCAAGAAATGTAAGTGGCATTTAATTGGCACTCATGCAAATTGTAACTACTCTGGAATGAATCCTTACCTAACTACGCTCATGCTGCTAAGTACAAGTAGAAATACAAAATTTATTTGTTGAAAGCAGAAACAGAATAACACCAATTAAAAGGATACTTCCGTTACATACTACAGATTTATAATTTAAAGCCAATATTCAGTTTGTGAATAAAATCACTATAAAATAAACGCATATTTAAAAAACACAAACTAAGAGCTGATAACTGAAAACTAAAGCGCAATGGAAAAGTTACCATTTGCTGACAATAATGAAAATTGCAAAGCTTTTACTTTGATGGTATTTTTTCATCTCATGCACACGAGTGTGTAATTGCTTGTGTGTGCTTGTGAAAATATAAGTGGATTTTGCTTTGTGTAACTTGCACAAATTTTTTTTTTTTTTACTTAAATATTTTAAAATCGTTGCAATAGTTTAGTTATGTTGAAAAATGTTAAAAGCAAAAACTGTTAAGTGACTTACGTATGCGGGAACACCGCCCTCGCCCTTTGTCGTATCGCCGCCAGCCTCAGTATGGGACAACCAATTAAGGACATCATAGTTGAACATGAGATAGGTGTAAACCTCATCCGTGGCAAGAACCATTTGGAAAGTGTTTGTCTGCGAGAAGAAAGTAAAAGATGTAAATATAAACAGCAATTGAATTTGCTAATGAAAATGGCATCATGTAACAGCATGCTATATTTTATGTTAAATCAATCAATTTAATATTCTAACAGGCTATTTAATATATAAGTCTGAATCAAGAAACAACATAGCGCGGACACAAACCAATCGATACAAAATATCTAACTTTGTTTTAGAACCTTAAGTTCCCAGTTATTGTTCAATGACACCTACCGTAAAGAGCGAGTTATCAATGCCGCCGGCAAAGGAGACATTCTTCCAGGTGGCGATCACCACGTGCTTAGGCACAAAAGTATCTGCCCCAACGACTCCAGTGCGAATATCCCACATTGTGCGCTCGCGGACCTCGACGCCGAAGCGGTCTGTGCGACCCATCAAATCACGTACCACACTGCAAGTATAGAATTAGAGATATTCACAGGATATAAATAAGTAAGCATGTAAATAATGTGAAATCAAATCAGCAAACAAGCAACGGGGAGGGGTAAGTACATTTTAGCTTTGGCTTTTGGTCTGGTTTTGGTCTGGTTTGGTGTATTGGCGTCAGAGTTCTTTCCTGTATGAAGATAAATGGATTTGATGTTTGGCATATAAATCAGCACACGGCGGCTGCTTTAGCTGGATTTTTAAGCATATTGCCTGGATTTTAATACAGATTTGATGAATTTTTATGTATTTTACGCCGCTGTGCACACTTTCAAGTCGCTTCCGACGGTGGCTCTGACAGCGGCAACATGGCGTATGATTTATACGCTTTAATTATTCATTACGCATGTCTCTTAAAATAGGCTTTCGCGTTTGTCTTACACTCGCCTGACAGTCTGCCCTATGGCATTTTTAATTTCCCACATGATAAAAGTTCGTTGTAAAACGAGCCCAATATCATTTTAAAGAAATCTTCTTATGCAGTGAAAAACAATTAAGTGCTTAAATGCTTTACTGTCACTTAAGAAGCTATCAACTGCAAGCAGATTGTATTACAATTGTTTTATGCTTTGTCCTTTCAGATTTGATCAGCAATTAAAGTTCATAGGACCTAAAATGTTTCTCAATACAAAATTGCCAAAACCAGATGGAGTTGAAACAAGTCATTTGTGAGAATTCAAATCAATTTGCAAAACCTTTAAAGTGTGCCAACTGTATTTTTATTCAATACTAATAGCATAGATCGAATATTAAAATTAAACAATTGAAACATTTCTAGTACATTATATGACCAAAATATTTATTACTTTTTTATTTAATTTAAGTAAAATACCAATAATCGGCGAGCAGCACTGCAATTAAACGAAACTGAAAGTTTTTATGGCAAACGAATCAAATATTTGAGCAGGTCTTGCAACATTGATAAATATTTTAAATATTTGCATTAAACCAACAATGGCAAACAATAGTAGAAAGAATTTATTGATTTCCATGCCGTATTTGGTTTGATAACAACTAAAGCAAACAGAGCCCGATGCAAAGAGCAAAGCAAACAGCAAATAAAACAAGTTTTCATGAATGAACATGCATTCATCATTCGCAGCTGCTTGTTGCGCGTTGCACGCGTTGAATGTGCAACATTTATATATTAACACTTTGACGCTTTTTGCACAAAATAAATACAAATCATTTTGAATATGGCCATAAATGCACATCACATGCATAAAAATGGGCAGACATATTATAATAAATGTATAAGCACAATTTGCTGTAATGGTAAGTGTTTTGCACCATTTTCCATCACACTACACACATGATGCAATTACAGGGCTCATAAATTATAACTGCCAGCAGCTGGCAATCGAAAATAAATTGCATTTTGGCCGCAAGTGTTTGAAAACATATGATGTCCACATTTTTAGCGCAACAGCAGCTACCAGCTGCCAGCTACCAACATCCAAATATGACCAAAAACAGCTAAAAAAAAAAATGCAAACTCAGCCTTGCTGGCTGTAAAAATAGAAGCCACATCAAAAACGCAGACAATAGGTAAGCTTAACTGGTCGATACTTTGTAACTGAATATTAAATTTACCTTTTTTGTATTAATTTAATTAATTTTTTATAATAAATAAAATAGATAATTAATATGAAACATAATAAATAAAATACAAATCAATTAATAAATTAAATCGTACAGAATTATAGAAAGTCGACAATCGCCCTAAAAACTAGAAAACTGTTTTGGTTTTTAGAAATAATTACTAAAAATTAACGAAAAAATAGTTTCTTATTATTGAAAAGGTTTTTTTTCTAGAAATATACTTTCGGAATAATAAGTTAAACTAAATGATGACTCTAAAATTAACTGCAATTTTTCCTGTGTTTATGTAACAGATGCATGCATTTTAACTACATGAATATGCCAATATTTACTAAATACTATCTTTAGCAGCTTTAAATTAATCACGCAACCCACTTTGGGATCGCAGTATAGATGCATTTGTAATGAAACAGGCCCAAAAACTGCAATGCAGAAAACTCATGCCACAAAGAGACAATCACACGTAGTCACACACACACACACACACATGGGCTAGACTCATGCACATGCACATGCATAGTTTACCAGCTGTGTATGTTGGCATGACCACGCCCACTACCTACCGCCCACCACCATGAAAGTTTAAATGTCTGCAATTGACATTCAAGTAAAAATAGACAAAGGAAAAAAATAAAATAAATAATATAACGAAAAATTGTCACACGGCCCAAAAATGGTTCGCGCAGCAGCCAGAAGCCAAACGAGCTGCACGTGTAAGTAAGCCAAACAGCTACACTCGCACACATACACACACAGTATACACACACACACACACACAGTGAGACACAGTGAGTATAACAAAAGTAATGGAAATTCACCAGGCAGAGTTGCGCTGCTCGTTTTGCCAGTCATCAGCGTCGTCTGTTTCGGGCAGAAAAACCCCCAAATGCCTACCTACCCGCCATATACCACCCTTTCTTTCTCTTTCTACCCTTAGTTTTTGGCGTACCAGTTCTTGAACTGCGCCATTATGTACTTTATTGCATACATTCGGGGCGCCGACGCCGCCACAATTTTGTCTGCATTTCGGTTTGAAATGCTTTTTTCCACAGTTTTTCCTACCAACCACTCCCACTTCACCTCCCCCCAATCTTCAACTCACTCGTCGACATCGCTGTCTGAGTTTTATTTTTTATTTTTTTTTGTTCTGTTCTGTTCTGTTCTTTGCATGTGGCCCAATTTTCATCTGTGTGTTGTAAATGAAAGTGAAACAATGGCCGTACTTAAAGAAAATGGCGAAAATTGCATGCACACTGCATGAAGCCTTGGTATTCTTCTGACTTGTAAATAAAAACAGTTCAGCAAAATGGGGCAACAGTTGTGAGGAATGCACAAAAGGCCAGAGGCTAAGAACTGATGTGAACTTTATGCTCCCAAATCTACAAAATTGTTTACAGCAGATCATAAATAAATATATTATTATCACATGTTCCGCAATTGTTGAAGCGTTGCTTGTTAAGCGAACAAATTAACCATGTGCCGCCCATTGACATAATGCTTTAATTGTGACCACGCCCCCATTGGGTTGCACGAACGCGTTTCTTGTTTGCTGCCCTTGGCAAACAACAATTAAACGCTCAACGCTGCTGATTTACACACTTGAACGCTTCACAAACACTTTTCCACAAAACTTTCACCAACCGCGCCACAACGTCCCCTTCCTCCACGCCCCTCCCTCCCGGTTGTGGCATTAATTTTGTATGTACCCCTCGCAAGCAGGCATTATAACTTTGATGTGGTGTAGGTGAAACCATATAAAAAAGAGCATTTTTTTCCCAAGCGAGGTATATATATTTGTCCAGAAGCGTATGTGTAATACATAATTGGATGTCAGTTCACAAATGTTTCAACACCTGTTTTTATAAGCACACACATAAATTATATCCAATAACAATTGAAAATTAAGAACATTTTTATTTATATGACAAATGTCTGCCCAATAACCAAAATAAATAAAATGATATAAAAATGTTGCAGAAATTTTTGTAATTTAGGCAAATTTTAAAATTGAATAAGCATTAATATTCATTTTTATTTTTCTATGTCGACAAGTAAATTTTCCACTAATAAATTTCATCCATTTAATCTGTGTGTCACGACGAAAATAATAATTGAATAAAGTCTATAAAAAAATTGAGACAAAATATATAAATTAAATTCTACATAATTTGGAAAAATTTAATTAAAGTCTTTCCAAAAAACTGAACTATATTTTATATATTATTAGCCATCATATGATAAACGGCTTTCAATCATTATTTTCTTGAATTTAATTAATGTTGTTCCCAATAACTTGTACGTATTTTTTACATATCATATTATTATTATTATATATCATATAAAAATAAGCTCCAACTGATAAAATATAATAATAACATATTAATGTCCTTCCCAACAAATTAAGCTAACTTGAAGAACTTTTCTTTATTTAGCTATTCTATAAAAATCTGCTTCCAATCTTATGTTCAATACTATTCTCGTTCAGAAATACAACTTACAGGGTATTGAGTCAACATCAGTTCGTTGTTATTTGCGCTTCATTGTTGCTTTATTTGCGCTGGCAAACGCTTTGCGTGTGTGTGTAATTAAACTCGCGTTCATCACAAATTTAATGGTCAAGACGCGTGAGTGAAGGAATAAGCGTATATCGTAAATGAAGTTCGCAGTGAATCAGCGACTTACGTGGCGTATGCGTAATGCAGCTGCTAACTGCTAACTGTTTACACGCCCCTCATTCAACACTTTGGCTAATCTCGCACGCAGTGTTAACTATAAGCGTGTAATTAAATTCAAAGTAGCATATAAATGCGAGAATTTATGTGTGTCTCTGCATGTATGTGTGTGTGTGTGTGTGTGTGTGAGTGTGTGTGAGTGTGTATGTGCTGGCAAGAATGCTCTAAAGCAATTGGAATTTAAACAGCTTCGCTTATAACTTCTGCTTTGCCATTGACTGCCAAGTTATTTAAATTAAATTCCAGCCAATGGTCACCCACACATCAAAGTTGCGTCCAACATTTTTGCAAGACAATTAAATGTCAGAGTGTGAAGCAGCAAACCCCAATCGAAACCCCTTTCAACCCCGAAAATGCCGCCCTGCGTTGGCGATGCTACTTTGACATATTGTGCACCGCTGACAGAAAACTACGCAGAACGAAATGGAAAATGGAAAATGCATTTGCCGTACCGTAACCATTGTCCTAGCACTTCACGCCCTGATATATATATATATATATATATGTGTGTGTGTGAGGATAGGCGTGCTTGTGTGTATTTTTCACAAAATTGCTCTCAACAATCGCCCTTTACAGACCGTTAATTGCTTTGTCGCACCAATTTGTCAGAAGTAAAATTACACTGCAACAAAAATGAAGTCGGAAAACATAGCTCAACATGTGAGATATTTATGTAAGTTAGAGCTTGGCATGAGAGTTGAAGCTTTCTATTAGCATAATAAATAATTTTTAAGAAATAAAGAAATTTAAAGTACTTTCTAAGGGTATTTTTAAAATAAATTGTTGAAAACCAAAAGTTTAGATATTAATTCAAAAGCACAAAAAAAAATTAAAATCTTGTTATAGAAATTTAACAAAAAAACCGGGAAAAATGCAATAAAAATACTACGTCCAATTGACAGCATAACACAATACCAATGACAATATTTGTGTTATATTTTAATTAAATTGCTGTTTGTACTTGAAATTGATTCAGCAATGGCCAAAAAACAAACAGATGTGACCCAATTGATCAGTTATTTACCTGAAATTCTATTTCAAATATAAAATAGTCCTCTGACACATATATTTATGCATGTTTGTGAAATCTACATGTACAATACATGTACCCATTGCTTGTCCACTTTCGTCCTTCACTCACAGCAGTTTGTAGCGTTATTTATGTGCCAAACAAAAGTATGAAATCTAAGCCAACTAAAATAGCCAACTGTCTGGCTGAATAAGTTGTTGGTAAAACACGCTGAATACTTTGCATAAGGCCAACTAGCTTTGCTGTCATAAAATATGCATAACTCGGACCACAAATGAATTTCAGCTGTTGTTAACGTGGCGGATAATTAATGCCATATATTTGTCTGTTTTATATTTGGTAATTACAATGCAAAGCTAACAACTTAAAATGCTGAAAGGGTGCTTTGCATGCGTCATTTGCATAAACAGCAAAACAAAATGTTGAAATCAAAGCACACAAACAGAGACCCAAACAACAACAAAAAAACTATGCTGTCACAAGTGAATCTAATTATTCCACAATTAGTTGCAATGGCAATAACAAGAGAAAATATCCTTCCACGGGTAGCTGCAACAAAACAGGCAGCATAATTGAAACAAAAAGTCCAATATGGTCATTCAATTTGTTCTGGTTTCGTGGTCATCAAAAATGAAATACTGAGCCCGGCATTTGCCAGGAGCTCCCATGGCGACATTATGAAATTGCCTGTTATATCAGATGGTCAAACAGTGCTGCCAATTCGGCTAACACTTTAAGCCAAAATTTAATTCATTTACAAATGTATTACACATGACTGAAACTTAAAACAATGAGAGACTCGTAGGAAAATATATGTTTTGCCATTCACAAAAGCTGACACAACTCAAACGAAATAATGAAATAAAGAAGCGAAGCGAGTAGCAAAAGAAGAAGCGAAGCGAGAACTGCAATTGCAACGAATAAAAAGAGGTCAGAGTGAAAGCATAGCGAACAACAGCTAAAAATGTTGCAGGCAACGAAGTAGAAAAAGCAATTTGATTGCTTCAAGCATTTCAACTTAATTGAAGAGCCGCGAGAAGAACTCGCTTCGTCCTTTCAATTGAGTTTTAAAGAGGCGCAATAGAAGAAAACAAAGCGAGAAGTTGCAATGATAAAAAAATTATTTTGTTCTCACTTTAAAAGCTCAAAGTTTAAGTCTAATGCAATAAAAAACAAAAAGACAAACTTAGAGTGTGAAGAAGTTTAAGAAAATAAACTGCAAGCGTTGCAATTTCACTCTAATTAAGCGAAAAACGACTTGGCAAAACTTTAGTCGCTCTTATTTAGTTTATCGCTTAAGAGGTTCGTGACTTGGCGCTATTCATTTAGCTATATTTAGCTACATAAAGTTATATTTAGCTTTATTATGTTTTAAGCTGATCAGCTCTGTAGTTGCTCTTTGGTAGTGCTCAGTGGAGTGAAGTGCAAGGATGGAGTGGATGGAAGCACGGATAAATGAATGCTGAAATCAGCAGCTCTGACAGCACCCAGTGGGTAAAAAATGTGCGAAGAGATAGCGAAAGCAGACCGGATCGAGAACAGGTAGCAACAGCAACAGCAGCAGGAGCAGCAGCAGCAGGAGCCGGAGCAGCAGCAAACTGTGCAAACAATGCAAAAATGCTGTGGCAATAAATGACAGTAACTAGTCCGAATGCAAATGCAAATATACACATACGTATTCAAATATGAATACATGAATGCCAAATGCGCACAATGTGCAAACGGAAATGGAGAGCGAATATTGCAAACAGGCAACACACACACACACAAACACACACACACAAACAAACACACACAGTGACACAGAATGTGTTCTAAATGCAGGTATGGAGTGTGATAGTGGGTAAATACCGACGAACGCATACTCTTTAATAATGTTGTAATAATTTTGTTGATGTCGAAAAATATGCTTCAATTTTTGAGTATCTTTTAGGATTAAATTAAAAATATTACCTGGAATTATGTAATAGCTTGAAAAACGAATCAAAATAGTAAGAAAATATAAATTCTCTAAAATATATTAACAAATCTCTATCTGTCTCTCTCTCTAAACAAAATAATATGAATAAAATTATTACTTTGTATGTGTTAAAAAAAAAGGAAGAAAAAAAACAATTTATAAACTATTTTTAATTTGTTCTATTTTGCGAGCAGACTTCTTTCGCCTTTAAAAACAAGCGTATATTAATTGAGGCATAGCAACCAGGCGCACGTATATTGTTTTATATGCATGTTTTGGGATTGAACTGATTTTGTTACTGTGGAAATGCCATATGAAACTGACAATAAATGTGATTATAAATGAAAAAATATACGGAAGTCATGACTTAATGAAGGGGAAAGAAAGACAAATAAAAAGAGTTTAAACTAACCGGAAGTAAACGCCAGGAGTGCGTTGATCCACATCCGAAGGATAAATGCGACCCACACGGCACTTGCTGAAGAAGATGCCCATGAAGGAGGGATCCCGTTTACGGGGCCAGTCCTTGATGGGGAAGACCAGCGGGTAGGTCAGATACTCGGGTGGATCGGAGAACTCCAAGTAGCCGTTCAACGAGAGCTAAAAGGGCGACACAAATTTGTTTAACTTCTTGATAAATCTAAGACAAATTCAACTTACGCGCGTATAGTTGAAACGGAAGCCATAGAAGGGCATCTGGAAGTTAAGATTCTTGTGCAACTGCGTCATGGAGGCGTGTATATCAAACTGATAATCGCCACGGCCGCCATAACTGTCCCTGTCGAAGTACCAGTACATGAAAGTGCTCCGAAGCTCGGCAAGACGAGCACTGGAAATTGTGTAGCCGCCAGCAGCGGTTGAAGGCGTGTCCGGTGGTGCCACATTGTTGTTGGGATCTGCAAGAAATTAAATAAAATACATATATATTAGAGTACATAGCATACACTCAGAAAACAAATTTCGAATTTTGTACTCAAATCAAGTTAAGACGTTGTCAAAGTCGGAAATACTTTTTAAATATATATATACTAATCTAGTAAACTAAAAGTTAAAAGGTTACAGAAAACTACAATCAAATTTTATGTTCAAGTCAAGTAAAGACTTACTAAAGCTCTTATGTACTAATCGAGGATAAACTACTATTTCAAGAAGTATTTTAATAAACCCAAATCAATGTACAATTTTCGGACTATTTTATATGGTATCAAAGACTATAAAGTATTTCTCAGCAACTTACATACTTGGAGAACAATATTTATTTCCTAATTTAAGTACTGAAGTTATTCTGTTACCAGCTCGAATCAAGGATTTGTGTTCCAATATAAATTTATTCAATTTTGTATACTTAGTTGAACTAAAGAACTGACTATTCACTCCATTTTATCTACTTGATTCTTTAATCACTTTTGTTTCTTACAAGCCTTTAAAATCGATTTATTCTTATCAACTCTCATTCAAACTAATTAACAAATTCTAGTTAAGGTTTCAAGAACATGACAATAGAACTTCCATTCAACTTGCACACTCTTTTTTCTGCCAGTATATAAGTGTTAAAGTCAAGACTACAAGGCGCCATTATAATAATTTTACATTTCAACAGCTAATCCTCGGAGATTACGTATTCAATTTCGCAAAAGTGGGCGTAGCCAGTCAAGCCTCTAAGCCCAACCACAGAAAATCTGCTTTTCCCCAAGCATCCATGGAGCCTTCAGCACGACGGCATTTCAATTTAGGCCGGGAGCCAGCCAGGGCCGGCAAATAAACTTAAAACTTTGCCGTTTCGTTGCAATCTTCGCTTTTGCTTGCCGCATGCTTGCTGCATACTGCATGCCAGTTGCCACTTACCACTGGGCCCATCCACACACATTTCTTGCAGCTTCCTGCTGACTCACTTACAAAATTGCTGGCTCTTGCTAACTGTGCTTCCTCTGCACTTAACCATTAAAGGTCACAGTTAATATTCATTTCAGTTTCGCCAACAACTTGCCAGCCACAATTTCTCGTCTTTTCTCTTTATCACTATCTATGTCTCACTTACTCTCTCTCTCCCCTCTCTCTCTCTCTCTGCCTCTGTCTCTATTTAGCAAAAATTTTTCATTCTAATTTCATGGCTTTTCTTTGCATTTTGTTTCGCTCTTTTAAAGCAATTTAAACTGAATTAGTGCGATGCTGATGATCTCTCTAAGAATACAAAAGAAAACAGAGCTAACCATAGATTTTGTAGTCCGATTTCATATACAAAAAGAGAATTCATCTTTATTAAGCAGGTTTTTAGTCTTTCTCTTTGGCATTTTTACAATATGAATACTTGAGGTACTTTACTTCAATGCCAAGCATTTCATGATGAGCTCAGACAAACTCGGGTTGGATTAAGCAAAAGAAAAATAATTAAGAAAAAAAAAATTAAATAAAAAAAATACCAAGCAGTCTTCAATATTTTGTCATCAAACTTGACAATGTATTTTTGCATTTCCCATTTTTTCTTATAATAATATCCACTTTAAATGCATAATCCATTTTTCATAAGCTTTATTAACATTCATTGAGCGTTTAATGAATGCATCAATTTGAAAATGAGGCATCATTTTATAAATGCATTTCCAACCATTAAGCTACAGTCGACAATTATTAAGTGATTTTCAATGATGTCACATATGTAAGTGGAAAGTGGCATAATGTTCGATAATTAGCTTTGATGGCAGCAATTAATAGTTCATAATAGTCAGCTGGCATTTCACCTAAACTCAAACCAGATCGCAGCACTCATAAAATCTTTCCACTTTGGTTTGCTGAGCAGCTGCTGCAAAATGTCAACGTTTTTAAGCTATTTATGAATCAGTATCGCAATTGTTGGCAGGCCATAAAATATGATCAGGGTCAGCAGTAATCCTTTTTGAGCCATATGCATAATTGTGCCAGGTAGCAGAACTGCAGGATTAGCTGCCTGATTTATGGCGATGCCTTTTGCATTTCAACCAAAAATTAGTCCGCAGAAAATACGCAAAATTCACGTGCTTGCAATTTAAAGGAAATTTAACGGATTTATTTTATTTTTTGAGTTAAGTTAATTTTCGTGGAATGCAAATGCAGTTGAAGTGAAGGCAAGTCAAGTTTTGTGGCAAGGATTTCGTGTGTCAAACGGGTATCAAAAAGTTTTTAGACCAAAACCGCAAGTACCTGAAAAAGATATCGAAGTCTGGCAAATTGCAGCTGCTTTTTTTTTTTGGCAGGTAGCCTTTTTTGAGGGCACATTCTGTGGTATATAAAGTGGCACCATTTTCAAGTGCCACACATTCGATTCGCACAACGCAACCAGCAATGAGCATCAGCACATTCAATTTTCAGTTCTACAATTACAAACTGCCTGCTGCAATGCCGCAGTTCACAAGCGCCGCCAGCTTCAGCGAGCTCGAAATGGACATCGACGAGGAGGAACTGGAGCAACCACAACCGGAACAGGAAATGTCAAAGCCAGCAATTACATCCACGCCACTGCCGACAGTTAAACAGCCGCTGGTGCTGTCTACGCCCAGATACACCAGCGAGCTATCTTTGGCCATCAGCACGCCAGATGTGAGCAACTCACGGCCATCGGATGCACTGCGTCCACAGCTACATCGGCCACAGAAACGCTGGTCGATGGAACTGCGTGAGAAAGTGCTGGAAATGTCCAAGCGCAATAATGCCTCCGACGAGCCGGAACAGCAGCAAAAAACAGGCACTGGCAACTTGCAGCAGCGATTTATGCAACAGCTTGAGGCAGATAGTAGTGCCACAGAAATCTCTCGTACTGTTAGTGACAAAATCAACTTTTTCAACAAGCTCACCAATACCTATGAATCAGCCAGGAACTCCAACAACAACAACAATAACAACAATCGCTTCATTTCGCTCCTGCGTGCCACACGCTCCATGGACGTGGCAACAACCGGTGGCGCTGGCCATGGTCCAGTGCCGCCACCAAAGCCCAAGCGCTTAATAGCCACCAACAGTACAACCGCAACAGCACCAGCAACAACAACCACAAGCGTGCCCCATCAGTTTGCCACACCAAATGCCAAGGCGACGCAGGCCTACAACAACAACGTAACGCAACGGAAAAGTTCGCTTCGCCGCAAGCCATCCATGGAGAAATCTCGTGCCACCATCGCCCGCCAGAATTCCAGTGCAACATTACGTCCGCAACGCCATGCCCTGATGGAGGATCTGAGTCTGGTGGTACCGGTGAGGCTACGCATTGCTGAGTACGAGCAGCGCATCTCGATGAGTGCCTAGCTATGCAAAAAGGGGAATGCAACCACCCAAAGAACCCAACCCACTCCAATCTAGTGCAAACTCCCAAGGATACGCCTACCCTTAGTCTAATAGTCATCTATTCAACAAGTGTTCAACAACATAATCGATAAGCATTTAAATTTGTACTCATTCTAAGTTCGAAAATAAAGAAAATATAAACTATTAATCTAATTTATTAATCTAATTTGACATCAGAATGCTAAACAGCTAATAAGGTTTTAGAAATAAATTCCAAAGTTTCCCCAGCTAAACAGAATTCTAAGTGAGTAACACAAAAAATGAAAATGCAAAAGAAATGAAAGAAAAAGAATTTATATAGAATATGAATTTTGTTATAATAAAGAAAACTCAACGAAAATTAAACAATTGCCCTTCTTTTCTTTAATTAAGTTTTTTTTTATATAGGAATCATTATCGAAAAACAAATTAGGCAGAAGATGAATTTACAATTAAGAAAACTCAAAGAAAATTAAATAATTGGCCAATTATGGTAAAGTTTTTAGAATATTTAAATCATTTCCTAGACTTGCAGATAAATAAACCTAAATCTGTGCCTGAAGTTGGGTAAAAATTACAACAGTGGCCGAAAGTAAACAAGTTCAAGGGTTATTCTAATTAAATGGTGCGGAGTGTATTTCTAGGTGGGTTCCAAGCATGCGATTAATACAAAGCAGGGGATTTAATAAATCACATTCAAAAGCTTATGTATTCAAGTAGTGAGGATTGCTTGTTTATTTAGATTTAACAAATGAAATCAATAGCAAATTGTGATGCAAATAAAATGGCGAAATGCAAAAACTATGCATAAAAGTGACATAAAATCTAAAATTAAATAAAAAACAATGAGTAAACTAGAATACACTAGAATCTGATCTAAATAGAAAGGACAATTGAATCGAGTTATATATTTGCTTACATAAGAAAATGCAATCATAAATCAAATAAATAAAATTCGTTATAAAAAAGAATTAATCACAATGTGTAACTAACATGAGTAATAATCAAATCAACAGTACTTTCATAGTATCAGTGGCGATTCCAAAGCTATCAGAGTACATAGCTGTAAACTGAATCATGCATTGGCAACACACCTATATTGGTATATAAAATGACCCTGCTTATATATCAGCCACTCTTATACTCTCTCTCTCTCTCTTACTCTTTCTCTCCCTTACTCTCTCTTTCTCTTACCCTCTCTCTCTCTCTTTCTGTCTCTCCCTCTCTCTCTCTCGATCCTGTATTTGTTTGTTTTTAATGCCCAACTCTGATGAGCACAACTCGAGCATTATCTTATCGCTCTACTAAATGCCCACCCCACAAGCGAAACACCTGTATGCCACATAGAGCAGGGGTGGGTAGGGGGGTCGCCAAAAGTCGAACAGGTTATCGAGCAAATATTGGTAAGCGGGCAAGAAAAACGCTCTATACTGCGATAAGATAGCCACAAAACGAATGCTCAACGCTCAACACGGCGGATGAGTAATGTTAACTGAATCAGCGCACATTCAAAAAAAAAAACAAGGCTAAAAAGCCACAAAAAAACTTTTAAAAAATGTATCCTTATAATAAATAAGTTCTCAGATTGAACCCATAAACCTAAAATTGTTTGTGGTTCGGTTCATAGAACCGGTTCGTTTCAATATCCGTTACTTACCCCAATTGTAGCCTGTGCTATCCAGATCGTACAGTTCACCCAGATAATCATTGGGCATAACTAGTGCGCCCGATTTCTGTTGCGGCTTGAGGCCTGCCACAGTGAGGATATCATCGGTGCCGCGACTCGATGCTGCAGCGAGCGGTGCCACATGCACCAAGGGCACCAATTTTGCGGGCGAGGCGGCGGCGGCGACGGCTGCGCCAACTGTTGGTTTAGGGCTAATAGCTGCCACTTTTTCGACTATTTTGACGACGCTTTCCGCTGTTTTTTTGGGCACCACAACTGGTATTTCCACAAATTCGGCCTCCTTGGCGAGTTTGTTGGTCGATTTTATTGGAGCAGCTGCGGGTGCGGCAGGTGCGGCAGGTGCGGGTTTATTCACAATTTGATCTTCGACTTCCGTTGAGATATTCTCGTTGGCCAGCACATAGGCCATAAAGCCGCAGGCCAGCACACACACCACAAACAGTTTGAAGCGCATTTTCACGCTTTTCTATTACTACAATTTTCCTGCTCTTTGTTTTGTTATTCACTTTTCGTTTTTCGTTCGTTTCGCACTGTAAAAATATATTAATCACAATTTAAATTATGCAAGAGACACTAAAATAAAGATTTTTACGCAGTTTCTTTTTAAGTTTTGGTTTCACTGCAAAAATTAAGTTAATTTCTTGCCAAATTAAAATCAACTTATATTTAGAATATGTATTGATTTATTTAAATTTCCTTTCAATTGATTTTAAAACATTTAAAATTGTTTTTTCACTTTGATGACATCATCAATGTGTCTCTGGCCTTATCGGCCATACAAAATGCTTATCACACACTGTCTTTTTTTTACTAGTTACCAACCTTATAGACTGCAAAATAAGTACGTTCGTTGCGGCGCCGAGTTCATTTAAGACTAAAGTCATTGGGCGTTGCCAAAACTAGTCGACTGCTTCACCTGTCACCGTTTTTCTCGATTGTGAAATGTTGGCAGTGTTATCTCTTATGCTCAATACTAACGGTTATCTTATCAGCAACAAAGCCACGCACTGATAACGCATTCCTCTTCTCGCTTTTGGCGCTCCACATTTTGTTGGCCAGGTCTCGGGAATTAAATTGCCTTTTGGGTTATTGTGCAAGTTGCCAGTTACCAAATTCATTTGTTTATTTAATGCTCTCTCATTTTGGTTTCTCTCTCCACCATTCTTATCAGTTTTCCCTCTTGTTGACTTTAGCCACATTACAATTTGTGATTCATGTCCATTACAGTTAATCATCGTTTCTTCTTTGGCAAGTCTCGGCCATGATAATTATAGACAATGAGCCATAATAAAAGGCAGCAAATTCGCATTTCCGCTGTAGCCACAGAATTTATGAATGAAATCAGCGTCACATTAATTTACGCACTTCATTTCAACAATCAATGAAAGCCCACAAATATTTAATTTGCTAACAACAAATTTATTCCAATCAAGTTAAATGAAATTCATTTATTAAATACTCAACAAACCAAATGACTATTATTAAGCTAAACGATTAAGAAAAGCTTGAAGTGAATAAATCTCACATCTTGTCAAAAGAAATTTGTTTTCAGCTATTTTGCTTTCAAAGATTTATAATCGACTTTAGTTTATGACAGCTTAGAGAATTTCAGTTTAAAAGTATTGCATACAGCTGATGACAAAGTTTTTAAGCTGGTTAGTTGTGAGACAAAAATGGGTAAATAATATTTTAAAATTATTATTTGATTATTATTTAAGAAATAAATAACACAGTCAAAAACATTAGTTAAATACAATTTTAATAATATTTATTTAACAACTTAAAAAAGTATTTCAATTATTTTTGAATAGAGTATGAAAAAGTTTTGGCATTTTTCCGACGTGCTGCAATTATTTTTAAGATTTTCTGTATTATTTTAGAAATATTTTGCGATACAAAATAATAAGAAATTTTGAAGCTGCGACGAGTGCTTATTAAATACACAGCCTATAAGTATGCAATAATAAAACCATTAATTTAAAGAAATGAGAGCGCAGCAGCAATCATGTGCTCACACCTAAATCAGCTGGAACAATGCCAAAGAGAGGCGAAGAAGCAAAATTCCAGTTCTCCTTTATTTGAGCGAGTGTGCCAAGTGAAAGAGTTAGAGCGAGAGCGCAAATGGGTGCTCAGTTGATCGCTTGTCGCTGCTGAAGATCAGTTTGCTTATCAGCGAAATGGACACAGCCCATGGGGGGGTCTCTCAGAATGACATTCAGTTGTGGGTCGAACGCGAACGGCTGCAGTTGACAACGGAGAGCGAGCGCTGGCAATAAAATAAAATAAAACACAATTAAATAAATAAACAAGTAAAAATGCTGCGACACTTGGCGAAAACGGAAGGAAAATTTGCGGCACGCGGCTATCACAGCAAGCAGGGCGTGTGGGGCTATCGTCCAGTTGCCAAGCGAATTTACCAAGGTGTTATTTTAATGAATATAACAATAATTAAAATACAAAACTTAATTATGCTCATAATCAGTGTGTCGAGCTGAAAAGATTATTTCGCGTTTTTTAATCTAACACTATAAAATTTGCAGCTGCTGCTGAGATAAAAATCATTTTTGATAACACTGAAAATGCTTCAGGCGAAATGAAATGTGTATAAATTTCTTGCGGCAAGTGCCGTAAATCAATACAGTATTTCTTAACCCACAAATTAATTTTGTTTTGCTGCTGTTTCCATTGTTATCAATGCGTGTCTCTGTTTCGCCGCAAGCTCTTCACTTCAAACAACAACAACAACAAAAGATGTGCAGCAGCCACAACAAGAACAAGCCGCTTGAAGCGAATTGCTGTGGGTAAACTGAAAACAAAAACAGCCGCAGAGCAACTCAAACTTGTTCGCCTCTAACTCCAGCACACAACTAACAACATGTGCGAAGCAACATGTGTGTAGCAACCTGTTGCAGTTTATTGTTTGTTTATTTTTAAACGAACATAAAACTTGTATTTATATCCAAATATCCTGCAAACTGATAACGAGATAATAAAGATAACGATAATAATACAATTTAAATTTGGAATAGTCTAAAATTAGCAATGCTAAAGAGCTAAAGCGATATACGTAAACCTTCTCATTTCCATTTTGTTAATTGAAATATAGAAATATATTTACTTACAAGTTTCCAGTTGAATTTTAAAGTTGTCAATCTTTTGATCAGTTTGAAACTTTTTAGGAGCTGCAAAAACTGCAGAAATTAAAACGAAACTACGCCCAAACACACACACACACACAGGTGTGTATTCAATGTGTGTGTGCACAGCAAAATAACAAAGTTGAGCAAACAAAGGCCCAAAAATTGGGAATTGGATTCAGGGCCAAAACCAGAACTAAGCCAGCCACACAATTGGCAGCAGCCAATAAAGGGGGGCCAATTGAGGGTCTTATCAACACTGGGCACGTCAGTTCTTATTAACAGGCAAACACACACACAGTTAGAGAGAGAGAGAGAGACAGACAGAGAGACAGACAGAGAGAGGGACAGAGAGAGAGTGAAATGAGTGAGAGAGCGCAAGGGAATGTCAATTGGAATGTAAAGGTGGCCATATCTCCATATGCACTCAGAGAAATAGATGCATATGAAATAAAAACATTTAAAAAGCTTCAGCTAAATTATATTTTAAAAAAATACTACAAACTTCATATCAAATAGAAATCACTTTCTAAAGACGGAAAAATTATTTAAAACTCTGCTTTTTTAGTTTTATTTTACATTCATTAATGATATTTTAGATTTAAATATGGTTTTATAAGAGCCTTGTCGAAACAATAACAATTATTTTTGACTACAGACCATTTGCTGGGAAATATTTTTTCCCCAAGTGTATAGGGCAACAGAATTTTTGTTTGCGAGTCCTTTTAAGCACTCTTGCTCGGACCTCGAGGTGACTTCATATTTTTGTTTTTGTTGACTTGATCCTGTGTATTGTCTGTCATCAGCTGAGCTCAGCGCGCTTCCTTTTAATTCAGTTGACATGCCCAATCAGAGGTCTATTGGTGGTCCTCTGGTTTCCCAGCACATCCTACCGTTCTGCTTGCATTTTGTATTGTTCAGTTGCTGTCGTTTAGCCTGCTGCTGCCTCATATATAACTGTCAGGATGACATTATCCTTTGGTTGCTGCTGCTACTGCTGCCGTGGTGGTTCATAATAATATTTGCACGCCCCCAAAATGATATATACTCGCCACAAATATCATTCATCATTCATTGTGTGCTTTCGTTGTGACCAGACAGTAGAAGGACATGCATGTCCTTTGGGAAACGCAATAAATTGATTTATTACCAAAAAAAAATGTTGTCAAAAGGATTGCATAAATTTTTAAGCAAATTAAGTTTTAATGCATTTCCAAGTAAGCCAGCTGACAACTGTCAATGATCTTTGTGCTCCTTAACTGTGTGTAGCACTTTGTTATCGACACACTCACACACACACACTCATACACTCATGCATACATCCTTTAAGCAGGATAACACTTTGGCACATAAACACCTAAGCAGACAACGAACCATCAACGGCTTAGCACCCGAAAATAAAACACCATAAAAAGCATACCCAATAAAAAACATATCCAGTGCCCATATCTCACTTATGCGTAGCTACAAATTCAAACATCCTGCTGCCAGGCACCGAAAACGAAATGTCCTTTTAAAGAATCTACTAGGAATTGAAATTTAATCCTCAAAATTTTCAAACTGCAGCTTAACTTAAATCTGATTATTTTTTCAAGCAAAATTAAGTAACTGAAAATTTAGATTTTACTAAATATTTAATTAAAATATGTTTTTCGTTTTAATATTCTTTATTTACTCCGATATTATTAGAGATTTTCAGCTATCGGCCAGTTAGCTGTTTTAAATCTCTCTCTGTGAATACAAAAATATATTTTAATTACAAAGAAAAGTTATTTAATCAAATATAATAATAATATTAAAATAATAGAAAGCCAATTTATGTTTCTTAGATTGACAGAGGAGATATCACTTCAAGTAGTCCTATAGTCTTTGATAACATATAGCTTTAAAAGTGAAGATAAAAAATCGTCGTTGATGCTTAAACATTAATATTTAGTTATTTAAGAGCTCTCTCACAAAGATGGTTATAAAAAAGGGCATCTACAAAGGCATTAAATGCCAGTTTTTGTCCAGTCACGATTAAGTTCATATGCTTCACACAACTTCCGGTGTGTGTGTGTGTGTGTAAGCCCAAATATATATGTATATGTTTACAGCATGCCATAAAAGTAAAATGTCAATAAATTCAAAAAGACCGGAAAAAATGGCAAATGCAACAACAGCCACAACAACAACACACGCAAGCAAATACATCGATGGATTCTTCGATATGATTTCTGAATAATTTATAACTGCAAAGAATGGAAATTTATATTGCCAACGGATGTGTTCCCCATTTTTTTGTTGCAGTGTCCGAGGAGGTGCGCGAAGCAAGGAACTCGCAGGCGAATGTTTATCGCTGGGTGGAGGCCTTTCGCCAGCACGGACACAAATTGGCAGCCGTGAATCCCATCAGCATTAGAGCAGCTTCCAGCAGCCAAAGGTAAATACTATGAAGATAGCGAGAGCTGACCCTCATCCATATATATATATATATATATATATATATATATATGTTTATGTATATGTATAATTTATACTTTGTCTGGCGCTGCTTCTTCGTATTTTGTATTGTGTCCATTCTTGCAGCGAGCTGCAGGAATTAAATCCCGCATTTTATGGACTGCAGACACAGCAAACGGTGCGCACCGCTGGGCTTATAAGTGACGCCACCAACGCCCCAGATGATGCCACACAACACAATGTTGCCCAGTTGGAGCAGCTGCTACGCGACATTTACTGCAGCAGCGCGGCAAGCGCCGAGTTTGCCTACATCGAGGTAAACAGCCATATAATTCATACAATAAAATTGCACAGATAGGCTCCGCAAAAAAAGAAAAACAAATGAGAGCTTTTCAGTCGGACATAACCGACTGGGGTATACTCTGTTATTAAAGCTAGATCCTACTTGTGGGGGTGGGTGAGAATAATAATAATAATTGAATAATCATTAAGGTGCCTTTCACTTTGAACCCAGTAAAAAATATATTTACAATTCGGTGACTCCAGTTTTTAAATATGGTTCTTTCGAGGCATATTCAATTTTTGATTGATCTTTAAGAGGAGTTACGCTAACATACCTTCAACATTTAATGGCTCTGGCTCAAAAACTGTCCTGTTAAAAAGGAATCAGAGTATACAAATTAAGCCAAATAATAAACTTTGTTTTTATTTTTGCATAGCCTTGCTGCATGAAGTTTAACTGACCAAATTTGATTATAAATTTGAACAAGAAAAAATATGATTTAGTAATCCAATTTTGATAATAAATTTTTTGCCAAAATATGGAAAGCACAATAATGTTTGTTATAAATGAGTCTGTTCTTGATATCTGGCTTAGCAAAACAAAATTAACTAAAATTTTCAAGCGATTTTTACTATGTTAATTGTGTTATACATTTGTCCAATGTTTAAAATTCATTGCGAAAATGTTGAATGCATTATAGGAGTCGTATCTTGGGTCAGATACATTGTCAGCAACTCACCAGCTCATATCAAAATGATTATATTATTTTATCATATGCACGGTAACCTATTTGACCTATTTTATCTCCTTCTGAGCCTATAACTGTTCCAGCAACCCCAATTCATTCACGAATGTCTTTTATTCTTCCGAGCTTAAAACATGTTTTCCTGGAATATAAAATCTTTTTCTTGCCATGGCTGATATGATTTCCTCTGAATATTCTTTCACAAAATCCGCACAGTCCGGTACAGACTATACTTAGTTTAGACCTGTAAGTACTACATGTCAATTCATTCCCCGAGATATTACATAAATAGACGGACTGACGAAGCTGACTAAATCGACACGGATTATAATGGTGGACAAGAAGATCTTATGAGATTTCAAGATGCCTCCTTTAATTACACACTTAACGACAATATTATAAGGACCTCTGCAAGAGTATATATAATTCAAATAAAACCTGGCAATTCCCTTATAGAATACCGAGGAACGGGAGTGGCTTGCACGCAACTTTGAGGCACAGAGGCAACACCAGCTGCAGTCGACGGAGCGCTGCGAAATCGCCGAGCTGTTAATTAAGTCACAGGCATGGGATAATTTCATGGCCCTCAAATTTCCCACGGTCAAGCGATACAGCGGGGAGGGCGCTGAGTCCATGTTGGCCTTCTTCTGGCAGCTTCTACGCGACAGCGTCCAAGGTCAGTGGGCTGACATGCCGAAATGCTGAAACATCACGCACCCAACTCCCAACTCATCCACCCATTTACCATTTACCCAGCTGGGCGAATCAAGCGAAATACTGTCCCAGAGATGGGCGCGTGAGTAGCTGAAAATGATAAGCTAATCGCAAAGAAAGCGAAATTATCTTATCTAATCAATGTCGGGTAGAAAATGAAAACAACAGTTAAGGAAAATCCAAGTCTTCCAATTTTTGTGTTTATAAACAGATTACAGATAATGACAGGCCAAGCAACAGAGATCCGTTTGGATCCGTACATGCCATAATAAGTATATTCATTCCATAAAGATTACCTTATCTATATATATTTTTATATCATAATTCATTTAGCATTCGGTTCTCAATAAATTAAGTTCGTATAATCACTTTAAAAAATATTTAAAGATAAGAATTGCATTAAATAACCCTTTTTGTAGTGTAACTTATTTGTAAATCCCAAATTTGTTATACGAATATTAATATTAATATTAAACCTATTCAATTTTTAAAATTGTATCATATATTAACATAATTAATTGATTTAACAAATTTAATATTAAAATGTATATACTTATCTTAAAATATGTAAGATAAATATTTTAATATTAGTTACAAAATTAAATAATAATTAATGATAAAATGTCGAAGAAGATATAAAATCTTAAGCAAGCCGAACCAGATATATGTTTAAGATATTCTCGAACCAGATTTATATTTTAGATATCTTTAGTAATTCACCAGTAATTCAGATTTTTGTTATTTTATAAATTTAATATAATTTAATTTGAAAACATTTTTAAAACTAAATAGAAACGAAACCTTTCTATTTAAAGCTACTTATTCCAATTTAAGAAATAATTATTGTATATTTAAAAGTTATTATTAATATTGTTATAATATTTATTATTTATTATTATTAGTAGGATGTATTTTCACACTTTCATCTCTATGCATCAGAGCTCCACATGACTCTTGAGAGCAGAACTTGAGATGCTCACATAGCGGCACTCGCTTGCTTTAACCCTAATCTGATTTTCTCGCCAAAACTTTGTTTCTTTTGGCATGGCCCACCTATGATGACAACAATATCAACAACAACAACAACAACAAAAACAACAACTATGACAACAGCGAACATTGAGCAGTTGGTGCTGGCGATGCCCCACCGAGGACGCACCTCGTTGCAAGTAGCGCTGCTGAACATGCGGCCGGCAAAAGTTTTTCGCAAACTAAGCGGCGCATCGGAGTTTACCGACGACATCGAGGCCATGTCCGACGTCATAAGTCACTTCCGTAAGTGAAACTTTTCTTATTGGCGGCGTTTTATTCTTATTCTTTTCTTTTTTTTTTGTGGACGTGTGTGGCTTTCGCCGGCCCACGCTGCGTATGTGTAATTTAATTAAACCCACTTCTTTCGCAGATGTTTCTGAGCAGCTGCAAGTGCTCGGCAAGAGCATCAACTTCAGCATGGTTCGCAATCCCTCACATCTCGAGGTAAGTTTCTCAATTTAAGTCACTAAATTAAGCAATTACAAACTTAAGTCCTCAAGAAAGTAGTTCTTTGTTGATAAACTTAAAAAAGTATTCATGATAAAAATAGGAAAATTATTTAACATTTTAAGTACAAACCAAAGACTAAATAGTTACTATAGATAAATATCTCTTTGGTACACAACTTTTTATGTATATTAAAATTAGCTAGATTTATTATTAATTTAAACTAGTTTTAAAATTCTAATCGTCAATATTTTTAAACGAAAATTCGTTTTAAGATTTCCAGTCCGCTGACTTTTGTTCTTTTAGGTAAATAAAATCAAAAATTGTATGACAACTACACAATTACGCAAATTTATATTAAATATATATTAAAAATAAGCTTTGTCAAAATTTAAGGAGTCTTAAGGAGTCTCCGGTTGAAAAAATATTGCTTCTTTAAATAATTAAAAGTTGATATTTTAAGAATTCAATTACTACATCAATCATGATAAAGTCTTAACTAAAATAAAGTCAGTTAGATTTTTGTTCCTAAATCAATCAGGATTTACAATATTCAATATTAAACTTTAAGTAATTTATTAATATTTATTTAATTTAATTTCCTCTTTTTAGGCCGCTAATCCCGTATCCATGGGCAAGACGCGCTCCAAGCAGCAGACTCGTGGCGAGGGATCCTTCAGCAAAGATGGCAGCGCTCAGAGATTTGGTGAGCATGTGCTCAATGTGATACTTCATGGTGATGCCGCATTTCCCGGCCAGGGCATCAATCAGGAGTGCCTCAACATGGCCTATGTGCCCCACTTTGAGGTGGGCGGCAGTCTGCATCTGATCGTCAACAACCAGGTGGGATTCACTACGCCAGCTGAGCGTGGCCGTTCCACCGATTACACCACGGATTTGGCCAAGTCTATACAGGCGCCCGTCTTCCATGTCAATGGCGATGATCCCGAGACATTGGTTCGCATCACCAATCTGGCCTTCCGCTATCAACGCGAGTTCCGCAAGGACATCTTCATAGATCTGAACTGCTATCGTCGCTGGGGTCACAATGAGCTGGATGATCCCACCTTCACCAATCCTCTGGTCTACCAAATCATACACAATCGTCAATCGGTGCCTGATCTTTACACCGCCGAGCTGGCCAAGCAGGGCGTACTCAGTGCAGAACAAGCAAATCAACTGCGTGATAATTATATTAGCCATCTCACTGAGGAACTGGCACTGGCACCAACTTATCAGCCACCACCATCCTTCTTTGAGAAGCAGTGGGCGGGCCTGAAACTGGCCCCCGCCAATGAACTGACCTATTGGGACACGGGCTTGGACTATGGCCTGCTGCACTGGATTGGCCAACAAAGCGTTGCATTCCCCGAAAACTTTGTGAGTGAAAATGTGTAAACACTTTAAAACATTAAAACTATGCTGCAACCGACTGTGGCATACTCTGTTCTCATTGCAAAATATCAGCTGAGATGAATATACATCTAGAATCTGTTAGAAATTAGATATATTCTCAAATCAGAATCATGCATGGAAACAAATCCTTTAATATTTTAGGGCAATCACCGTATAAACTTTTTCGATTCGTGAACAGAGTATATACATTTTTTTCGATTTCACTAGAGAAAAGAGAATTTTCTTTTCACAGAACATTCATCCGCATCTGCTGAAGACTTTTGTGCAAGGACGGTTGAAAAAACTGGGGGCTGGTGCCAAAATCGACTGGGCCACGGCGGAAGCCATGTCCATTGGCAGCCTGATGTACCAAGGCCACAATGTGCGCCTCAGTGGCGAGGATGTGGGTCGGGGAACCTTCTCGCACCGGCATGCGATGCTGGTGGATCAGCAGACAAACGAGATGTATGTGCCATTGAATAGCATGGAGGGCGGCAATGGTGGCAAACTGGAGGTGGCGCACAGCATTTTGTCCGAGGAGGCAGTGCTGGGCTTTGAGTACGGCATGGCCATTGATAATCCACAAAACCTAATCATCTGGGAGGCACAATTCGGTGACTTTGCCAATGGTGCCCAAATCATCATCGATACCTTCATTACCTCGGGCGAAAGTGAGTAAATTAACTGCCAAACTAAGCTAGGAAAAACCGTGCTAATTCCTCATTCGTCAGGTAAATGGATGGAATCGAATGCTTTGGTCATGCTCCTGCCACATGGCTTCGATGGTGCCGCCTCGGAGCACAGTTCCTGCCGCATCGAGCGTTATCTGCAGCTGACCGACTCCAAGGAAACGGCAGCCGATGGCGAGAACGTCAACATTCATGTGGTCAATCCCACAACTCCAGCTCAATACTATCACGTGCTGCGTCGCCAGCTGGCCAGAAACTTCCGCAAGCCATTGGTAGTGGTGGCTCCAAAGACACTGCTCCGCCTGCCAGCAGCCACCTCAACGCACGAGGACTTCCAACCGGGCACAATGTTCAACAATGTTTTAGGTGAGCCTCTTCGCATTCAACCCTTGTAAAGTGTATTATAATTTGTAGTGCATTATTGTAATGCATTGAAGGAAACTTTTCTGACCCCATTAACTATATATATATATATATATATATATATATATATATTCTTGATCAGCATCACTAGACGAATCGATATAGCTATGTCCGTCTCTAGTCTCCAATGATGAAGCTATCTTTAACAAGATATCCAAACCAAACTTACCCAATATTCGCATCATTATGCTCCTACCTTGCGTACGTCCTTGCATCTATCTTTCATAGGAACAATTGTATGGCTTTAAATGTATAGTCAAATTTTGAAGACTCTGGATTACGGCATACCTAATATAGCGCTTGGCATAGGGTATAATAATGGTGTGCAAATGTACAGGCCGGCAGAGTTGTTCTCCGAGCAAGTTCCTTCTTCCCTTCTAGAAAAGTTCAGTGTTTTTAGAAATAACTTTAATTTTCAAAATGCATGCGGCAATAAATACGTTTCAGTGGCAATAATGTTTAATTGGGGCTAGCGTTTAGTAAGTTGTAAGGCATCCACTAGTGGGTCACATTTTGGCCCTGGCACTCTCGCATATAATGACCATAGTTTTAGCTGACGACTCAAACAATCTGGTCTTCTAGGTGACAGCAGCGTGGAGCCGGAGCAGGTGCGAAAGGTCATCATTTGCAGTGGCAAGCACTACTACAACCTGGCCGAGGAGCGCGCAAAGCGACAGCTTCAGGATACGGCAATTGTGCGCCTCGAGTCGCTGGCACCGTTCCCCGTGCAGGAGTTGCAGGCACAGCTGGCGCAATATGGCAACGTGCAGAGTAAGTTCGAATCATAAACTTGCACAGAATAAGTTGCACACTAAAAACCAACTAAAAAAAACCACCCACAAACCCCAGCTTTCGTGTGGAGCCAGGAGGAGCCTCGCAATATGGGCGCCTGGACGTTTGTGCGGCCACGCTTTGAAAATTTAATTGGCAAGGAGGTAAGCCACATTCACACACATCCACACACCCATTCACACACATATTTAGATATGTCCGTAATAAAAAACAAAACTCTTACACAGCTCCAGTATTGTGGGCGTTGTGAGGCGCCAACAACCGCCACCGGCATTGGCAAAGTGCATAAGCGGGAAGCTGATGAGATTGTTGCTGCCCCATTTGAACTTTAGTGTGATGTTGCTGCCTGCCGCCTGCCACCTGCCAGCCGCTACCCGCCGCCTGCCATCTGCCGCTTGGCTTCACTCCTGGATACTGTCTACATGCCAACACCAGCACTTCCCCGACCAGCCTGCCTGCCCGTCCACATATATCACAAAGTACTTTAGCTCAATAAAACTGACAAAAAAAATAAAGTAAACAAAAAACAAATCGGTGTGCTCTAATGCAGTTTTATGGACTGGCTGATATCCTGTAGTTTGTTGAAAAAAATTGTCATTTATAATGAGGTGTACAAAATACATCTTGCGACAGTCAGTTGCAGCCATATGCTTTTTCCTTATAATATGGAAATTAGAATTTTTTGAAATATATTTTGTTCCCCAGTCGTTAACGTGCAAATTTCATTTAAAATGTAATTATGAAATATTAAAAACATATATTTTTAATATATCCAACTAATGTGGAATAAAAAAAATTCTTTCTTGTTTTCTAATTTATAAAAAAAAATTAATTGCATTTCTCACGATTGAAATATTTACATATGATCAGATAAACTTAGCGCAAGTTCTGTTTGGCCCAATCTTAACTACTGATAATTAAATCTGATGATTATGCGTCGTTAGCAAATATAGAAAAGCCCACAACCTTGACCTTGTTCAACCTTGACAACTTGCCGATAAATATATAGAAGATAGCTGTATATATTTAGGATGTTTTGGCTGATAAGAAATGCATTACGCACTTTATAGAGTCATTGATGACACCTGCCGCTTCACAACATTCAACACTTACTACCTATTTCTGGCTACAGGATATTTAAGAAGCAGCCATGCTGTAAAAGGCGGTACATAAAAGTTCAATGTGGCATTACAAAATAATTTATCGTATGAAAAAACCAAGTCGAAACTTTAAGCCAAAGTTTTTAATTGTTTGCTGTTTTTGTAGTTGTTGTGGTCAACGCTTGTGTACATAATTTGTTGTTGTTCCTATTATGTGTAGTAGTTTCTGTGCCATTGGCATCATAATAAAGTCCAAGGTTTTATGCCAGTGACAGAAAATAACGACCGAGCCAAACCAAAAAACATCAAAAATCCAATTTAACCTACCGTAAATATTTATTATGTTTATGAAACATTTTACAGACTTTCAATTGGTATGGTTGAAGCAGTGACCTAACTTAAATATTTATATAGTAATAAATCGGAGGATTTAGTATACGGACTATCATAGCTGGATAATATAATAAGAGAGATTTGAACAATAAGATACAAAAATTAATATACGAGGTACATATAATAATAAGCTACATAAATTAATATGACTGCAATGTGTATGTGGTATATAGATTGAGAGAGTGAGGGTGAGATCTGAGGATTACTACATATAAGGCGTTACCAAGGGTTCTAAAAGATTGGAAAGGTATTGAAAGAATACTAAATAAAAAAACAGGTTAGAACAAAGTCTCATCACGCTTAATTTCTAGATGGTCAGTTGCAATAACTTATATGACCTGCCTGCCATAGACATGCTCTAGAATATCGTAAAACTCGCTGGACGTCTTATATGCAAAATACAGAAGTCACATCCAGAACAGAAATGCCAAACAAACGGCCATTATAACAAAGGCAGTTTCTCGACAATTGGCATTATCCCAGCCGCACTCCAGATCGAACTTCAGAGCCTGTGCATATTAAGTGAAACATTAATAGAACATTTTGGAATCCTTGGCATTCAATAGACTTACCTCCAGCAACTGTTGACCGCCTTTATTTTCACAATGCGTCTCGCGAAGATCGTCGTCGTGATCATCGCAATTATGGCGTCCATAAACCTGACACGGTGAATTCATAAACGTACGGAAAACAGTATCGGTCCAGGTCTGTGATGAGCATATATATTGCCGGCGCTTCCTCTGCCAGAACTCCACCCAACTAACATCAAAAAGATGATTCAAATTATTAACAAACAGAAGGGATGTGGAAAACTCACCCCAAGTCGCAATCGCAGCTGAGATCCGTGTGTGACATCTTCAGATCAGTGAGAAAGACGCTATTTGGCAGATATGGCACTGTGCCCGTATTCGGATTGGGTATCTTCTTCAAGTTGCGATTGTGATAACGTATGTCCAGCGAAATGTTTCGCACACGACCCATGTTTTTAAAGAAGTTTGGAGGCAATGCTTGCAGCGAGGTATTAAATAGTTGCATATACAGATATGGAGAGCGCATGCCCTATTTTAATGTTAAAGTAGTCAGATAAAATTGATATTATTATTATTACAATTACTGAGAATAACCCAATATACAAATATAACAACTTAAGTCTTTGACTATGTCTTAGTTCAAGAGAAAATATACTTACTAATAAGATAATAAATAATTTATCTGATAATTGATAGCAAATATTTACACAATCAAATTAAATAAAAATTTGAAAGGTGTTTGAAGCATAAATATCTTAAAAATGGAAATGAAAAGTTCCTAAGAAATGTATTGAAATAGGAATGGAACGTAATCTAATCATTTTGTATAATTTAGGATGTAATTGTGGTCAAACTACAAAATAAATTCATAATTTAATAATAGTTACTAAGGACTAATTACTCTTTTTATAAAAGAGACTTTTCGTTGTCAGATAATTTCGTTATTGATTATACATAAGTAAGTTCAATCTAAGCAAACTCACCCGCAGAATGCGTTCGTGTAGATTTGTAAATTGTGGTCCACTGAAGGTAATATTGGTCATTTTGGAGGGCAGCTGTCCTTCCATTTCACGATTCAAGTCAGTGGGCATGCCCATCTGCACTGTTTGCATCTCCTGCGTGGGGCCCGAGCCCTTCTTCACGATGCGCGTAAAGGGCTGTGGTGCCTCAATCCACAGTTCGCGTATATTGTGATGATGGCGCAGCAAATGGGGTATATTAAAGTGCTCCAAATGCGAATAGGCAGTCAGTTTGAGGGAACGCAAATGTGGCAGTGAGTCGAGGCAGCCATATTCAAAATAATGCAATCGAAAGTTGGATATGTCCAACATTTCCAAATCCTCATTGACCCCGTCGAAGCTGTTGTTATTTAGCGAGGTGATCGGATTGCCAGAGAGCATTAGGCGACTGTAAGTTAAAGATGCACCAGTAAATATATTAAATTATTTCAAAGCTGTAGATCCACCACTCACCGCAAATGTGGCAGCGATTGTGTCATTAGAGGAACATTAGTCAAATCATTGTTAGACAGATCCAACATGCGTAGATTGCTCATATTGCTTGCCAGTTCCTGTGGTATTGAGGGCAACTCATTGTAACCCAAACGGAACTCGCGCAGATACTTCAAACGTATCTCTGGCACTGTGCTCAGCGATACATTCTCCAGGCCCAGCTTAATCAGTGACGTCTCCAGACCCATGAACGACTTATCCATCACCTTAAGATCACGATTGTGTGAGAGATCGAGAACAGCCAGCTTAGGCATTGTGGCAAAGACAGCATCGTCAATGCGCAGCAAATAGTTGTAGGAGATATCCAAATAGCGGAGGGACTAAAAGATACAGATATGTGCAAATTATACATTAGAGAAAGCATATATATATTTAAGAATATAAAGAATATAAATAGATGTTGAACGAAAGCTTTAAGACAACTCGAATTAAAAAAGTAATCAATTTCAACACTTAATAAATCTTCGCTTGTTGATCTGATTGATTCTCATTTCAAATTTCTAATAATAATATGTAAAGATTTTCGAGCGATGATTAGTTCTTACCCTAAACTTATTCGACAAATCCATGCTGTGTATGGTCGATATAAAATTATTGGATAAATGCAGTTCGCAAAGCGTCAAGGCAGCCAAACTGGACAATGATGAAGATGGTATCTTCAGTAGCATATTGTGCGAGGCATCCAATCTGTCAAAATAAGTAAATGTTTGTTTTTAGATTGAGATGAACTTTTAGCAAATCGGCTAGTTCACTCACTTTTCCATGCCACTGTTGTAGAATAGATTGTCAGGCAGACCACGTAGTTTATTGTGTGAGAAGTCAACAATGCGCAATCCTTGCACAGGCTTAAAAATATCCTGTGGTATATCGGTCAAGTAGTTGTGGTCAAAGTAGACCAACTGCAGCTGTTTGGTATTCTTAAAGGCATCAAAGTCCAGTTCGTGTATCCAATTGTAGCTTAGATCCAGCCATTGCAAATTTGGCATGTTGCCAAACACATCTCGCGTGGTGTTCTAAAATAAGTTTATTTATAGAGTGTATATTGTAAATGTTGTAGATAAACTTGCAACTACAAAAAAACAATTGTTTATTGAGCACTTTGTCATGAATAAATTACACTACTTTGACTTATTTTCAGTAATATATCGAAAATAAATATATAAATCTAAATAGTTATATATAATTTGTTTAAAATTATAAAATTAATTATTAATTATTAATATAATATAATAATTTATAATTTTCATTTTATAAACTATATATTTTATATTTTATTTGTGATATTTAAAATTGGAGGTTAATTGTAACTTTTAATTTAAAAAAATGTATTCTTTATTAATTTCACATTATTTTTATTTAATTAGTTATATTTTAAATTTAAATGAAACTGTTCCTTTTACTTTCAATAATATTTAATAGTATTTTAATTACTTGTTAATACTTTATTTAGGTTAAATACCAACCATTAGTGAATTGTAACCCAGATGCAAATGCGTCAATGTGATCTCAGCGGGCCGGAAGTAGCCGGGATATATAATGGAGATATTATTGTGGGACAGATCCAATATCTTGATGTTGGAGTGGTACACACCGCCTACAAAGATCGAAGCCCATAAACATAACTGATATTATAAGTATTTATAAGGATATACCATTTTCATTGCGGCCACTCCAGGAGGAGTTGTATATCAGCTGCTTGATCTGATTGTGGCTAATGTTGACATTCAGATTGGATAAAGTGCCCACTTGATCGAAGTAGTCAAAGTTAAAGTTGGGCAGCTGATTAAAGGCCATATCCAGAATCTCCAGCTTGGGCAGATTTTGAAAGGATTCCTCGGCCAAATTATTGAGTTTATTGCCACGCAGACTCAAATATTCTAGCTCATCCAAGTTCATAAAGGCTCGTCGTTCCACCTTGTCAATTTTATTGTCATCCAATTGGAGTTTTCGCAACGCTTCCAGATCAAAGAATGTGTGCTGCGATATCGATGACAGATAATTAAATCTCAGCGAGATCTCCTCCAGCTTCGAGTGTATATCGCCCTGGAAAGTGCCCTTGAGCACCTGCTCAATGCGATTGTCATGCAGCTCCAATAGTCTAAGGTTCTTTAAGAAATGAAAGCTAGTATCGCTCATGCTGGTAATGTGATTGTTGCTAAAGTCCAGCTCCTGCAGGGAGGTCAAATGACGCAATGCCTCCGCAGGCAAGGCGCTGCCAGAGTAGCCATGCGACATCTTCAGTGAAATGAGCGAGTGACCAATCTGAAAAAGGAAGATTAATCATTTTAATAAAGTTATCAATTCTCAATTTAATAATTAATTCAATAACTTTGTTCTCAAAGCAAGCAACCGTTGATGATTTGAACTTACATATTATTTTCATTCTATATTAAATAAACATAATATTAAATTTATTGATTTTATTTTTGCTTTGAAGAGCAAACATTTGGATTTTGATTCACTCATTTTTGGCTTGTTAATTTGATAGCTTTATTTGAAGAATTTATCATTTTTGAACAGTTACATTATCAAAGCAAATACTTCGTCAGTTAAGAGCTAAATAAATCTTGAACCAAAAAGAAACAATATCAACTTAAAACAAGAATTTAATTTTTTGTAATAGTTACCAAAACTCATCATGAGTACTTTAAGTTGATTTTCTACTTATTAAAGCTTGAATAAATTGCTTGAAATTTGTTAAATATGTACTTAAATTAAGAACCAAGTGTCTGGGCGAACTTAGTTAACCTTACCTCATGAAAAGCATCATTCTCAATGCTTGAGATTCCATTCTCGCTGAAGTCCAATCGCTTCAGACCGCGGACATGCTTGAAGGCATGCGATTGTATTCCTGTGAGGCTGGCCCGTGTTATCTGCAGATCCTCCAGTTCTACGCCAAAGTCTTTAAAGTCATCCGCTCCGACAGAAGAGGTGCCCATGCGCGATATGGACAGCGATCGCATGTTCCGCATTCTGGTCATACTTTTTGAAAATAAATACAAAAACGATTTGCTCGGGTAAAGGGGTGTGTGGGGAGCAGGGCTATTGTTCAGTGCTGGGGTCACTTACTTGCGTAACGTCTGTAGATTGGTGGGGTCATTGCGATCCCCGCTAAGATCCAGTTTGAGCAGCGTATAATGCATGGCATTAAACGTTTCCGTTGGCTTCGGGATTTTAATATTATTATCACGCATGCTGATCACCCTGTATTTGTGATGGAAGAGGGAAATAAGTGTGTATTGGTTGGGTTATTACGGTTTGCATAGTACATCCATCGCCTCTTTTTCCATTTGTAGTTGCATTCGGATTGGTCACGTTCCTCGAAAGCAGGTCACACACATTAGCCCACATTGGGGAAGCCCCACACAGAAATATCGTTGCATTGCTGCTGACAATCGGATTAGGGGTTCTCGGTTTTCTCACCTCAAGACATCGAAATTATTGAAGAGTTTGTGGTGCAGCTTGGTCAAATTGTTGCCGGACAAATCCAGAATCTGTAAACTATTCACCAGACTATCGAAAGCCACCGGAGAGATATTGGTCAGTCCACAGTAGCGCATATAAATCTCACGAATGCGTGCTGGCTTGAAGGCATCGTCCTGAAAGTGGCAAATATGTTTTATATGTTATTTGTATAATATTTTAATTTCTATCAGCAATAGACAATTGAATACTTTACTTAATCCTAATCCATTCCAAACCAATCACTTCAAGAATCATTAGAGGCACTCACCTTTAGCGTATGTATTGGATTGCCATCGAAGAAAGTGCGATTGACTGTATCGAAATACTTGAAGGAATTCGGAGGCAGCACTTCGATGTGATTATACTCCAGATGAAGATTGTCCAGATTCAGTTTGGTACTGGCTTTAATGTCATACGTCTCATTGCCGCTCAGCGACCAAATGACATTGTGAGAGATATCCAAGGTGCGCAGACTTTTCAGCGGACCCAGTGCATCGTAGGGTATCTCCGACAGTATATTATCCGTGAGCAATAAACGCGACAAACGCGGCATGCCATCCACAAAGACATTGGGATCGATTTCAAACAGACTATTGCCACTCAGATCCAGTGTCTCCAGGTTGAGCAAACCCGTGAAACTATGAGACATCAGCATCGATATGCAATTCTCGCCTAGATTCAGATTCTGCAACGAATCCTCCAAGCCGCGGAACGAGTCATGATGAACAGTTGTTATATGATTATCAGACAGATCCAAGATGCGTAGTTTTTGTAGATGACGCAATGATTTCGATGGTATCTCCACCAGATCATTTTGGGGGAGTATGAGCTCCCACAAAGAGCGTTCCAATCCGGTGAAGGCATCATCTGGTATTTCAGTCAAATGATTACCCGAAATCTTTAATCGATACATGCCCGTCGATTGCAGAAAATACGGTTCGATCTCTCGCAGACCCGTGTTCTCCATGTGCAGCATGAAAACCTGAAACAAATATGCATAAAAGAATTTCCTACTGCAAAGATTCCTCTTCTTACTCACCTTGGATTGGTTAACCATGCGCGGCAGTGCTGGAAACGGAACATTCTTGCAATGGACAATGCCCAGATCTGTGGAAGCCTTCGAACACGTGCACATCACATTGTAGGTGCATGGCGGATAGTGTGTCTCCTCCATTTCCCGACTGAACATCGAGGCACGCGCCAACGACATCCAGATCATTATAATCAGTGTTATGGTGAGGAAGGCATAGCCAAATTTAAAGAAGAACTCCAGTCCCTAAGAAGAACAGAACAGAAAGGATTTGAGACTTTGCCAGTTAAAAAGTCTTCTAGCATTTCAGTTGCTAGACAAGTATTAAACATTCCAGGAAGTAACCAGCAAGCACAAATGTCTTTTGGTCTTGTGGGGTTTCACTTGGTCTTCGCTCTGCTTTTCTTTTGTGTGGTCAGTTTTTCTTTTTTTTAATCAGCCCTTGGTAAGAACAAAAAGGCTTGCACTTTTAAGGCTATTCGTTCAAGCGTATCGAATGTCCTGTTTTCATTTTCAATTAGGTAGCTTCGAGAAAACACAGAAGTTGCTCGGAAATTGGAAGTGTCAGGATTAATATCGTCATTTGCAAAGCGTTGCAGAAATGACTCTCATTAATTTATTTAATGTTGAGTACTTTATTTTAAAAAAAATTGATCTCAAAAAACTATTAGCTTTTAAATATTTATTATATTTTGTCAAGAAAAAAGCTCTTCAAGAAATGACAAATATTTGAATTATGAATCCAAAATCGAATTATTTATTTTTTTTAGAAAGTTTTGCTTTTTGACCTACAATTAAAAAAAAAAGCTTATATCTACAATTTGAAACCTTAATTAGTTTCATCATTAACTACTTTCATTATTCGATAGGAAACAGATTTTACAATTCAGAATTCAAGTAACTTAACCAATTTTTCCAAAACTTATTATTTTAGAGCACATTTTTTACTTAACCATTTTGAAACACTTTTGAAATTCAAATGAAATTGGTATATAAATATTATTAAATTTAATGAACAGTGGACAACAAGAATTCAAAGAATTTAACTTGTTTTTTTTTTCAAAACTTATTATTTTAGAAAAATGTTGTTTTTTTTACCAAAAATTAATAAATTGAATTAACAGATGATAATAAAAATGCAAGGCATTTAACTCATTTTTTCTAAACTTATTATTTTCGAGACCATTTTGTGTACCTTACCATTTTTAAGCGGGTGTACAAAAATTAATCAATTTAAATAACTCTTATATCAATCAATATTTGTTGACTTCTCGCGCAAAGAAAAAATAAAGCACAACCAACACACTAATCGACAAACGACCACTGTTATATATATTCATAAAGATTTATTTAAATTATGCCCGAACATTTAATACACACCATTTTGTTAATTGGATTATTCAGTCGCGTCAATTGGCATTTAGAATAACGTTTAATTTAATTTAGCTGCTAGGCGCTTCTTTGTTATTTTAATTGAATATTAAGTGAAACTTAGTTTAATTTGTTGTCAGACACAGGATGTGCGTCACTTTTGAAGCCTTGTGTGTGTGTGTGTGTGTGTATGTGTGTACAGGTGTGTTTGTGTGTGTGTGTGTGAGCCAAAGCCAAAGATTAATCCTTTTTAGGGCAGCAGCAATACGTCCGAACCGCTGCGCGTTTCACGCACGTCTGAGACTTGAAAATCAATCGGAGTGCGCATTTGGCAAGCAAAAATAACTGGCGCAAGTGGCGCACGTTGCTAATTGGATTGTAACATTTTGTTGGGGCTGCTCATTTGGTTCCATGGCGCCATCATTGGGCACAAGCCCAGGCCGATTTATGTGGCATTACTGTACGCCTGGTTGGCTGCTCAGTTCCGTTTTGTGTTTAGAATATGGCAAGCAAAACACATCGCAATTGCTCAGCGGAAGGTGCTTACTCTGAAAATTTTAGAAAAACCAAAAAAGTTACCAAACCTCGAGGCTAAGCAGGGCGTTTTTCTTCCCCATGCCGGACGAACTTATGCTGCACGGCATGGATTAAAAACTTATACGAATTCACACGACATGATTGCGAGCGGTGCGATAAGCAGTTTGTAAAAAGTTAAGCGTGCAACAGACAAACATTTATAAATAATTGATGCACAAAATATATATTTTAAATTCAAATCAAAATAAAAAACAATTGCAACAGCAGCTTCACTTCAGCGTGCGAATCTTGCGATAGATCCAGCTATGATAGGTGCGCTCCTTGACCAGCTCCTTATCTGTAGGAGAATACCAAAAGTTAATTAAGAATATTAACATTTATAAATATTATTTGTGGCTAACCATCGCACTGAAAGCACTGGGCCAATTCGGGCGGACATATGTTCTCCAGATTAAAGTAGAATGTGGTTGTGTGCTCCCTAAACGTATTCTGCGACTTCATCGTTATTTGGCGAGAGTGCGGATCCTTGCCATCCAGATTCTCGCTCACATAATGAGCCGACAATTGTATGTCCACTACATCGCTAAGCGCATCATCAATGCTCTCCACCAAAGTTGGCTGCTTATTCAACAGCTGTGTGCAGACATCAGCGTAGACTAAGGCAAAAGAAATTATTGAATTAATATAAGCAAAGGTGATCTGGGAAATGTTTGAGTTGTCTGCTGACTTCTTAACGCCTCTCAACTGACCGTTGGGTAAATTCAAATTGATGTGTATCATCAAGAGATGCTCCAGCGTGCAGTGGATTTGAAAGAGTTTGGAGACACGATGCACGCTCTCCTGCTCATCAAAATTACTGTTCTTAAAGCCGGATTCAGCGCCATTTTGATATTCTTGACCGGTTTGCTTGTTGCTGCCAGCCGCGTGGTGCAGCAGAGTTTTACGTATGCCAATGGGTGCCGCATCACCGCGCACCGCATTGTGCAGCGATTTGCGCAGCTTCGAAAGATCATTTGACGAGACAGCATCATTTGCATCGGCACAGGTCGATTCGGCGCTGCTCTTTAGCAAACTGGTGCTGCACACTTTGCTCTCCGTAAAGATGAACTCGTAGTCCTTATAAGCCTTTTCCAGTCCAATTTCCAGCAGCAACTCCAATGGCTCAGCGCCACTTAGACAAGGCATGGCCAGGCGGCTATTGGCCAAATTTGAAATGATTTCAGCCAAGCGATTTTTGTTGGTGGGCGTGTTCTAAAACAGAGTATATAAATACTAATTAGATATGGAAAAATTTCACGGAGCTATTAACAAACCACAATATTGCAGCGCACAGCGCATTGGAATAGCATGTTGAAGGCTATTTTCAGATCCTTGTATGAGGAGCAACCTGAGAAGAAACAACGGATTTATATCATTTAAGAACTAAGTATGTTAGAAGCAAATCATTCCTAGGAAATTTGTATGATATATATTATGACAAATTAAATTTTAGAGAGATTATAACTAAAAGAATAGAGAAAATAGAATTTCAAATTACAAATTTTAGTAGAAATAAACTTGAACAACTATAAAATGTTTTTAATATTTGGCACACTTGTTAAAATGCGGGTATATAAGAGACAAAGCTTTGCAATATATTATTATGATAATTAATTAATTATTATTATTAATATAATAATAAATTGAAGAAGGTATCTCCATCTATAAGTGTTATCCCTTCATAAAACCTACACTTGAGCAACTCCCATAGTTTGTCGGTGAGATCGGTGAGTTTGCGCTGCTTGGCCCGCTGCACAACCTCCTCGATGTCGTATTCGCTGTGGCCATCCGCAAAGACGTCCGTAAATCCAGAGACCTCCGTCATTGTTTTGTTAATCGATTCGCGTAACTCGTCCATATCAACACCGGTGCCACAACGATAGATGGGATCCCGTGCGATGCCCAACTTTTCGTCTCTGCGATGGCTAACAATATCCTCGCGTATGTAGACCAAAATGCGCAATTGATTCATAAAGTCCTCCGTAAGAGCAGCGCAATCGCCAACGCGAAACTTTTGATTCAACAGCACATGGCAACGACTCAGATCCACCAGGAGCGGCAACGTTGCCGGCGTCGACCAGCTGCAGCGGAGTACCATCTGCGGATTGAGCTGATAGCAGTTCTCAATGTATGTCTCCAGCTGTCCGCCCGCAGCCATGCCATGCTGGCGCACCAGCGACTGCGAGGTGACCATGTAGGAAGGCATAACACCCTCATAGGAGACAATGCCGCGTGCAAAGTGCGTCTTACTGAATTCATATTGCAGGAGCAGCGTGTGCCCAAAATCGCTGCCATCGCACAAGAACCAAACGGAGCCGATTCCATCGCCCTGCTGAAACTTCTCCGAGCAAATAATTGCGCGCGCCTTTTCCACAGGCTCACCACGATGATAGATTTCGTCCTGTTTCCAGGGATTTCGGTCGACGATCTGCAAATCCAGCGCGGAAAGATCGCCAATTGTGTCCACCACACAGTCATCTTTCAGGGGACTGCCAGTCAAATCCAGAACCATATCGGATGGCGTTATTCGATCGGTTTTGAGCAGCAGTTTGGTGGGCGTGGTTGCGCCTTTTCGATCTTCCCGATAGAAGAAGACAATTTTTTTGGACGCTTCGCGCGCGCCAACAAATCGGCCCAGATAACTGGGCGGTGAGTTGTATGTAATCGTATAGTTGTCTCCATATTTTCGCAGCAACTCGGCGTATATATTCGCAAGATTGATAGACATGTTAAACGAACGGATAAATTAAAATGTGCAAAAACACAAACGATATGTTGTCCAACAAAAAAAAACACAGAAATGTCATCCAAAAATCTTAACATTTTGCGGAAATGTTATTAACAGCGAGTCAGACATTTAAAAAAAAAACAGACGTTATGTGTTTATCGCTGCTTTATTAAAGCAGTGGGAGATGGTACATAAATCGCGCCAAATGCAGATTATCTTTAATAAACGGCTTGTAATATAAATAAAACGCTGAAATTCATGCAGAAAATTTGAATTTAGCAGATGCTTTTGGCTGCTCAACATAGTCATAACAGTGTTCATCACGCGGCAAATTTAATTTAGGGCTGCATACAAAATGCCTATCGATGTTAAAGACGATGACTGACAGCAGCTGTTTGGCACATAAATGCATTTCGCGAATCACCCTGTTGATTTGCAAATATTATCGATAACAGCCGCACGTGTTGGCTTTGTTTTTATTTTAGTCAACTCGCTTTAAATATAAATTTTTTTAAGCATGTCCGAGTTTGAATTAGAAGATAGCGGCTCAGAATTCGATTCGGATGACAATTCCGATGCAGAGGTACTTGAAATGAAATGCTTTAGCAATTTAGTGAATAATTTAAATCGAATAATGCTCTTTGCAGCTGCAAGCGGCTTTCGAGCGTGGCGATCTAAAACCGGGTCTCAATGTGGAATTTAATGGACAGCGGAACAAAATCAATGACATTGTAAGTGAATCAAAATACACTTTCTCTTTTAACTTAGCTACTATAACATACCACACTTTGCAGACCAAACTGTTGGCCAAAACACAAGCGATACGCTTGGATCTGCCGTGGGTAGAACGCCTCGATATGATCAACAATCTGGCGCCTTTGGCCCCCGAGCTCGCCGTGCAGCTGGAGAAGCACGAACAGAAGCGTGCCAATCAGTTTAAGGGCAATGCCAAGATACCGTATGTACGGCCCGAGGAGGATCCGGTGCTGAATGATTTTAAGCGCGAGATGATGTTCCATCGTCAGGCACAGAGCGCCGTGCTCGAAGGCATCCAGCGACTGCATGCGCTGGGCCTCAAGACACGACGACCCGACGATTACTTTGCCGAAATGGCCAAGACGGACGAACATATGCAAAAGGTGCGTTCCAATCTGATGGCCAAGCAGCAGGGCCAACAGAAATCGGAGCGCATCAAACAGATCCGGGAACAGCGTAAAATGGGCAAAATGCTAGCCAAGCAGACGAAAGTGCAACGCGAGGCGGAAAAGAAGGAGATGCTCGATAAGTTGAAAAAGTTCCGCAAGGGTAAACTGAAGAACTTGGATTTCCTTGAGGATGCCAAGGCGCTGGAATCGAAGCAGAAACAAACGGCAGCCAACCGCAAGTTGCGCAACAAAAAGTTCGGTTTTGGTGGCAAGAAGAAGGGCCTCAAGCGCAACACAAAATCCTCGGCAGCCGGTCTCGACTCGGAGAAGTCCACTCGCCGGCAACGGGGCGTCAAAGCGGGCGCCTCGGTCAACAAGCGATTGGGCAAATCCCGGCGCATGAAAGCAAAAGGCAAAAAGTGAATTGTGAAAATCACTTTTGTGCATATGATTAAATAGATTTAAATTTATAATTACTAAATACATTTTGTATATGTTCATTAAAACAATTTTCCTAACGAAACGCGCATAAGAAGATCTCTCTCTCTCTCTCTTATAAGCTATATACATATTCTCAATCTATAAATCTAATGGGCTCATACTACATGTGGCCAACATCCGAAAAAAATGATATTTAACTCAAAGTTTGCTAAGTCAACTTTATGTATTTCAACTTATTACAGTTTGTATGTTCACTCAAAGAAAGTTGCTCTTCTTGTGGCCAGTCCCAATTCTATTCAGAAAATAAATTTGTGGCTAGGGTCTGCATTTCTAAATTTCAGATTACATTTTTCTAAAATTTAGAAATATATATGTCCAATTTGTATGGCGTTGTTTTTATGTGTATACATTGAAGAATTTTGTTATATTAGCTTTTTATTACTTATATTTATCCACAAACATTTGTATGTTAAGATTTCACATATACAAACATTTTGGAATAGTGGTTAAATTCATATAAATTAATTTGAGAAGAGTTTTGCTAAAAATTAAGGTTTGTATTTCTACATTTCAGAATGGTTTTTCTGAGAAAATATATATTTCTAAGAAATAGAAAAAATCGCCATATTTTTGGGATTTTGAATTTAGAACAAGCCTTTTGTAAATTTTAAAAATATTTTTCTTAATATTTGGAAATTGATTCTAAAAAATAGAAAAAAATTGCTATTTTAAGTCGATTTTTATTTCCGGCAATTTTTTTCGGTGTACTTCTTATCTCATAATCTAGTCCTGCCTGTGCTTCCTTTTCTTTTTTTTCGTCTTTGGAGGCGCCTCAGTTTCATCGCTGACAATTTCTTTTTCTTGCGTCTTGGGTTTTTTGCTCTTTTTTGGCAACTCCGATTCGGACTCAATTTCCACCTTTTCAAGGACAACATCGGGTTCCACTTTACTAGATTCCTGCTTACGTTTCTTCTTTTTGCTCTTGTGGGGTTCGTCGGTCACTTCTGTTGTTTCTTGTCTGTTGTTGGCTAGTAGCTTTGCTAGCATCTCCCGCTCCTGTTGCTCGATGCGAGCCAGTTTTCCACTCAATTTAAGGCCGTGACGTGCTCCCTTGTGGGCAGTGCGTCCACCGCAGGCCTTGAACAACTCCTCATCCGTCAGCACATTAACATGGCTGACAGCGATGTCGTCGCCCTTTATGCGTTCGGTGTTGGCCACTTCATCCCCACTTTGGGTAAGCAGCGCCGATTTCAGAAAGTGTTCGTAGACGACACCATTTTCCGCATTCCTCTGATGATCTTTGGCCTTGTTTAGTTTGCGCGTCGAATAGCCCTTGGTGGATATCTCAACAGCATCCTCGCCAGCCTTCCGCCCCGTGCTCACCGCACCGTTCTCCTCCAGTTGAACGTCAACGTTTGAGGCCGCCTCGTTGAAACATCGCTCCCACCAATGATCATTAAATTCCTTGGCACGATCAACGCCCAGGCCGGCATTATCGAATTTTAAGCTGGCTTTCAACGGCACCGCAATGCCAGTATTGCTTTTGCCCAAGCCATCGCCTTCTTTCCAACCGTATTTACCCAAAATCTTCTTAGCAAAATCCATTAAAACAAATGTGATTTGATTTGTTTTTTATCGTCGTTTTTTAGTTATCGCTCGCATTATTTACATTTATCGATACATGCAGCATGTGCGCATTGCGCAACGACAATAACAGGGTTGCAGTTTGAGCGCCAACAATGAAATATTTAAATATTTGCTTGGCAAGCACAAATTATTCAATTCCCATTTGCTGAAAATCAGTAAAATCAAACTACAATTTTGATTCTTTAACACATTCATTTTTCCTTTATTTCACAATCATTCAAATACCTTTATTTCGTTTTGCTGTTGCTCTAGCCAATGCAAGAATCCCCACTTTATTCGACTATGTGACAATGATTAAAGTGGCAATAAAAATTTGTTAATACAAAAACAAAAAAGAACACTAATTGAAACTTAAGGAAATGTTATCAGTACGCGCCACATCAATTCAAAAGATGAACAGAAAGAAAAACCATAGAGGCAAACACACCGCGCTCTCCCCACAAAGAAAGTTGCACGTGCCTCCTTGCCGCCTCGACTCAGATGTTGTGCGTCAAGGCAAGTTGTGGCGTGGAGAGAGAGAGAGAGCTGAAGAACACGCTTAACTTTCTCATATGGGAGGTTTTGTGGGTGGGTGGTATAGGGGTTAACTACTGCTATGTGCATCTCTAAAGCTTGCAATATGTGAATTAAAATTTAATTTTAATTTTTAAAATATCTCGTTTAAATCGCGTCTGCCTTCGTCTTTCCGGCTGGCTGCCAACTTGTGTTTTTCGATTGTTTTCCAATATTTCCTTGCCGTTTGCTGTTTAAAACTAAAGATTGTGTTTTTCTTCTACTGAGCATTGATTTTGGTTTGCTGGTTTTCGTTTTATCTTTGTTTTAAGTCGATGGCCACGAATGTTTTTGAAAAACAAAATTACATATATTATGTTTTGTTGGTTGTTTTTGTTGTTGTTATTTTATAATTAGATAGTACACAGGATGAACTTGTTGTTGTTTGTTGGCTATCAATCAATCAATCAATCATTATTGTTATCATTAATAATCGAATAAACGAACATCGATGTTGTTTGTCCGTTTGTTTGTTTGTTGCTGGTTGTTTCTTCTTCTTCGCTATATACTTTGATTTCTCGTTGATGGCAAGGAAGCCAAAAGCGAGAAAACGGAGGAGGAGCGTCGTCCTGGTGTGGGCGGCGCTTTAGAAGGCGAACAGCAGCAGGAAGGCCATCATAAGACAGAACAGACCCATAGCTTCGGAAAGGGCGAAACCCAGAATGGCATAGGAGAACAGCTGCTGTTTCAACGATGGGTTCCTGGCATAGCCAATGATCAGAGAACCGAATACTGTTCCGATACCAGCACCTGTTGTATTGGTTTTATCAGTCAGTAAATCAATCAGTGGAGATGAAAAGAGAAAATAATAGGTTAATAAAATAAGAACATAGGAGAAATGAAAATAGATACAAAATACACAATGGCCGATTGCCATTGGAGCAGCAGAAACGGCTCATTAAAATTAATTGAGCCGTCTGCTTGTGCCTGCTTTCAACTACATCATCATATCCCATTCCTTCTTGAAGCCAGTCAGTCACAGATTAGTCTGAATTGAGTTCTGCGCACCACCTCCGAGGAGGGATTTGCAGCAAGCACATCGCACTAAAATTGCTGGTCACGAAAGATTTCAATGCAACGCGCGTCGTCGTCATCGTCGTTGGCAACAACAACAATAACAATAACAGCAGCGAGGCAGGATTTCTGGTACTTTCGCCCTGCGATCACACAGGTTTCCTGCTGGGAAATGAAACTCCGCGACAAACGATCACCTTTAACAGCAAATCGCTTGTTGTGCACACAAACAAGGGAGCTTTGACCAATTCTCAGACCTTCCCGGGGCTTTTATAGAGTAATCAGATACTCGTTGTGTGTGCCCCAGATGCTAGATTGTAACTGACTGAGGAAGGCGATGATAATGATAATGATGGAGATGTGGTTGGCTAGGAATACAATTTAAATATATGAATTGTTTAAGTTACACAAAAATTAAATTACATATTAATATGCACCAATTACTAAGTTAACATTTACAAAAATTATCTCAAGTTTAGGAACTTTGCCGTGAAGGATAACAATTCTTAATGTATGCAGATTGTCAACATAATTTCAACATATATGAATTGTTATAAGCTACAAAATTTGAATTACATGAATATTGACTAATTAATAAGTTTCTCAAAATTGGGATCACAATTCTTAATTTATGCGAAATTTTACTTTGGAAACTTTTAAAACCAATACGAACCGGAACCAGCGACACCGACTGTTGCAGCACCAGCACCAATGAATTTGGCAGCCGAATCAATGTCACGCGTGACTGGTGAGGTCTGGAATGACCTGATCTGTGGCAGTAATGCAACTGGGGTTGTGTTCTGAGCGGCCAAAGTTTGGCTCTGGCTGATGACGGCGCTGCTCAATGGTCGCAAGTATTGCTTCGAGTTGGCAAGGAGCTAAAAGAGATAGACAGATCGAGAGAAAATAGATAAATTATATAATGTGTGCACATAGAGAAAAGAGAGATAAAAAAGTTGTTGTTCTTTTCACGCTTGGCACTTGCATTCATTCATCTCGCCTCCTCCCCCACAACAAATTTCCCATAAGTTATGCAATAAGTTGAGCAATTTGGATTTTAGCCATTTGGCAGCATTTGCACATTTGTTGTTGTTGTTCTTCTTGTTGTCAATTGCAGAAAGGCGGTAAAAAGCAGCACGATTTTTTATGCTAAACTATTAATATGATTAAAAATCCGTTTTTAATCGCTGAATTGCTTGGAAAGCTTTCGCCGGTTCTAACCTCAAACGAGCAGCAATAATATTACTGATGGTTATGTTATACAACAATCGCATAGACGATAACATTTCAAAATTTGCTTTGTATGAATTTTAAAAATTAGTCGCATTAAATTAAAATTGTTATAATTTTCTCTAAATGTTTTCAAAAACTGAATTTAAACAAGATCAGAGAATTAGTTGCAGCTATGAAACCGAGCATAACCTCAATGCTCGTATTCCAATTATGTAACTGTATGTGTTTTCCATTGGAATTCACCACACACACAGGCATACACACACACTTTCTATACTTGCTAACGAAAATCGATGCGGCTATAAGAATTATGTAATTTTAATGGCAACAGTAAAACAAAAACAGAAAAAACAACAATCATTTTATCTCACTTGATTAAATATATATTATAATTTTACTTACCGCGCTCCTGGCAACGGGGGCAATGCGAGAGACTGTCGACACGAACATTTTTAGTTGATTTTTTTAATAATTGGCGTTTCGCACAAAACTTGAAGCAAGCGCACGTAGCTCTGCAAAAAGATATATAAATTTCTTGTAAATATATGTTTATATTTATATTTAAACCATAAAAACTGTGTTTGAGTTGAATGCCGCCTGCAATTATCTGCTGCTGGTTACGTAACAATGGAAAAAAAACTTATCCATGCGAATTTCCACAATTATATATTGAAAGAGACACACTTAATTGCAATAATATTCTAATTACTTTTCCACTTAATTCGCTTTGAGCTCAAAAAGAGATTTTCTTTTTTAGTTTCTTGTGACGCAACAATAGAGTAAAGCACACGCACACTGACACAAACTGACAGTTCTCTTCATACGGGCCCGTGTGACATCTTGTGTGTGTGTGTGTGTCTGTGTGCATGTGCCGCAAGATGGCGACACATTGAACACGTTGGAGAAAATAATATTTTCACTAATATTCCACATTGCTCACACACTCTTTTTCACAGTTGATTGTCATTTTCAATTTTTTCATTTTGAAAAATTATTTTCAATATTTTCTGCATTTTTATTCGATTATTCAACCAGCAGCAGCAGGGCGTTGTGGGGGTGCTCCACATTTTATATATTAGCGCAAAATCACCGTTGAACTCACTTCGAACAAACCCTTAACAACAGTGGAACCGTATTAAACGCGAATTTTTACATTACCCTACGGTCGCCATGCAATTCTTGGCCGTGGTGAATTGGAAAGACAGCGGGAAGGCCTGCGCGCGCATGACCATTTATCGATAACAATAAATAATAGTGGTGCTACCACTGAAAAAGTTACATATTTAAGCAAAACTTAATCTATACTTTTTATGCCTTTAATACTCAGTTATTTAAAAAATAATTCGGCAAGTTTGCGAAATGCTTCTCATGGATTTATGTTCTATTTGATCAAAAACCAAAGTCAACTACGTTGCAGGAATACCCCTAATGCCTTATTGTTTTTTTTTTAAATACTTGACAAAGTCGGAATTGGTTGATTTCTATGTATTTCTTAAATTTACATAAATATTTGCATTAAAAGTGTATAGATTATTATTTGCGATAAGAATGTTGGCCACTAAATGCATACCTGATCCGTGGTGAATTGGAAATGGGCTTAGAAATCAATGCCGGTTACAGTTATCAGCCCTGGAGTTGCACTTCTTTTTTAATAAAGGAATTAGCAAATAACATCGGCAAAATGTTTCTTGCAACTAAAATGACCGTTCCAATTCTTTGATGTACCGTACAAATAGAGTTCTTGCTGACCAAGAAAATTGCATATCGATTGTGCAAAATTTGGCGCGAGAATTCAAAATAAAAATCGGAATAATTTATACCTTTACTTCTGTTATCAATAGCTGATACATATTTTCAAGTTTAGCAGCATATAAAGGAGGAAAAAATGTAACAAAATTTGAGTATCTGCTTTAAACAATACCACTCCTAAATTTTCAATCGATTATACATCGAATACGTTTCCAGCCCTGGTCCGCATACAGCCACGCGTCGTGGTGTCGTCACATCGTCTGGATTATGCTATAATTTGAGCAACTCAAAACCCAGAACAATTGAAACAGGATGCTGTAAGTAAAGGAAGAGATGCTTATAGCAATCAGCCATAAGGCATTTCTATATGCAGGCATTCATAATTCTGTTTTGTGTATCATTGCAGCCCTCAATTGCATAACAGCATTTTTGCATAAGTGTGTCTGTGTGTGTGAGTGTGTATGTGTGCGTGTGACCAGGGAGGAAACACACAAGTACATACTAATCGGACGGAACGTTTCACACGTACAACTGGGCTGGCTCGTTATTACTACAACTACTAATAATAATTCAATTCAATATACGCCGCATATTGAATATTGACTGGAGTAAATTGGATTATTTTGACATTTGCTTGCAACGCCGACGCCGCTTTAATTTGATTTTGTGGCCCCACGAACTATCGAATACATCGATTGGAAAGTATAGGCGATAGTAGTTACCCCATCACCAAACAGTATTCACTTGGAACAACACATTAATTAGTGTGCACACTGTTCAATAACAGTTGAGCAGGCTGTTAGGCGCTTGGATGCCACAAACATAACATTAAACAAACAGTGACACTTACATAACGCGCAGTCACAGTCGTACGTCGAGTGGTGATATGGCCGTGTTTCTGATCAACATCTGCAAATTCAATGGCTGTTTCAAAACTTTTCCCAGTCTAAGCGACTTAATATCACACATCGAGGGCACACACATAGGTAAGCGCAAGCAAGCAGTGCAACAAAGTGCTCCAAATAACAAACATTAATTAGTCGCGTGACATTCGGGGCGGCATCGTTCGCCATTCGTCGGCATACTGTGTTTTGTTTATTTAATTTATTTATATGTACATCGTATACATTGTATATGTATGCGTGCAGCGGGCATATACTGAATTAATACAGTAGGTGTGTGAGTGATATATGATTGTGAATGCTAAGTTAATGTGATATTGTGTTATTGTGAATGCACGCCAGTTGCTTGCTGCTGCGATGTTGTTTTGACTCGCAGTGCATGCATACAAAAAAGAAAACTAATATTTTGCATTCATCCAGCCCTGAAATCAACTTTAGCTTATTTTGTGTACATTTGTGATATGCAGCTATTTATATATATATATATATTTAAGTATGCCATGGAAAATCAATATGGCCAGGCCTTAAATACGCACGCACGTTTTAATGCGTACACCGCGTCGCCTTCAATTGAAACAGCAGCAGCAGCGCATTCACAATAGGCGACAAGCCAAGCTGAATTACCTGTGCTCGCACACACATGCACGCAAGCGTCCATTCGTGGCATGTACAGCATTCATTCTACACAATTACACATACATAAATACCCACACATACATACACATGTATGTTTGTTCGCTTTAGATTGGCCAACTGCATGTGTGCGAGCGAGAACGCAAGTGCGTGGCAAGCAAAAACAAAAAGAAAAACAAGCAAAAAGCCGGTGATCCATTAAACAACAACAGCAGCAGCACAAGTGCCTGTGTGTGTGTAAGCCGCCAGCGTAGCAGCAGCATCTGCTGTACCACAGCTACAGCCGGCAAGGGCAAATGAGCGCCTTTTTTTGTAAGGTTTTTTAATTTGAGCGTCATTTAATACAGGTGTATCTTACTTCTACCCTTACGTATGATGAGGAGAACTCCCTCCTCCACCCTACTATGTTGTGTTGCTTGTGCGTAATCAATTAATGTCAGTTCTGGCGACAAATACACGTGTCCGATTACCGATTATCGGTTACAGTGGACGCCATCAAATTAGAATTGTCACTTGTCTCTCTTAATATCTGCTGTATTAAAAATTTGAATTTATAATATTTAAAATTGAGAACACATTTTAATATTCAAATTTATGGTTAAGAGAACTATATTTTTTTTTTTAATTTGTTCTCATTTTGAGGAATTTGTGTGGCAAATTTAAATATTTTTCTAAACTCAGAAATATTTATTTATTCATATTAGCGATGGACCACTGTACGGCATGCATTTCACTGGGTGCCCCATTAATCAAGTTATATGAACGAAAGCCGGCTGAGAACAACCACAAAAGAAGAGGTGAATGTTGGGAGAACTGGAAGCGTAACAAGAAAACAGTTCCAGCTAGAAACAAACATGGTTAGCCTAAACAAAAAAAAGAAATTTCTAATTTTAGCAGCGCTGCCTGCGTCCAGGTACTTGAATGAGCAGTCTATGTGTGTGTGTGCGGGGGTGGAAAATCAATAAAATTAAGCTCAGTGTTGCCACTTGGCACAGTGGCGATGGGTTCTCGGCTGTGGGTTGAGTGCGTTACGTTACATTATGTTAAGTTACAGGGGTGTTATTTATGAGGCGGTTGGTGGTTGTAAGTCAGTCGGGGCTGCTTGCGCTTTATTTATCTTTGCACACAACTTGTGCATATATGTATATATATATATAATATTATGTGCATGTGTAAGGGTTGGCACAAGCTCAGCTGACTATTACGGCAAAAAGTAAGCAGCTGTTGTTGGACTGCTGCTGTTTTGATAACGGTCAACAGTAAATAGCGTCGTTAGGGGGTGGTCTGAGTGACTGACAGGCGTATTACATAAAGTTGCCATTGCTAATGGCTTCCACGCTCACGCATGTTTTTGCCCCATGGCAACAAATAGACACGCACACATGTACTCTTCTATCTCACTTAATACATGCGTGTGTATACGTGCATTTGTGAGATACTATCTCGAAGGATTTTTTTCGGAGTGCTTACGGCATAATGTTTGTACAGTAGTCGGTCGCTATTTGTAATTTTCAGTTTAAATATTAGATTTGAGTTTGTTGAATATATTTTTACCTGTAACAAATAACTTACATTTAATAAAAAAAAAGTATAGTATATTTTCCAAATCGACTTAATTATCGAGTGTCTACCGTATCATTATCCATGCTTGCTTACAGCAATTAAATTGTTGGAAGTCAAGTGCTAATATATTCGAGATACCACTGTTAATATTCATTTCATATATGCATATCCATGAATACACATACATACATACATATCAGTGTTTGTTTTATGTATGTATGTACGTCTGTCTGTAATTGCTGATGGCTTGTGGCCCAGTTGGCCGTTTGTCTCGGTTATCGTATCCAGCATCTCGTTATGCGTTCTGTTTGCTGAACAGCAGGAGTTGGGCGTTTATTGTGTTTATTCTTCTTTTTCACAATTTCCTTTTTTCGCTATGGCAACGCTGTGACGGAGACCTTCAAGTTTGTCCTTTGCACAGTTACCAGGCACCTGTTGTGCAAACATTCACATATGCATATACAGACAGACACACGCGCCATGTAATTTTATCGATAACACATGTGCACCCTGTGAAATGCAATATGTTTTTGCAATATGATTATTTTAACATATAGCAAGAGACGGTGGCGCGACATGTGCGCTATTTATGTAATTTGATAAATAAATAAAAGAAATGTAAATTTTTTATGCCGGCCGCAGTCAATGACATTTTGGCCCTTTTTATCAAAATGATGTGGAAAATTTTCGAATCGCCCAAAAACAAATGCACGCAGAAAGCAGCGGCAAATAAATAACATCTGTGTGATTTCACACACACATATGCACTTACAAATGGATGTGTGTATTTGTGTATAAATATTATCTGTTAAAAATTCTGCAACAAGTGAATGACTCAGATGACAACGCAAAAGCAATAAGAATAACAGGAATAACAACAATGTCTCGTCGTCGTATTCGTTTATGTTTACTTTGTTTTTAAAAATGTGAATGCATAGCTGCGATACACATACATTTAAATAAATATATATATACTTGTGTGTATACAGCTAGATCAAATTTGTTTAGATACAAATACTCTTTAGTCAGTGTTCGACAATTTTTGATAAACAACAAGCAAAACAACTGAATAGTTGGCAATTGAGTGAACAGCTAGACGACGACGTCGATGAATGCATGCCTGAGGTTATCATCTATGGCAAATTGCGAACAAAATTGTTGTAAACTGATTTGACCGCCGTACACACAAATTACGCCGTTTGAATTGTGTTTTGTGGGTGGAATAATAGTAGGTCGATTTAATGCAAAAATCAAGTGTATTACCAATAAAATCTTAAGTAATTTACCCATTTCTATTGGAAGTCCATGAGAATTAGTCACCAACAGGCAGTTATTTTTTTAGTAATAACTGCTGATAACAACGCACACCCTGTGATTTACACATAATACACACACACACTCATACATACATGCATATGGAGACATATGTTTTCATATACAGTTTCTAATTTATCGCATATGTTTCGTATTATTGGCATTATTGTTTTGTTATCGCGCTGCATTGAGCGCGCGAGAAAGAGACAGAGAGAGGTTGAGTTGGGAGTGTGGGTGGCTGGAAACTTCGATTACTTGTTGCGCACAAATCGATTGCATTTTGAAATCATGTGCAGGGTGTATCAAGTGCAATTAGTGTTGGGGGACTTTCAATTTGCAGTTCGCAACTTACGGTTGGGTTACCCACGCAGTTAACCAATAATCATTACTGGTCGATTAGGCAAAAGACTTAAGCTTATGCTTGCCGTCGGTTGTCGCTATGCCACCCGATAAGATAGTCACTCAATCAGTCACACGCTGCGTAGTCCGTCTGTGTGCAGAGGAGCCCCCATCCCTGCAAACACACTCACCCCAATATACATAAGTACATATACATAATCACAAGGCCCCCATATTAAAAAGAATGCGTCAGCCAACCGCATTTTAAACGCTGTAGGCCAGTTGTACACAATTTTACATGCGCTCACATTTATTTATTTATATTATTTTAAATTTTCAATAACAGAGAAACACGAATGGCGATAAAGTGTCTGGTGTGCTTACATTTAAATAAATATATACATATATATCGATATAGGGATGAATGCGTAACGTGCTAATCGCTGCAAAGAAAGTCACGATAAAATTCAATTAAGAAAAATAAACTTAAAATATTCTCATATTTTTAAGAAAATATGAAATAATAATCTAAAAATTGCTCTAGCAAAATAAAATAATTCGGGCTTGTCGGTTAAAAACAGGGTACAATTTAACTAAGCAAAATAAGTTTAAAATATTCCCATACTCATAAAAGAATAAGCATTGAAATAATTATCTTTAAATTGTTCAAGTAAAACTCGGAACATTTCATGACGGGCAGAGAAAGCGCCCGTTTTTACTTACAGAGTGATTGAACTTGATTCCAATGCATAATTAAAGAAAAAAAAAAAAACATTTATAATTTATGAGCGAGTTGAAATGCTTTTCGGGATGCAGGTTATTTGTGTGTGGCCCGCTTTGAATTTCAATTTAGAATTTGTATATATGTATGTGTATTTATAATTTTTCCCTGCCTCTCTCTCTCTCTCTCTCTTTCCCTGTCTGCATGTGTAGACTATGATCCTAAGGTGGTTGAGCAAAAGGAGCTGGCACAGCCGGCATCTCTGCCGCTGAGTTATGTGCTGCGCTTCATCTCCGACGATGCGCGTAAGGAGGCTCCCACTTTTCTGTCCAACACCACCAACACCAGCACCAACAACAACAACAGCAGCAGCAATGCCAACAACAACAATAGCAGCAACAGCAACAATTCCAACAACACCGGCAACGGCGGCAACAATGCGGGCGGCAATGCAGAACTCAAACGCAAGCTGGCCATTAAGCATCATAGCTATAGCATGTCATCATCAAATCGCAGCAATACGCCCACAGGTAAGATTGATGGCATTCACCCTTTATTTGTTGTAATAGGTGAGAGCTTTGTATAAAAAAAGATATCAGCTGCCAGCCAGCGAACCGTTGAAACCCCTTTTAGTAATTCTTGAGAATTCCATATAATTATATTAAAAGGCGCTTTGGTTTATAAAATTTCGAGTTACAGATGATTTGAGCCTATATTCTTAATCAGATGGATGAGCGATGTTAGTACAGTTCCTCAAGTATAAGAGAAAAATATTTTGAAATAGTATAATCTAATTTACACTAATTTCGATAAAATCTTTAAATGTTGATTACGAATACCTATTAAGTCATTAGCTACTGAAAAATATATTTAAGTATAATTCTCTTTATACTTTCTCAGTCAAGCTGAGAAAACTTGGCTTAAAAGTTTGTTATTAATTTGATTTATATGTATTTTGCAGGCAGCGAAATGGACGAGGATGAAATGGTTGTCACCGAATCGGAGGACAGCAATGATTCTTGGACCACCGAGGAGTTTAGCTCGGAGTTTATAATGCGTTATGGCAGCAGGTACGTTTCTTATTTCCATAAACACTTCTAAATCCATAAACACATATATATAATACACTCCTTTTATTTTTGTGGCAGGCATTCCGGTGGCGGCAGCAATGGTACGCCCGGCAATGAGAAACCGTTTGCGTGTCCCGTGCCCGGCTGCAAGAAGCGCTACAAGAACGTGAATGGCATTAAATACCATTCGAAGAACGGCCACAAAAAGGATGGCAGGTGAGCATGCCAAAAAACCGTAAAATGCTGCAAAAAGCAATTAATATATTTATATTATATTATTTCACAGAGTGCGCAAGGGCTACAAGTGCCACTGTGGCAAGAGCTATAAAACGGCGCAGGGTCTCAAAAATCATGCGCTCATCACCCACAACACACAGCCGGAGAGTGTTTTGACCACACAGCAGTTGGCCCATTTGGCGGCAGCAGCGGCGGCGGCAGCAACTGCTGCTGATTCTTCTGCTGTGGCCAGATGCAAACCGGACAGCAACAGCAGCGGCGGTAACAATGCTGCCAGCAATAGCAACAGCAACCACAATAACAACAACAGCAGCAGCAACAATAACAACAATGCAATACAGCGCAGTCAATCGCCATCGCAGTCGCTTGGCTCGCTGAGCCCCTCCAGCAGCAACATGTCGAGCAGCACCAGCACCAGTTGTCACGGCAGCAACAGTTTGTCCAGCAATAATGCTGCTGCCACTGGCGGCAACATGTTGCAGCAGCTCAGCAATGGCAATATTGTGACGGTAACGAATTTGCCACAGCAGCCGCAGCAGCAACAAGCGCTGCCCCAGCAGCAGCAGCAACAGTCTCAAAGCGCAACCGCAACAACAACAGGTAACAGCAACAACAGTTTAATGCGCAGCACACTCGGTTTAGTATCCATTAAAGCCAACAACAACCACCATCACCACCAACAAATTCTAAAAGTTTGCAAGGGGTAGGTGCAAAAACAAAAACATTCTACCCTTTTTGGTAAAAGGGTGTAAATTGAAACAAGTTTTTGTTCTCGCACTGCTTAGTTTTTATTTACTCAAAAAACACCTTTTAGTTTATTGTATAACTTTTAAGCCACACTTCACTCACCAAAAACCGAATTGGGAAAACACATTTTGTAGACTGCTTTTTTAATTTTTAATTTTATCTTTATATAGGCAAAACAGATTGATTGATATATATGTTGTGTCTTTATATGTATTATGGATGCACGAATCGTGCCGATTGTGTAATATGATTTTTTAGTTTGCGTTTAACGGCTGATCTCCTCTTAATTTAATTAGACTTAACTTAGACGAAACGACAACAACAACAACAAACCAGAATTGTAATAAAATGCCAATAATTTGATTTTAATTTTCATATCTAACGAAACTTTTATTGTCAGAGGCAGACTATATCTATATATATATATGTATATTAATATATATCTATTTTATTACATATATAGTAGAATGTAATTTTTAGAGAAAAACGGCAATACACACACAAAAGTATTATATATGTTTTAAGCTTTAGCAAATTGAATTATATAAGCATATACGCATCTAGCGTTAGCCACAAACCTCTCTCATTATATATATTAATTTAAGTTAACACACACACACACACGAAACCCACGAATAAGAAACATTTCAATACTTTCCACTTGAGTGCAAAATATTTTTTTATTTCTATATTTCTAATCTCGCAAATTCGTTTCTGTTATTAATATTTTTTTTTTTGTTTTTGGTTTGTTTTAACTTTTTTTGATTTTTATTTTATGATTTCGTTACTTCTTTTCCTTTTCTCTCTACCTATTGCAGAAACCTCTTACTCCTGCTCACTCAACAACAACAGCAACAGCAGCGACAGCAGCAGCAGCAAGCTCTTGCAACAGCCGCTAAATACAATAACAGGCCCACAGCAGCAACACCAACTGCAGCTGCAACAGCAACAAAAACGCCAGGAGCAACAACAACTCCCATGCAAATCTCGTACACCTTCATTGAGCACAAGTATTCCGCACTCGGTTTCAAAGAGAAATTCTTTTCAAATCTGCGCGCATCCCGCAATGCAACAGCCTCCACAGCCAATGGCGATAATCTGGCTGCAGCAGCGTCAGATGCTGCGTCGATGGGGAGCACAACTGGTGGCAGTGGCAGCAGCAGTAGCGGCAGCAACAGCAGCAGCAATGCCAACGCCAACAACATGCTCAGCGCTGTTGCTGCTGTGGGCCAAATGTGCGCTCTACAAAACGAGCACATTCATCAAAATCTCTACAAGAAAACAATCAACTAACGGCCAGAGTTGGAGAGAGAGTGAGAGATTGGGATCAGGCTGTGATGCAGTAGATTTATGTCTGAAGCGCGCTTTCAACTAAGGCGGCGGAGCAAGAGGATTCATCAATAAGGCAGAGCAAGGGAGAGCAAGTTCTCAAGATTCAAGCAGTTAAATCATTTAAAACAAGCACTTAAAACACAAAAACAACAAGAGCAGTAAAACTAATCAACATGTATAATCCAATATTTTCGCACCATTTCACAAGCTATAATTTCTCACAATTTACCTAACATTATATTCAATTGGCAGCACACATAAAAAAAAAAAACTAATCTGAAAAACCTCTCTCTAAGCACTGCATTAGAAAATGATAACCAAAAAGAAAAAAAAAAAACAAAAAAAAAACATGAAAAAACCCATCATTAAAAATAACCGTAAAATTTAGTAAATAAATTTTGAAGGTGTTTCTTCAACCTAGTCATTATCGTAGTTAAATTAAATATTTTGATTTAAATGCACTTAGACATTTACGACCAACTATTACGGCAAATTGGCAACAACATCAGTTTGCTACGACTGTAGTTGGTAAATGTATAATTTTCATAACAAATTCATCAAATTGGCAACAAAAAAGAAAGAAAAAAAAAAACAAAAACAAAAATATCTACTTGTGCTCTTCAATTAGCAAAATTTTTCGGTAGGCACAAGTTTAAATTTGCCAAAAAAAAAAGAAGAAAAATCGAATATGCAAGCAAAAATTAGCTAGCTACAAATTAACAAAAAAAAGTGAAGAAATTAAAACTGAAGGAATAGAAAAAAAGAAAAGAAGAAAAGCTTTGAAGCTTCAAACTGTTCCCGTTTTGAACCCAAAATAACTCTATGGTAGTTATAGTATTATATGACATAAAATATATAAATATATATATATATTAATATATAGTTATATATGTGTACATTTAAATTATATACTTGCAAATCATTAAAATTATGTTCTATTTATGTATGTGCGTGTCTGTGTGTGTGTGTCTGTTCGATTATGAAGTTGATGTGTAATGTCTTAATTCAAATTTTGATCGTCCTTAAATGTAATAAATTTAACATTTATACATAGCCTGTATGTTCTATTTCTATGATGTGAGTCATATTCAAAGTATTTTATGCATGCATACAAAATTAAAATTAATAATAATTAGAAATTATTTAAAAACAAATATAAAATATGGATGCGTTAATTCGCCCCAAACAATAAACACACAAAAAAAACACTGTAATTGGGTTCCTTATGTACGAATAATGCATAAAATTGAATGAAGAGAAGAAAAAGTAATAATGAAATGAAACTAAAATGAAACAGAACAAATTAATTGAAATTTTAATATACATACAATATACAAACATTAATATTAACTTACATATATAAATATATATATATATATATTATATATAATCATAATAATATATATAGTTATTAGTGTATCTAAAAGCCGCCAACCGCCAAACAAATTTTGAAGCGCATTTGCAGACGCCCAGCGTCTAAAATTAGACTACAATACTAAAATAAATGTGCGCCCCCTAAACTTATATGAATTATATTTAAGACCACACGCTTACGCGGCTTTAACTAGCCGACATAGTTTAGCTATCAACTTTTATATCAACAAACAATAACAATAATTAATGAAGTGAAAACCCTTTTTTCGGCACTCCAACCGAACATAATTTATCCCTGCAGATCCATTAAAATAAAGCAAACAACTGTCCGATCGTTCCCTAACATATGGTTTAGCCATCTTGCTCAATAGTTGAACTTAAGGTCCCTTTAATAATTTATATATTTCTATCTGCAGGGATGAAATGAAAACTTTTGCGCTCCAAAATGAAAGTGGAAATAGGCAAACCGAAACTTTTGGAAACCAACTCAAAACCCTCTAATGGAAACAATAAATTAAATATACCTATTTCTATATTTAAATGTATTTCATCTTATATAAGACTGCTGTTATGTTCGTAAATATATTTAATATATATTATAATTAACGAAAAATATTAACATACATACACATAATAATAAAAAATATATGAAGGAAAAAAAATTGAAACAAACAAAAAAATACAAACTAAATGAATAGTTAAATGTATTCATACTCTACTTATATACATACGACTATGTACTATACTATATATACGTATATATATATATTATGTACTGTAATTTACTACAATTCGTAATTATGTATATGTAGAGAATTAATTGAAGCGTATGTGTATGTAACCATCAAAATCAACTTATATTGTAACAAGGGCTAATGTTGTAGAGACTTGAATATAACGGGTTTAATATCAAGTAATCTAACCTACATCGTATACCGACATCATCATTATCATTATCATCCAAAAACAAAGTAGTAAAATATTCTCTTTTTGCTTTATGTGATCTATTATACATATACATAAAAAAAAACAAAAATACATAACTACATACATTAACATATATATCTATATATATATGTACAATAAAAAATGTCCTTGAAAAAAAATTGTTTTATTGTGATTACTGCTGTTCAAATATCGGCTTCCTTTTCCAATTAGAGATAGCTCCTTAGTATGCTGGTTGTTTCTTGTATATCCCTTATAAATATGATATATTTTCAATATATTTAAAATAATTTAAGTTTATTTGGTTACAAATTACAAGCGATTTAATATATAATACATATTTTCAATATAATATTTATATAATAACGCGACTCTGGGTCAAAACACATTATTAAAGTATCAAATAATTAGGCCTTTATTATGTTTGGGAATGTTGGACATCCTTAGCGTCTTGCTTTAAGCATCGCTATGGAATTAGACGTCTTCTCGATCAGTGCCTGATCCTGGAGTAGTTGAATTTTTGTCGCCAGTTCATCCAAGCTGTGCAAGTCCCGTTGCTCGTAGGCGCAATCGACTGCCTCATCGTACAAGCTGCAAGATCCAGTCGGGCAGGGTTTAATAGTTATTTATTTTGATTATTAAATATTGATAAATATTATTGGATTTACCTAGCTCGCATATACCAATGCACCTTGCGTTTGTCCGGACAGCGTGCAATATATTTGCGGGCCTCGTCCTTGTTGTCCTGCTGGAGGCAGACCTCCACGAAGGGTTCATAGCCAATGGGACTCTTTTTACCCTTCGAAAACTTCTCGAGCTCCAACCAGTTGAGCCTCTCCGCCATGATGAGTATGCGCATCCACCAGTACCGGCGATCGGGCACCTTGTAATCGCTCTTCATTCTCTCTACCTCCTTCAGATCGCCCCTGCGCAACAGCTCCATCATAGTGTCGTGCACTGACAGCCCGTTCAAGGAAACTTCATCGCTACGCTTGGCAGTCAATGTCCGCTGGAGCTTAAGCAGTCGCAAAGTATCGGTACAAAGTTCTGCCTCAACAGTGCATCTGCCCTTGGCGTAGCTGCTGCCAATGAGTGATAAATTGGATTCCACACCCTCGCTATCGATGGCATTATAGAAGTGATACTCGGCAATGGACTTGTGATCGTCCTCGGTGTTGTAAATTTCGTAAAGCGCGGACCGACTTGATTCCATCATAATCTTCTTGTACATATTTAGGGCCAACGGGAATTCTCGTATAATCATCTAAAAATAATACAATAGAAGTAAGTTGTGCACTTCTTGGAATTAACATTTGTAAGAAACTTACGTAAAAATTGGTGAGCATCATTTTTTTCTTAATGTCCAGGAGCACCGATGTGACCAGCTCCGTATCGCCCGACTGTGTAGCACTTGCCACAGCCCGATCATATTTACCCATCTTGAGGAGCAGTGGCACGTGCAGCGAAGCACGCGGCTCCAGCTCCAACAGTTTAATGGCCAGCGCATCGCGTCCGGCTTGGTGAGCTTTCTCCGCAATATTGCAGAATGAAATGCCCTCAACCGAGGGATTTTTGAATTTCTCCGTAATCCTCCGCGTTACTTCACCATCGCCTGAGAATAACAACAATAATTAATGAGCAGCCATAAAATTAAGACACAATCGTACTCAGATCACTCATGACTTTGTCATAGGCCCAATTTTCCAGTATACCAGAGACGGGTAATTTAAGATGCTTGGCCATTTCTATGGCTACGGCATAATTCTTGCGGAAAACCAAGCGATTTATGATGAGCTTCGGATTCAGATGCATAAATCTGCAAAAGTGTACAGTGTAATGAGCAGATCTAAAATATGTTGTTGGTTATAAATATTATTTACTGTTTATAGGTAAGCTGCATGGCAATTCTCTTGTTGCGCAACGTATTTAAAACTCTCAGTATCCTCAGGATGCGCAAGTACTCGTCAGGATTATGTTCCAGTATGAATCCCTTGCCAAAGTAAGCCGTCTGCAAAGGCAAATTGAAAATAGTTAAATATTTAATTATCGAGTTCAGATTTAAACCTACCCTCATCAGTTTCTTTTGTGTGACGGGGCAAAATTCATAGGACGCTGCCTCGATGCACTCATTTACGGCCAATTCAATGTTTGTGCGGCACATGCTCAAGTATTCATCGGCCTTGTACGATTGCTCCACGAACTTCTTTTGGGCCTCAAAGAGATAGCTGGCGGGCTCTTGACTATTAACAGCAAAGATGTTCTCCACACATTTTGGCAGACGTTGAATCATCTCGTGAGAGCTCTGGGTGATTATGCGCACACCATCCATTTCCCCGACGAGAAACATGACGGAATCCTCATACGAGAATTCACTACGATCCGCATTGCGATTGACGATCAATAGATATGACGGATACGAAATGACAACAGCATCTGCATCCGCATTGTGCGTATTCATAATCCATTCAATTTGCAACGGCAAATCCTTGCGACCCGTATCAAATTCACAATACTTCTTACGCATATCAACGCTTCCCAGCCAGAGTAATCCCGTATTCGTATACAGAGCCAAGTGCTGATGGTTGTACGAGACAGATATCTTGATGATCCGATCGTGTGGCTTCTCAAACAGATTGGCGGTCACGGTGCCGACTGTCTGACCATGGAGGAGCTTAATAACCTCCCGTTCGCGTCCCAGCAGACAGTAGCTATTGCGACCCTCGGTCACAATCTCCCAGCAGGAGCAGTTGGCATTGGAATCTAAAATGAGTAACATGTTAATTAAGTTCGGATTACAATTTATTGCTACTCCTTCCTCACTTGGTATATCGGGCAGCTTTCGCTCGGTTTTATTGCTGTTTTGCTTGAGGAAGATGCGTCCGGATGTTGTCATTACGGCCACGCCAGTGCCTGCAGCGGATTGAAATACCTTGGCCTCCACAATCTTAATAACGCTCGCCTCGCCACCAATGCTATACGATTCCTTCTCCTTGCCAAATATGTCGTAGACAAACACTTTGGCATTCTCTAGCACACAAATCAGATCCTCCGTATCAGACCAGCCCATGGAAATAAGTTTGCCATGATTCCACTGCAAAAAGAGGAAATATTTATTGTTATTAAATATATATAAATTAAGAAAATAAATATAACTTAGATTAAGTTAGATAAGTAGTTAATTTGAATTTTTAATTTTCACTTAAATTCCAGTTAATTTGATCTGCTTACCAAAATGTGTCCCGTCTCATTGCCGGAGGTGTCGAAAATCCTGATCATCGGCCTGGAAGTGCCTCGGACAGGCACCAGTTTTGTTGTGTCGCGTATTACAGCCAAGGGACCCCCATAGGGTGAAGCCACTACTTGCATGTACTCCAAGTCCAAATCGTTTGGCCAATCGGGTGTTTCAAGCTCCACTTTTCTGTAGGGCGTATTTGGCGAAAAATTCACAAAATTGCGGTTGCACAAAAAAGATATTTTCAATAAGTTGACAATTGTAATTTCATTGGCGATGGATAACTCATACCTGTAGTAGTCTGGGCGCACCTTGAACCACTCTCCCGTATTAAACATAATTGGCATTTTTAAATCAATTTATTTCGACAACCAGTTGCAACCAACAAACATAAACAACCCTTGTGCGATGCAATTTGCCTTTTCTTATTGTTATTGCGGGTGGAGAGTAACCATTTGTAAGTAACTGTTGTTTGTCACGAGTCACTTAAAGTACTGAGTCACTGTATTATGACTAGACATCACATAGTGTTCTCAACAGAAAACGTATTATAAATTTAATTACAATTGCGTAAGAATATTTTAGTATACAATTAATAAATTAGCATATATTCGTGTTTGCAACTTTGGTGCGATTTCATCATACAATTTCAGCGCCGAGTACGTTTATTCTTTTTAAAAAGCATTCTTTGAATCAAAATAACTAGTATGTTGCACTATAGCACTTTATTACTTTTAATTTAAATGATTACTTTACTTGTAATTAATTAATAGAAAATTATTTGATTTTGCTGTTAGATTATGTGTCTTACAGCTGGCCGTACAACCAAACGTGTCGTGTGTGAGCCCCTCCCAAAATATAATTACCGCTGCTTATTGTACATGTGAAAGGCGAATTTCAAGAGTCAGTATTATTCACACGTGTTGCAATACGTTCAAAGCTACTTTGCAGTTTAGTAATTTATTAACAAATGGCGGACACTCAACAAACGATTGTGGAGGGCGTCGATGCACTCACTCTAAATGGCAAACTAGAAACAGAGGCAACTGCAACTGCTGCTGCTGCCAGCGAGGAAACAGCTACAACAACAGCAAATGTGGAAGATGTTGTCGATCCATGGAATGTGGCCAGTTCCAACGATGCAGGCATCGACTACGATAAGCTAATAAGTATGCAATGCGATTTCCATTCAAAGTATGCAAATTTCTAATTGTTGAAACGTTGCAGAACGCTTTGGCTCGACCAAAATCGATGAGGAACTTATCGCACGATTTGTGAAAATCACGGGCAAGCCAGCTCATCACCTTATCAGGCGAGGCATATTCTTTTCGCATCGCGATCTGCACACAATTCTCACGCTATGCGAACAGGGCAAACCGTTCTATTTATATACGGGTCGTGGTCCCAGTTCGGAATCCTTGCATATTGGCCACTTGGTGCCGTTTATGATCGCCAAATGGTTGCAGGAGACTTTCGATGTGCCCTTGATAATTCAGCTCACTGATGATGAGAAGTCCTTGTGGAAGGATCTGAAAATCGAAGAGGCCATTAAATTGGCGCGCGAGAATGCCAAGGATATTATCGCCGTGGGCTTTGACGTGGACAAGACTTTTATTTTCAATAATCTGGAATTTATGGGGTAAGTTTGTAAATGTAAAAATGTTAACTTATTGTAAAATTAATGTTTTGAACTTGCAGCAAATGTCCTGCCATGTATCAGAATATTATAAGGATTCAGAAGTGCGTCACCTTCAATCAAGTCAAGGGAATTTTCGGCTTTGGTGATTCTGATATTATTGGCAAGATTGGATTTCCAGCAGCGCAGGCAGCGCCGGCTTTGTCGAGCACATTTCCATTCATCTTTGGCAATCGGAAGCTGCACTGTCTGATTCCGTGCGCCATTGATCAAGATCCATATTTCCGCATGACACGCGATGTGGCGCCTCGCTTGGGCTTCCCCAAGTGTGCGCTCCTGCACTCCACCTTCTTTCCGGCCTTGCAGGGAGCCAAATCGAAAATGTCGGCTAGTGAAACGAATTCCGCTGTGTTCCTAACCGATACACCCAAACAGATCAAGAATAAAATCAATAAATATGCATTTTCTGGTGGACGCACTACAGTGGAGGAGCATCGTCAACTAGGTGGCATTCCAGACATCGATGTCGCCTATCAGCTGCTGAAGTTCTTCTTGGAGGACGACGACAAACTGGAGGAGGTGCGCTTGGCCTACAGCAAAGGCGAAATGCTAACTGGCGAGATCAAAAAGTTAGCCATTGAGGTAGGCTGCCTAAGTAATGTCGTGTGTTCAATTTATTAACTAGTCTCCCTTTCCGCAGACTGTCACGCCCATTGTGGTGGCGCATCAGGCAGCACGTAAACTGATTACAGAAGAGGTGCTCGACAAATACTTTGAGATCAGAGCTCTAAAGTTCAGCAGCTAGACGTAAATAAGGATTCAACTATTTACGTAAAATAAGTAAATGTATTTATGTATGTTTGCCACAGCTGAAAGCTTGTTGCACTGCGCTCGCTATTTATTTACTTAGCAAAACTAAATATTTTGTGTTATTATTTTTATAAGCACATACATACACAATCACAAACACACGCAAAGCAAACAAAAAACAATAAACAATATACGAAACAGATTTTGACCCACTTTTTGCTTTAGTTGTTAAAATGCTGTAAAACTCTCTTAGTTCAATTTTGGGAGCGACGCCGTTTGATTTAAAAGTCGCTAAATGGCAACTGGGAATGCATTTATTGCCAGTTGAGTGCAAAATAAGTTAAGCACCTGGAAACGCAGCTAAAACAATAAGTTTCGTTTTCTTTTTTAATTTTATAATTTCCGCGTAATCTGAGATCTACAGTACGCATTCAATTTCTGTGCCGATATTCCATAAATAAGACGAAAAATTACTTCTACAGAAAGTTGTATGATATTTCTCATTCTCACACTGACAACAACAAGCATGACAAAAATATAATATATACGAATATTATTTTCTATTATTTAAATAATAGTTTATTTAAGCAGTAAAAAATGTCTTATTTTCACTTCGATTGTACAACAATTTAACTCGATCTGAAAACATGAAACTTTTTCTGGTGTTTGTAGAAAATGTTGTTGTTTTGTTGGTTGTTAAGAAATTGATACCAATCGCTTTTTAACTTAATCTATGTGAATTTTAATGTTTTCCTTTTTTTGAGTGTGAGTTGTTGATTAGTTATGACGTCGACTGGGCTAAGCTGCAGTTAATGTGGTTTTATGTGTATTTTCTGTATGTATATCAATCATATGCCAAACTCTTTGCTATGAATATGTGTTGACGTACATATATATATATATATAAGGTATATATATATATATACCTATAAGCATTTTTTTTTTAATTAAGCCAAAACACTTGTGTTTACACGCTTTGGAAATATATACACACTGAGTATGTACTGAGTTCGTAGTCGCACATACGAAGAATGCTGCTGCAAAGAAAAACTCAAACTGAAGTTGTGGCGACAACGATCCAAGTCACAACGCGATCCCATAACCCAAACGCGACTCCAGCATTGCACACGCGCTCCTCATCATCATCTTCAATTCAATACAATACCAAAGAAATTAAGCCGCATCAACCTTGTTGTTGTTGTGGTTGTTGTTGCTGCTGCTGCTTTTGTTGTCGTTGTTGTTGTTGCTGTGCGCAGGTATATAAAAGGAAAAGCCGACAGATCGAAAGATCCTCGACTTGTTGACACACGTACAAAGGGCACTTTGTCAACTCAGAAGTCTCTCAAAGCATTGATCAACTAGATGACGCCAACTAGCAGATCAGGACTTGCTCCAAATGATGAATAGATATATCTCAAGATCGCCATCATTCATCAGCTAAGGGAAAATAGTTTGCACTTCTAATGCAACTGCAGCAGTGATCAGGTAAACGATATAAATACACTCGCAGAAATCATTCAATTTGAAGAAGAAAGATTTTATATAGAAAAAATATTCAGCATAATAATTACAAAAATAAAGTAAAAATCGTTTAGAAAATAGTTCGATAATTAAAACTTATATTTTTGAGTGGGACTAAGAGAAGTTTAACTTGACTTTATATCAGGATTAATTAAAAAACGAAATATTATATTGCAAGTAATCTTGAAAAAAGTATAATAATAATTAATATTTTTGTTATAGCCTTCTTAACCTTGGAAAACACCCACACCATTTGCTCCTGACTTGAGTGCAAAGTTCTCAGTTTCTTTTCAAGTGTAGCGCGGTCAGAAAACGAAAGTGTTCTTATTCAAAGCTGTGCTGGTGTCAGCAACACTTTCTCGGATCTCGCGGATCATTGGCCGGCGACAGGTCGTCGCTAACGGACGTCAAATCGTAAATCGGCTTTGGCGATGAGTGATCAACTGTTGAGCTCCAACTCGGACGATCCACCTGTACTGATACCCACTACAGTCTCACTCTCCAGTACTTACACCGATGCAGAGTCCGCGGAGCAACCCGTACTGCTTGAGCTAGGCGCCGCGCAGCCGACGACGAGTCTTAGCTACACTCTGCCACCAGATGTTGGAGGATTACTCACATACAGTTCTCCACACGCACACAACCTTAGCTACGCGCAAAGTTTATTGTCCAGCTATGAGAAACATTCTCAGCAGCATCCTCACCATAATCTCAGCGTGATCGGCAGTTCGGGCTACAGCATAAGCATACCACAGACCGTGTCCATGTGGCATGAAGGAAGAGGTGCACTTATCGAACCGAAACGACCTGATCTCGTCTCGGTGCCACCGCCCACATATATGAGTTACAGTGGAGGCAATGCTATCGAACTGGACATTGCCAAGGAACAGAATCCCGCCTGGCGCGAAAAGGCCATCCAGATGGAGAAGGACTATAGACGCACAGCCTGTGATCGGGAACGCACCCGGATGCGGGATATGAACAAGGCCTTCGATCTCTTGCGCTCCAAGCTGCCCATTTCCAAACCCAATGGCAAGAAGTACTCCAAAATCGAAAGTTTGCGGTGAGTTAACAAATTTAATTATTTACTTAATATTCTGAACAAAATTATGATAAAACAATTGCTAATTGGTGATTTTGGTTAAAATATATTGAAACATAAATGGTTTCTGATACACTATGCAAATGTACGTCCAAATGTTCACATATGATATTAAAAGTTTCTCCTGAATACAGGGATCAATATCTAAATTTTGAATGATAACCAAGAGTCGAGAATTGAATCAGTTTAATTGTTACACATTTTATAGCAAAAGTTATATATATAAAAAAATGTATACCTATTGATTATTGCAGCATCGCGATAAACTATATTAACCATCTGCAGGCCATGTTGCGGGATAATCATACTCTGCCCGAAACGGAACTGGTCTCCTTCAGGTGCAGCAGTCGTTCCGTGCACTACGATGGCCAAGGACAGATTCACAATCACTCCGGCAGCTACGACTATGAGAATAGTGCTTCGGCGGCGACAGCCTCACAAAATGGCTGCAATTGGAGCGGTGGCAGTAGCTGTTCACCGGGCTATGAAGCCAACTCCAAAGATCACTGGAATACGTAGTTGTCACAGCTGAGAACAGTCAAAGATGGAGTAAATCGAAGAGAATCTAAATTGTTTTGAATGTTTCGAATATCAAAATTGTGGTTAGTGTAAAAATACCCAAAAATATTTAAATATTAATTAAAAAGGAATAACTTTCAAGGTTTATAAAGCCCGATGAAAAAGGCGTGAATTCAATATCAGAATTATAAACATTATTTGTACAGCTTCCAAGTGCAATTTTATATTAAGTTTACAAAACTTTGTATTTTAAAGACGTAAATTAAAATAAACAAAATAATAGTAATGCCAATGCTATGACTTAATTCATAAATATTTATTTAAATATTTAGTTACAATCAATATGCTATTAAGTTAGTCTCCTCAAACACTTGTTAAGATTGATTTCTGGCTATTTAGAATTATGGATCGAGTGGAGTTGACAAATAACAACCAAATCTTTATATATACATATATATATATATATGAATCATATCACTCATATTACAAACCCTTTGCCCAGTAAATTTAATCGGTTCTCGTGACTTTTTAGGTTATATTTATTTGTTAACATTTTACAGTTGATAATTTACATAGTTTGAATAAAGAAATGACTGTTTTCGTTTTTTTTTGTTTTGATACTATGTTAACCTAAAAAGAACAACAAACAGAAGATGTAACAAATTATTATAGTCGATAATGGAATTACTGAACTGCATTTAAAAATAATAAGTTTTTAATACTTATTTATATATATGTAGCTTATGGGTTGGTGTTCATAAGGCCAACTATACACTGTTCTCACACACGCATACACACAATTTTTCCGCTAATTGAATTGAATTAGAACAATACAAGATTGGTTTTCTTTCTTGTTTTGAGTTGACTCTTCGCAACATAAATGGGGCGAAATAACAAAAGGAGAAAGGATTCTATAGCCTAAGCGCTTAGTTGTCCTTCTTCATTCTAGTCGAGGTCATGCGGTAAATGATGGAGTCCCTGCCGGGATCCATGGAACCAATGGCGTAGCAAATGGCCAACAGCGACAGGGCGAAGATGACCATAAACCACAAGATAATGTTGAAAATGACAGGATAATTATCATCGTAGTACAAGGCCAGATTAAATTTGTTTGCAGGGTCGATGGGGATAGTATCACGCTTGCTGCGTGCATTTGCCACATCCTTTTCTGTGGTCTGCACAAACAGCACCGAATCGCTGGACTTCTGAGCGGCAGCCAACAGGCGAGCAATGGCAGCAGAGACGAGCTTGTTGGCCTCATCGACAGCAATCGATTTCTCGCCATGCGCCTTGGCAATGCCATCGACAGACAGACGAATGATCAGCACATTCGAGGGCTTCATCATCTCAGCGAGGTTCTCGGCGGCGGCATTAATGTAGCCAATTTCCTGCAGGAACTGCTTATCGGCATTGTGCAACGCGGGATTCAGATGTTTGGTGGGCTTGGCCGGCGGTGCCTCAAAGTCACCAAAGCAAGACTTGAACGATTGCACCTGAAAATGTGATGTTAGATAATGACTTGGCTATGCGAATCGGCAGCAGTCACTTACGCCCTCATCATACTGATCGAAATTGATGTCGCAAACCGGCTCATTGGCTGCCTCCAGCTCTGCAGCTAGTGCGTTGAGGGCATGGCCAGTATAGGGGCCAACCAGTTCGTAGGATTTCACATTGCCAGCGCTGGTGACATGGTTAACACCCTCCACGTGCACGGCAATGATGCCCTGGGCCAAATGGAATGGTTCATTGATGATCATGCCACTCCAGTCAGAGTCGCCAATGACGGCGTTGCCCATGGCAGCATAGAGAACATCGCCAACATAACGGCTGTTCAATGGATCGTTGCCCTTGAAGCTAATCGCCTTGGGGGTGTTCAGTACGGTGAACTCGCCAGTGGCGTGAACTGTAAAATAAAATGATATAACAATTAAAACAGTTAACATTTATTTAGAAATATTTTCTTTAACACACTAAAAGACACAGATTCTGCGCGAGGAGGAGCACCAAAGTTCCCCAGCCCCTTTCACATGACAGCAGAATCAATGCAAGTCAGAGATAAAAATATTTACACAATTCACGCACATCTCTCAATGCTCAGCACATTTGGATAGTTTTAGTTGATAGTTTTACTTACTTGCTGCAATAAATAGCGAGAAAATGACGACGTTTTGCAACATTTTCATTTTTCTGCCAGCCTTTTAATCATATGACGAACAACTGCACAGAGAAAAACCTACTACGCTCCTACTGTCATGTGATGGTTATTCGAAGTACATGCTATCGAAAATAGTCCATCTCTAATGGCCAGTGTTGCTTAGTAGGTGTTAAAAAGGTCTATATCAAAATGTGACGTCACAAATTTCGCACGCATTTGTTATTGTTATCTCTTATTGGTACACACTTGAATTGTTTTTATATTTGATAATTTAATTAAATATTTTGAATTTTATTAATTGTTATTGTGTATATTTTAAACAATCTTAGTAATCTTAAAGTATTTTTGGTATTTTAGGTTTGTTTTCAAATTGATTTTTTAGTATTTTGAGGCTTGCCGCTGACGGTCGCAAGTTTTTGTGTTTGTTTTTGCAAAAGCAACAAAAAAGTGTGTAAAAAACACAGATTTTGTTTAATATTTTCAAATGCTTTGGTCCTTAGAGCAGGTTGAGGGCATGCTGGGTGTCCTCAAAACCTCCACGGACAAAAATGTTATATATAAATGCCTCGTCAAGCTGCGCACCGATGTGGTTAAAGATAAAGATGGTATTGTGTTGTTTCGAACTGCGGGGGGCGTTCCGGAAATGGTTCGCCTGATTACTAAACTCAACGAAAAGATCATGGAAGTCGTTTTGAGCATATTGGGCAATTGCTGTACGGATGATTTGGCTTGCATCGAGGTGAGTTGCGATAAAAAAAAATTTTAGTTCTATGTGAAAATTATAGTTAATTAAAAAAATGATAATTAAAATAAATTAATAGTATAATATATTATTATTATTTTTCATGGATATTGTTTATTTTTTATAATTTTTGTAGACTGCATAGAAGTCTTAAACAATTTATTAAAACATATAAATTGTTGTTTGGAGTTTGAAATATTATTATATTTTATTGTATTTTGAAGCTAAATTTATATGTAGCTGTATTTTCACATTTGCTTAGATATATTATTGGCATCCATGTCTATGGATATCCCTCTATGATCTGTAGAATAGATCTGCAGAAGCAATAGTATACATAATTTCAAAGATTCATGAAGCTAACTTTAAAAATAAAAGATCTTTTATCAATTACATATAAATATAACGCACAGAAGAACATATGGATATACCTATCGGATCGGCTAGTGATTCTAATTAAGAATATATGTATATATGTTACCTTCAATATGTTACAAACTTTATTGAAAAATGTTAATAAAAGGATTAGAATTTAAATTGATATAAGTTTCAATTTAATTTTAAAATTTGTATTGAGAATTTTTTTAATTTTGTTTCGTGCATATTTAAATAATTAAAGATATATTTAATAATTTGTTTTTGATATCATTAACAGGCTGTGGAGTGTAAGGTGATTGGACCGTTGGTGACCATATTGAAAACCATTCCCAACTCGTTGATTCAGTGTCGCGCCTGCCGCATGCTCGGCAATCTGGCGAAGAGCAAGAAGGTGTCCACCTATCTGACGGCCCACTATGGAGCGATAGCGCCTGCCATTTGCCACATCATCGAGTCGACGAGTGCGGTGCAGACAAGGATAATGGCATTTAGGGTCTGTCGCTTTCTGCTCGTGAGCAGTCAGTTCTACAAACATTTTCTGGCCTCCAATGGATTTCTGCAGCTGATGCGGATATTTTCAGCCGTGATGAAGAACAACGAGGCGCCCAAGGAGTCGCCGCAGGACATCGAAGTGTCCGCCTTAATTGGCCTGAAGCGTAATCAGCATCGTGAAAAGTATTTCGAGGAGGTGGCTCGCAATTTGGAAGGTGTCCGCAGCGACATCTTCGATTACCAGATGCTAAAGAACTCCACCCGCAACTGTGAATACATCCTGCCCAAGGAGAACGATGCCATCGAGCTGGCCTACGAGATCCTGAAGTGCCTGATGCTCCTCTCTGCCCAGCAGATTGGCATGAGAGTTTGGGAGGTGTGTTTGAAATTATAGCTACAATAATAATAATTCCAATTTACTAATTGCAATTCATTTAGGTGCTGTCCCGGAACACATCCCTTGCGCCCATCGTGTATTTCGTGAAGGAGGACAGCGAGCAGCGCTCATCGGCACTTAAGATACTTTCCAACTTCGGCAAGGATCCGTGCGCCTTTTACATGCTCAGCACGGCGGATTCGATTGTGGCTGCCTGTGAGCTGCTCATGGCCGTGAATATGGCGAAGCCGCTATCGGAGAGCGAGTGCCGACATTGTGTGAACATTATATCCACCTTATCGACCGATGCCTGCAGCCGTTCCAAAATTCGACGCTGTGGCGCATTACGCAAACTGGTGGCCATGATCCGAGAGTCGCATTCTCGCAGCGAGCGTTCATCGGTGAGCAATGTGGCAGTGCACGTTGGATGCATCTCTTTAAGTGGTATCCTTTTCTCTTTATCCAGCTATTTTACATTCTGAACAACTTTCAATATGACAACCTGAGCATGGAGCTGCTGCTGCATGAGGGTCTGGTGCCCATGTTGGTGCGCGAACTAAACGATTATCTGACCGGCGATGAGGAGTATCACAAGCGACGGCACGAGGAACGCATGCAGGGTTTCAAGAAACGCAAACTGACCGATCCCACAACGCCAGAGACGTTGAGCAAGGTATCCTAATGTTTCACTCGGAAGGATTTGATTTTATAAAACTCTTCTGTTCAGCTGGAAGAATGTATATTTATATGGTTTTCGTATTTGCAGTTCTCAAAGACGCAGGAGGCGCTCGCCACGGACTTTGACTCGCCGAGCAGCTCGCCCCGATCATATCGTACCACAAGTCCGTGCAGCTCGCGCAGCATGTCGCCAGTCTGCTCGAAACTCTTTGACAATGATGAGGATGAGGACTATTCGCCGGCCTGCAGTGATGACGATGACGATGAGGATGATGGCAAGACTCAAGTCAATTCTAATAATGACACACGAGAATCTCGCATTGCTGCGAATCGGGCTCAACCCACCAATGTGATGGACATCTTGAATCTGATGGACGAGGGCAGCGAGCCCATTGACGACACCTTATCGGACAAGGAGGATCTGGAGGAGCTGAGCTCGGATGTGCCGCCAAAGCTGGCCCAGTTGCGCAATCAACAGTCTGGCGACACCATCGATGTCATTGAGAATCTCATTTATCGCATTACCCTGATGATCAACAAGCGACCCGAGTTGGGCAAGCCGGAAACGCTTGACACTCTCATCCGGGCCATTAATCTCTTCGGTGCCAACAACAACTTTGCCAATGCTCTGACCAATATATTGCTGTAAGTTAATTGTTTTTAGTCCGTTTCCGAAGCCTGTCTAATTTTAATTGCTCTTTTTTTTGTACAGTGAAAGTCAGTTCTTTGCCCAGATCATCAAGCATGGCGTTGTCCATCAGCTCTATCAGCTGACCAAGGTGGAAGAGGTGTGTATAATGGAAATAGTGGATATAGATGCCTAAGATTTGAATAATATATTTATGACTTTTAAGGCATTTAACGTTTACCAATATTAAATGAATTTTTATTTCTTTGTTTTGCAGATGCGCAAGGATGGCTTCGCATTCCTGGAGACGCTCACCAATGTGGGCGAGTCCAACTATGGCAAGGAGGAGCTGGTCCGTCTGCTGCGCTGCGATGCCGATTTGAGTGCACAACAACGGGCTGCCATATCCGTGGCATATATCATCAAAAGCCATCGGCTGCTCTATCAGTTTCTGTATGATGGCAATGCGCTCACGTTGTTGTTCGACCTGTTGCTGCGCAAGAAGAGCGACAATCTGTATGCGGATGAGGCAGCCGATGCAGTTACGGCCATGTCCCGTTTCACGCTGGGCATCATTCTGCCCGAGCCGGAGCCAGTGGACGTCAATGCCATCATGTGTGCGACTCAGTGGAATGCAACGGCTGCACCGCTGCACGAGAATTGTGATATGCGATTCCTGGTGCAAGGCGAGGAGGATGCAGCAGCACCAGCGGCAGCGGCAGCAGCAGCAGAGGCAGCAGCTGAGGCAGCAGCTGAGGCAGCAGCTGAGGCAGCAGCCGTAAAAGCAACTGAGAGCCAGGAAGCCACGTTCAGTATTGGCTTCAACAAGCAGCTACTCTGTGATACCAGCGAGGTGTTCAACAAGATGCTCAACAGTGACTTTCGCGAGGGCCACGACGGCGAGATTCAGCTGCGCAACTATACGGCCAGTGGTCTGCGCTATTTCCTCCACCTGATTAGCTGCCAGTCGCGTCACTTGGCCATGCCCGAGTATGGGGCACTGCTGGAGGCGTTCGAGATGTCGCGCGTCTACATAATACCCGAGTTGGAGGTGCTGCTCCATGAACGACTCATCCAGTTCCTCGATTCGCACAACTGCCTGCGTCTCTTAGAGTGGGCGCTGAAGAACTACCATGCCGAGCTCACGGAAACTGCCATCAGCTATTATTTGTGCGCTGCGATGCCCGCACAGGATAAGCTGCATCTGTTCCGCGCCGCCGAGGACTCCACATATGCCAGCGAATGGTTCCAGCTGCTCAATGATGCCGTTTACGAGCGTTGTCGCAGCACCGGCTATTAGTGCCCGGCTGCTGCCCCTTCTTCAGCCTTTACCTGCCAACTGTACTATATATATATATATATAAACGTGTGATTATTTGTGTGTTTGTTCTCTGTTCCAACTGTACTATATACATACATATACATAAGTGATTGTTTGTGTGTTTGTTGTGCGTGCCAAATAGCCAAACAGTGTATTTAATGTCCCAGCCAAGAACTATATTTCTATGTACAACAGCTAATAAAACAAATAGACTACAATAGTAACATCTACCGACTGCGCCATACTCTGTTCGCTGCATAAAATGGCAGCTGGTGGGAAAATGATATCGAAATAAAATTGAGAAATCATGAAGAAAGTCGCACGTAACTTTGGCAACTTAGCGGCTATCCAAATGTCCTTTGGCATATTGGTAGTCCTTGATCTGTCAAATCTGAATATATATTCAATAGGTCGAATGTCCTTTAAGCAACTGACAACTCAACTGTATCCTTGAAAGTCATGTGTCTTTCGTGCTGCATTTATTTGTTTGAAAAGTTCAACGCCTTCGACTCGGCCTAAAAGTATGCTTTAAAAATGCGATTTTATGCAACTTTTGCATACTTTGGTTTTCATGGTTCAGCCTAAAAATATGATACAAAATAATGAATTCTCTTAAGCAGTGCTTTGCCACTGATTAACGTAAACACAGATTTACCCCAATACATATATATATATATACATATATTTCTTTCCATTTTTAAAAAATATGTTCTTTTCCAATTTGCATCAACCAAAGTATTCTGAATCCTTAAGGGATCCTCTATGTCTTTATTGCCACCAACCTTCATTACTATTTCCATTCCTATTTGAATGAATTGCTCTTGCTGGACTCATAGTTGGGCATTGCACAGAACTGCACCGTGAGCCAATCCGTTAGAGGAGCAGGAGTTATCTTAAAGAGCCAACGATAGATTCTATAGCGCCAAGTTTCGTGTATATAGAGAGAATGAGGCTGCTTGTTCGTTAGAGCATCCTTGAACTTGTCGAGCAGGTCATCATCTCGCAGCTGATTGGGCTGCTTGAAGCCCGTTAGAATGCTCAGATACTCATTGAACCTGTGGAAGTAGTTGCCATAATGAGCCAGCTGTTCCTCGTTGAATCCATCCAGCATTTGCTGAGCATGCTGCTGCTGGCGTGCAGCAATATTGCTATCCAACACAAACGAGCCGGGCACAAAGTTGACCACCTCGACGCCGTATTGTCGCATCTCAATGCGCAGCGCATCATTCCAGGTGCGGATGGCTGCCTTGGAGGCAGCATAGGGCGCCAAAGCGGGCAGAGCCTGAAAGCCACAATGACTGGTCACATTGATGATGCGTCCGCAATGTTGCCGGATCAGCGGCAACAGTTGTCGGGTTAATCTCATCGTGCCCAAGAGATTGCAATTGATCTGCTGCTCAATCTGTGACGGAAGTTGCCATTCAAATTCCCCAAAGCACATGACACCAGCATTGTTGACCAACGCCATCAGCTCGTAGTCCGTGTTGTGCAACAGCTCGTCCAGCTGTAGTTGGACCTTCTCTATGGAAGCGGGGTGCAGCAGATCCAGTTGCCAGGTGTGCAATCGTTGCTGTTGCTTCGTCTCCGTCTCAGCGCTCATTTGCTGCAACAGTCGTGCGCCCTGCGACTGCAGATTGTGGCAGCAACAGATGACGGTCATCTCAAGTGACTTGTAGCAGTAAACGGCCAGCGAGTGGCTACATAATAAATATATAAATATTGTTAAATATTTATAAATATTGTTGAGCTGGTCAGAGGATATCTCACGGTCAGCCACTCTCAATTAGAATATTCTCTTTTTGTAATCATTTTAAGTTCTTAGTTGTGTCGACTTACCCCAAACCCGAATCACAGCCCGTGACCAGGACAACTTGACGCTGGCCAACGTTCAGCTGACGTCTGCCCAATCCCAGGGTGCGCTTCAAGGCGCCCAGCAGTTGAGCACAGCTACCCATATCGTTGCTGGTTCTCGATCAACTGACACACGCAGTCTCACATAAAAAGAAATCAAATCAAAAAACACACAAAGAAAAGAAGGAAATACATGCATAAAGAACCCGAAATATGCACTGTGTATATATGCATTATCTGTATACATATATATATATTTATATATATATATTTATGTATGTGCTCACACAAATACATGCACAGCCACAGATCGGTTCGCTTGTGGCTCGCACCTTTTGAGTCTTACCTGCGCGTTGGGCTGGAGCCAAAAAACAAAAGGCAATCGTTTCAACTCAGCCGGCTTTTATATACATATATATATATATATATACATATATCCCATGTGTATTCTGAAAAGTGCAACGCATTTAAATTAAAATATATAAACACCATGATTGGCATACAGCTGGATGATAAGCTGTTCCGCTGATAAATATATATATAAATATATATAAACATATCGCGCAGATCGTGTTTTTACCAGCTCAATTATGCTTTCAACATTCCATGTCAAACAAACTACATAATAAATTAAGTACATGATAATAAAAATTGCTGGCGATTTTTTTATAGTCGTCAGTTGCTGCCAAGGTTCCGGAGAAACTGAAAAAAAAACCAAACTCTTACTTATTATATTTATATATGTATATATATATATATATATTTAAAAAAGATTTTGGCTTTAATTTATGCACAAATACATTTTAAAAATTTGTAATTTTATATTTTGCTTATATCTAGAACTCAATTTCAATTTTTAAGGTTCACCCTAATTTACCTGTCCACTCTTATCACCGGCTGAGCCAGCAAAACTTGTAATTTTATGCGATATTCAATTGTTTCACAGCACACATCCGTTCCAAGGCTGGCCAGCCAGCTTGGATCTACCATTCCGATCAATTTGAATAGGTTTTGAAGATTAAATAGACTTTTTGGTTTTTAGGTTGTTTTGTTGTTTTTTTTGTTTTTTGTTTTCTCTTTTATTTCTCTTACTCAATGTTGGTGTTTGTTACCCCATTTAAAGGTGCATTTTAGTTCTGTTTACAATTTTCTGTGAATTTTACTTAAAAAATGTATGCGCAAATGTTGCGTTTAGCAAAAAAATGGGATTTATTGAGGAAGGGTAGGTGGCGATGGGGAAGGGGGAGGGGTAGGGGGTAGGGGGTAGGTCAGCTATATCAAATATTGTTGCCCGATTTGCTGTTATTGCTGGTATTTATCATATACTTAAATGTTGTTTTCTTTATTGCATAATTACATATTAAATAATTGCTTTGCTTTGCGTTTTGTTTTGTTTTTGTCATTTCTTATAAATCGTATGTGAAAATAGAGCGCATCTTGCCTTTAGTAAAAATATATTTGGGTTTTTCTACTGCGCCTTAAATATTAAGTAGTATAAGTTAGTATTTCAAATTCTCTTTCTCTCGTTTTATATTTGATTTATCATTTATCATTTATCATTTATCGTTTATCATTTGATTTTCCCTATCTCATTTTATCAAGGCAACTTTTTTTTGTTTTTTGTTTTGTTTAATTTGTATCTCGCATTTTGTTTTACTTTATGTTTAAATGTACAATTTTAAAACCGGCTTAGTTCCTTTCGTTACACGCTCTGTTAATGTTCCATTTGTAATTAGGTTTTGTTTTTTGTTTTTGTTTTTTGTTTGTATTTTATTCAACTTGTTAATAATAAATATCACAACTCATCCTTCATATACAACATTCCATTCACATCCTTCTCATTCTCATCTCTTATTCATTTACATTACTTTCCATCTTTTTTGTTTTGTTTTGTTTTTTCTTTTGTTGCAAAATGTTTAGGCATTTAGTTTATATAAATATTTGCTATGTATATGTTTTCAAAAAACACACGCAAACGAAAATGGTTGATTGATAATTGCACAAAAAATCCAAGTAAATATATAGTATACATATATAAATCGTTGTAGAAATATATGTATATGTATGTATATATATATATAGATGTATTTTATAATATTTAGATAGGGACAATTGACAGCAACTCATAAATTAAGCATAATAAAGATAATAATACAAAAGCAGTTACAGTTACAGTTACAGTTACAGTTTAAACGGAAAAACAATAAAAATAATATATTAAAATAAGTAGATTAACTTTTTTGAACTCGGCTAACGCCATTCAACATTGATGTGGGCGTGGCAGTCAAGTTCGTTTTCGTTTGTTTTCCAATAAGAAACAAAAGGGGAAAACATCCTTTACAAATCTTAATTATAATTATTAATATATATAAATATATATATATGTATATATTTTATATAACTGTAGTTGGCGTCATGCAACCACCACCACGTATCCTACACCACTGGTTATAAGCTGACCAGCTTGGACGGCTCACTTGTGGGCGTTGGCAGCTCCAGCGGATGCTTGTTTTGCGATGAGCACGTGGGCACCAATGGACCCGAGACGGGCGTCAGACCGGTGCCGCCGGCCATCAGTGAATCGAAGTTAAAGTTGCCGGCGGATGGTGTCTGGATGGGCACACCCTCGATCTGCATCGGTGTTTTGCCGATGGCGATGTTGCCCGGCTGCGCCAGGGACTGATTCACGTTGAGTGTATTTGGACGCGTCTTGGGCATTGGCTTGGCGTGGATGCCAAAGGCGGTCGGTGCCATGCCCGACATGGGCGTGTTGAGGGACGCAACGGGACCAGTGGGTGTTGTCAGGGATGCGCTATGCGGCTTCAGTGTGGCAATGTCGGGCAGCGCAAAACGTTTGGCCGCCGGCGGGCCATCCTGATCCAGCGATGAGCTCGAATCGAGTCCAGCATCGTGCGGCTCATGCTTGATATTGACCAACAGCTGATCATCGATGAGGACCGGCTTGAGATCGAGCGGTGAATTGCTGCGACCGGTGGAATTGAGCGATGCATCGAAGCCGGTGATGGTGCCACAGCTGCTGTCATTGCTATTGCTATTGTTATTGTTGTTGCTGTTGTTGTTGTTGCTGTTGTTGCTATTGCTGTTGTGATGATGGCTGCCATTGCTGCCAGAGCTGAGCATCGCTGTGGGCGCAATCAAACCATTGCAGGTGGTCACACTGAGCAGATCATCGCGCACCTTCTGGCATGTGGGACGGTGTGCCTCGAGCACAAAATTCAGCTGATGCCTGGTGTTAGTCAATATTTCAATCTCCTTCTTCAGATCCTCGTTCTTCTTCAGAAGGCCATCGACCTCCTCCGACAGCTCATTGGTCTGATCGACGCGCCGCTTGCGACAGCGTGCCGCTGCCAACTTGTTCCGTTCGCGGCGAACGCGACGCTTCTCCTCCTCCTCGGGCGACATGTTGGCCGACTTGTTCGGTCGCCGACCGCCGCCGCGTCGGGCTGGCGTGGCATTGTTTGAGGTAGATGAAGTGCCGCGTCCAGCACTGCCAACGCCGGCGAGTGATCCTGTAAAATTATTGACACCGGAGCCATTGGATCCATTGTTGCCAAACATATGGCCACCATTCTGATACGAGGTGCTGTCCGTGGCGGCACTTGCTGTATAACAAATTAATAATTAATTAATTATTGAATAGATTTAGATTGGAATTCGACGATTTCACTTACAAGTATCGGTTGTGCTTTGGTCATCGTGCGGCCCACCTACGTTCCAGGAAACGTTCGATTGCTCGGAATCGCTTTCGGGCACACTGCCACAGTTGAAGCCAAGCAAATCCAATTGTGGATTTGTGTTCAGTGTGCTCATCGTGCTCATTGGGCTTGCCAATGTGAGGTTGCCGGCAGCCGCTGCTGTTGTTGTGACTGTGTTGCTGTTGTTATTGTTGTTGTTGCTGCTGTTATTGTTATTATTGTTGTTGTTATTGTTGTTGTTGTTGACGACAGTAACGTTGCACAATGATGTCAGCGGCGGCGGTTTGAAACCGGCCTGAAACGGCACATTCTGCGTCTCCGTTGTCAGCTCAAAGATGGTCTCCTCAATCGTTCGCAGTGTCGTCGGCGTCAGCGTTGGCGTTGTCAGCGTCGGTGCACTCTGTATCCCATCAAACGTAACGAGCTGCAACAAGAGAAAACCAAAATCCAAAATCAGATTAGTAAAACCCATTAAAAGTATTTCGAAATGCTTATTGCACAAGTCTAAATAAATATGTCATCTATTTAATGAAACCCCTTTTCATATTTAAAGATTGCCCATCTAAATTACAAATATTTTATCGAATATATTCAACGATAAATATTTATCTAAAGCGCTGCACTTTTAATCAAACCAAAACTGTTATTTCATAATCCTTAACAACAGATCAGGATTAACAAGAAAAAGATGAAGGGAAAGCAGCAAAGTAATTCGATAAATTCACATCAACTGTCAAAAGGATTTTCGAAAAAATAATAATAATAATATAATAATGATAATAATAATAAAAAAATAAAGTCACATTTCTACACATTTTGAGTAAATCGATAGCTATAAAATAATCTCTTGACTATTTAATTCATTTCGATATGCAAAATGACAAATCGATATCAAATGAATTTAGCTATGAATATAATAATTGTTAAAAGTGATTTATGAATTATTTAAAAGGTGTTTTAAAGTGAACACTTTCGTCGAACGAGCACATTTGCTATTTACGTTCAACAATTGCAGCTATTTCACGCTTCGATAAGTTATCGCTTGTTATCGAATTATCGATGCGTACCTGCTGCATAAAAAGCTCACTAGCCAAAAAATTTGCAATTTCGCTGGCACTATCCAATGCTAATTTATCGCCATTTGTTGTTGTCGCTGTTGTTGCTGTTGGCAGTTGTTGTTGTTGTTGCTGCTGCTGCTGCTGTTGTTGTTGTTGTTGATTATAATTAATATGCGCACAATTGTTGTTGTATTGTTGCTGTTGCTGCTGCTGTTGTTGTTGTTGCTGTTGATGGCTTAAAAAGCTTTGCATTTGGCACATGGCGGCCATTGCTGCTGTCGTCGCGTTGGCGTTGGCGTTGCTGTTGCCGTTACTATGCGCAGTAGCAACAGTTGCTGCGTGCATGTTTACGCGCGCAGTCATAGCAGTCATGTTGGCGGCACTTGTGTTGCTGTTGCTGTTGCTATTGTTGTTATTGTTATATGATTGCTTTGATTGTTGCTGCTGGTAGGCTGACTGCGTGGGCAGCAACTGTTGCTGACGTAACAAATGCTGCTGCTGCTGCTGCTGTTGTTGTTGCTGCAGCTGTTGATTATAGTACTGTTGTTGGTTGTACTGTTGCTGTTGCTGCTGTTGCTGCTGAGTGTATTGTGTTGCGTAGGGCAACTGTAGTTGTTGCTGCAATTGTTGCTGTTGCTGCTGCAGTAGCTGTTGCTGTTGCTGCTGCAGTAGCTGTTGCTGTTGGTGTTGCTGCTGCTGCTGCTGCTGTTGTTGCAGCTGTTGCTGATAGTAGGGATGGTAGCACGCATTATGCGCTCTACCATTGAGATTTTTCATCATATTATGCTTAGAGACTACAGCTTAATAAATATCAAGTATACGAAATACCAAAAAATATATTACGTATACGCACACAGTTCGTTATTTGTTGTTTTGTGTTTTTGTGTTTTTTGACTAGTTTCGTGTATGGGCTTCTTAAGTTAAATAACAATATTTATATATGGCTTATAAGTGGACAACAAATGATTGAAAAGTGTTTACACTTAACTGCGAGATACGCTTAAATTAAATATTTACAGCACAACTTTCGTGGAAAAGATGCGAATCGTAATAATGATCTTGCTGCTGTTAATAATGAGTATAATCTAGTTGTTGTTGTTGTTGTCTTGATTGTTGTTGTTGTTGTTGTGTTGCTCTTTAGCTCTTTGGGGCGCCAAAATAGTTCGTTCGTTTTTGGTATTTTCGCGTTTGCGTTTTTTGCGTTTGCCTTTCGTTGGAATTGTTCGTTGTTCGTTTTGGGCATTCAATTCGTTCAATTCAATTTCGATTGTTGTTGTTGTTGTTGCTGTTGCTTTTGCTCTTGCTCTTGCTGCTCTTTTAGCCACTTTCCGGCGGCTTTAGACGCTCGACGGCGAGCAGCGTTTGCCAATTTCGCAAGGATTCGAAATGTGAGTGCAATGCAAACATAATAATAAATTCAATTCGAAATCTCGTATTTCGCACGTGCTTACTTGATAACTCTTTATGGTAGTAATAATTATATTAATTATAATATTAATAACGTTAACAATTGCAATAATAACAGTTAATAACAATTATAGACACGGCATTTGCCCAAAAACGGTTTTTTTCAAAGCGAGCAAATTGCTCAGATTATATAATTATGTTGTTGTTTTTGCTATATATCTATATACATAAAGATTTATATATATATACACATGTGCACTATATAAGTTGTACATATATATACATGTGTGTGTGTGTGTGTGTTTTGTGTGTGTGTATTTCGTTTTGGCTGCCTTGCGCTAGTTTTTCGGCCCAGCAATAATAATTACACTTTGTGTGCCGCCTCGCAAAAATTTATGTTTAATTAATTTTTTGTACGAGTCGCTCGGGCAACGCCTCTAAAAATGAACTCTTTTTCTCTTCTTTGCATATGCTCCGCTCCGTGTATAAATAAAATATGGTTGCCTTAAAAAATCCACGCGGCATGCAACAAAATTGTTGTTCTCTATTTGTTCCTTATTTGCATATGAAGTGAAATTCTGATTCGTTGTTTCAAAATTCGCTGTGTGTGTTGTTGTTGTTGTGTGTGATTGTGTGTGAAAAACCGAACAATAAAAACACAATTTTATTTCTATTATTTTATTTCTTTCTTTCTTTCTATCTATTTTTTTTTTTGCAATTCGTTTTGTGTGTTTTTCGCTTTTCTTTCGGTTTTCCAAATGTATTTTCGTTTTCGTTTTATTTCGGGCAGCGCACGCGATCGCACAGAAGGTTTTTCCGTTTATTTTGCGTTTGTTTCAATTTTTTTGTATGTTTTCGAATTTCAAAAAAATTCTAAACTTCGATGGTTCGTTGTTCGTTTGCGACTGAGCGAAAGAAATTGAAATTGGCAGAAATGATTCTTTTTCTGAGCACTCGCATCGGATACTAATGCAATATAAATGAGAATGAGAGAGTGTGTCTCTGTCTGTGTGTGTGTGTGTGTTGTGTTGTGTGTGTGCGTTCATTTTTGTTCTCCTGAGTGTGTGTGTGTTGCTGAGTAAATTAGACGACAGCAACTACAAAAAACAAAAACAACAACAGCAACAACATCATTTAGCAGCTAAGCAAATCGAATAAATTTTAAATGTGCTCGCTGCTGCTTGGCTCTTAATTGAGGCAGCAACCCACACGACTAACAACAACAGCAGCAACAGCAGCAGCAACAAGAAGAAGCAGCAACAGCAACAGCATCTGCTGCCCACGCCAACAGCAACAGTTGCTGCCATAAGTTTTGCCATAAACTTTTCTATAGACAAGTTAGCAGCTTTTCTACCAAATTTCATTTGTGATAATCTATACATTTTATCAGTCAGCTTTGAGATACAAAATACAAAAGAAAAAAGGCTAAATCGTATCGAGTTGTTGTTGTAGTTGTGCAGCAACCAGTATTTGTGGCAAATATGGTGCAAATAAACACAAAATTGCGTTGAGCTATTTTTATTTTAATGACATTGCAATAACAGTTATAGTTGGAAAATAAATGCAGCAACAATTATTTATAGCACTATTGCTATAAATACACATAGTCTGTTGCTGGCATTTTGTGGATTTATAGCAAGTAGTAATTTATAGCTATTTTTTTTTAATGGCATTATAATGTAACATTGACAAAATAAACAATAAAAAAATCAGTGTGTGACTTGTGTTCTTTGAAGGTGATGTAAAGGGAAATACATCAAATATATATTTTGAAGGCTGTCTCATATAGCTAGATATATTTCTTTATCTTTACCATACTTTGAGGCGACGAATTCAGCCATGATTAAAGTAATGTTATGAAATCGAATAGACTGTAAACCATTGACATTATAGCAACCACTATCAGTTGAAGTATATATATATATATATATATATATTGCAAAGTTCACTTGATCATATCAGCTCAACTTTTACCAGCCCGATTGCAATAAAGTTTAAGTTAAATATATATTTATATATATATATATATATAAATTGAAGCATTCTAAATCACTTGGCAACTTTGCGAATGCAGCAGCAAAGTTCACTTGATGTTGCAAGTGTGGCAACACTGTTCGTTTTGAGGCATTTTCTTAAGCGTTTGCTGGCTGTCAGAAATTATCAGCTAATAACTCAATACTGCGTCTGTTTCGGGCTGTCGGGCGTGAGGCATTTAGCAAGAGTTATGGCAGCCAACACACACACACACGCACAAACACACATACATAGTGAGTATTTTCTTTGTATTTATAGCCATCAGCCGAGTGCTGTCACAGGTCCGCTGAGGAAAGACGGACATGAAACACACAAATGCAAAATGCGTTCGCCAGATTGGCTGAGAGCAGGTGTTGTGACAGCACCGATCAACAATAACAATTATTGTATTTTTCGAGATCTGTAACTAGGCGGCGTACGACCAGTTTCCCCATATGCTCTGTGTTTATTTCTTTTATTCTTCTTTTTTTTGGGGCCACAGTGAAAATTAGCAAACAAAAAAAAAGGAAAAATAAGATAAATAAATAAATAATGTATTGTTCAACACTTAACATGAATTTGTTGTTCGTTGTTGTTTGTGCTCAGCGAAATTTGTTTTCTTTGATGTTTATTATTATAATGCTGATGTACTTGTCTGAATCGGGTCGGGGGCGGGGCAAGGCGGGGCATTGATCCTTTGACTTATCGGTTAGCATTTCCTTAACGCGTACATTTCATATTTATTTGCGTGCCAACAATCAAATTTATTCTTTGTGTATTTGTTTGACGTTGTTGCTTTTGATGTTAACCGCTATTTGTTGTTGTTGACATATGTAAATATTTAAACATTTGCGACTTTCGTTTTAACCCACTTTCTCAAAGTGCTGATGCGGCCTTTGTTCAGATTGCATAAAACAAAAAAAACATAAAAAATAAAAGCAAAAACAAAAACAAAACAAATAATAAATTAAAACAAAATGAACGCAAATGCATTTCACAGAACCCATTTACACATTTGCCATTTGGCAGATGAATCAGCCAATTTAGTTGAATTTTAAATATATATAGTAATATATATATATATATATATAAATTTATGTATAGTTTGTAGTATTTGTAGCTCGCGTGCAATCGTAATTGTCTGAATTGAAACGAGCAAACGAGCAATGAGCAACTTTATAGTAGTCTTATCACAACCAGCCCCAAAGTTCGGGTCACTCGGGGTCAATTGAGCAAAGAGGCGAGAGTGGCCAAGTCAATACTATATGCATATATATATATATATATGTAAATCCATGAATAACTGTTGTCGTCATATTTTGTACTAAGCAGACAAATATTGTATTATTAACTATACTGTTTCAGCGAGGAGTTCAACAAGAATAATTTCGATTTTTTCTTCATTATCTATTTTTCTAAAGATTAGTATCTAAAATACAACGAATTGTTTGTCATCTCTTCTTTCAGGTTGTTGCCATAATTCTCATTGCTTAAAGAAATAAAAAAAAAATCATTGCTCTTCCAATATCTCCGTCGTTCGCATTACAGGGTATTACAAAGTTGAGCATTGTTGCAGTTAGTCCACTAATCTTACATGCGTTGAGTGCTTCGAGCTTGTAAACATTAATTTGATTACATAGGTGCGCTTGATAAGCAAATGTAAGGCACAACTACAGTAAACATTGGCGATTGGCGTTAACACTGCACTTTAATACATCAACTAATATATAGACAGTTGAATATAATTAAATATATAAAACACACAATCAGATTAGTGATTTGCTTGGCGAAGCGAAAGTTGAGATGCCCTTGAAATTAATTAGTTCACTTTTTCGAATTCGCACTGTTTTTTTATTGTGTTTGTGTTTGTATTTGTATTTGTCAAATACGCGAGGCGAGTGAGGGTTAAGAAAACGAAAACGAACCAAAAGCAACAAAAGCAACGACGACATCGCTTTTAGTTGTTCATTATTATTATTATAGTTGTTGTTGTTGCTGTTGTTGTTGTTGCTGTTGTTGCTGCTTTTGTGCAGCTGACGTGTTGAGTTATTTTTAAGCCAATTTTAGCCAGACAATGACGCAATGAAGCGAAATACAAACAACTTGGCGCAGCCACAAAACGATGACAATTTCATTGTTTATAACAAAAAAAAACACACACACACACACAAAAGTGGCAACGAGCTAGTCAAAGCTGTTGGGCCAACAGTCTAATCAACAGCCAGACAGCCAGCCAGAGAGCCAGACAGCCAGACAGCCGGGCAGGCTGCTTTCCAGCTAATGCTAAATGCGAGATGTGCTTCATGTTATGCACATCAAATAATAGCAGTTGTGTGACAATTTACTAACAGCAATTAAACTACAGGTTTCATTTCGAGAAGTGCCATTTTCAACTGTCAAAAATCATTTTCAAAATACAGCTTTAGACGTTGTCAAGCTCGTCATCATATTTTCCAATAATGGGGGCAATTACTGTATCAGCTGAGATCTCAAGAAAGATAAGACAAATTAACAAAATTCTTTTGCATAAATAAAGATTAAATGTTGTATTTAATAATAGTAAAACTATTACAAGAATTAGCTGCTGTACTTACTCAACTATTGAAAAGTTTAGTTAATTTAATGAAGTAAATAAATATATAACAATTATTATCTGTCTGTATATTGCTCTAAGCCTCTATGCATTTGGAGAGTGTTTTTGTTGTTGTTGAGTGCTATAATTAAGCTGCTTTTAACTTTTATGCAACGCTCATTTTAGTCATGTGGCGCATTTATTTAATGCCTATTATATATTTATTTCAATGCTCGATTGCATAAATTAAGCGAATCGCTAACTTCAAATGTTTTTAGATGCTGCCAATTGGCTAACGAAGGTTGAAGCAAAGGCTCGCCGCCGACTTATTAGAAATGCGCATTATTTACAATAGAGAACAACAACAACAAAAAAAAATGCAATTTTGATTTCTAA